GCCTTCTAAAGAGTAGCCAGAGTTGATCTCCTCTAGGATTGACCGGTTTGATCGCCTTACAGTCCAAGGGACTCGCAGGAATCTTCTCCAGCACCATAGTTCAAAGGCCTCAATTCTTTGGTACTCAGCCTTTCTTATGGTCCAACTTTCACAGCCATACATTGCAACTGGAAAACCATAGCCTTGACTATACACACTTTTGTTTGCAGGGTGATGTCTCTGCTTTTTAGTATGCTGTCTAGATTTGCCATAGCTTTCCTCCCCAGGAGCAAGTATCTTTTAATTTCTTGGCTGCAGTCCCCATCAGCGGTGATCTTGGAGCCCAGGAAAATAAAATCTGTCACTACCTCCATTTCTTTCCCATCTATTTGCCAGGAATTGAGAGGGCTGGATGCCATGATCTTAGTTTTCTTAATATTGAGTTTCAAGCCAGCCTTTGTACTCTTCTTCACCCGCATCAAGAGGCTCTTTAGTTCCTCTTTGTTTTCTGCCATTAGAGTGGTATCATCTGCATATCTGAGGTTGATATTTCTCCCAGCAATCTTAATTTCAACTTTTGATTCATCTAGCCCCGCCTTTCTCATGATGTGCTCTGCATATAAGTTAAATAGGCAGTATTTAACTTATATGCAGGATATCCTGTATACTGCAGGATGACAGTATATAGCCTTGCCGGACTCCTTTCCCAATTTTGAACCAATCAGTAGTTCCCTGTCCAGTTCTCATTGTTGCTTCTTGACCCGCATATAGGTTTCTCAAGAGACAAATAAGATGGTCTGGTACTCCCATTTCTTTAAGAACTTGCCACAATTTGTTGTGATCCACACAATCAAAGGCTTTAGCATAGTCAATGAAGCAGAAGCAGATGTTCTTCTGGAACTCCCTAGCTTTCTCCATGATCCAGCATATGTTGGCAATTTGATCTCTAGTTCCTCTGCCTCTTCGAAATCCTGCCTGTACTTCTGATAGTTCTCGATCCACATACTGCTGGAGCCTAGCTTGTAGGATTTTAACCATAATTTTACTAGCATGTGAAATGAGTGCAATGGTGTGATAGTTTGAACATTCTTTGGCACTGCCTTTCTTTGGAATTGGAATGTAAACTGACCTTTTCCAATCCTGTGGCCACTGTTGAGTCTTCCAAATTTGCTGGCAAATTGAGCGTAGCACTTTTACTGCATCGTCTTTTTAAGATTTTGAATAGCTCAGCTGGAATACTGTCACCTCCACTAGCTTTGTTGTTGCTTAGATGTCCTAAGGCCCATTTGATTTCGCATTCTAGGATGTCTGGCTCAAGGTCAGTGACCACCCCATCATGGTTATCAGGGACGTTAAGCTCGTTCTTGTATAGTTTTTCTGTGTAATTTTGCCACCTTTTCTTAATCTCTTCTGCCTCTGTTAGGTCCCTGCCATTTTGGTCCTTTATCATGTCCATCTTTGCACGAGACATTCTCTTCATATCTCCAATTTTCTTGAAGAGATCTCTGGTCCTCCCTATTCTATTGTTTTATTCTATTTCTTTGCACTGTTCATTTAAGAAAGTATTCTTATCTCTTCTAGCTATTCTCTGGAATTCTGCATTCAATTGGGTGTATCTTTCTCTTTCTCCCTTGCCTTTCGTTTCCTTTCTTTCCTCAGCTATTTGCAGTTTCCTCAGACAGCCATTTTCCTTTCTTGCATTTCTTTTTCTTTGGGATGGTTTTAGTTGCTACTTCTTGTACAATGTTTCGAACCTCCGTCCATAGTTCTTCAAGCACTCTGTCTATCAGATCTAATTCCTTAAATCTATTTGTCACCTCTACTGTATATTCATCAGGGATACGATTTAGTTCATACCTGAGTGGCCTAGTGCTTTTCCCTACTTTCTTCAATTTAAGCCTAAATTTTGCAACGAGAAGCTCATGATCTGAGCCAGTCAGCTCCTGGTCTTGTTTTTACTGACTGTATAGAGCTTCTCCATCTTTGGCTGCAGAGCACATAGTCAATCTGATTTCTGTGTTGACCGTCTGGTGATGTCCATGTGTAGAGTCGTCTCTTGGGTTGTTGGAAAAGAGTGGTTGCTATGCCCATCGTATTCTCTTGACAAAATTCTATCAGCTTGTGCCCTGCTTCATTTTGTACTCCAAGGCCAAACTTGCCTGTTATTCCGGTTATCTTTTGGCTTCCTGCTTTAGCATTCCCATCCCCCATAATGATAAGGACATCATTTTTTGGTGTTAATTCTATAAGGTGTTGTAGAGCTTCATAGAACTGGTCAATTTCATCCTCTTCAGCACCAGTGGTTAGGACATAGACTTGGATTATTGTGATACTGAATGGTTTGCCTTGGATTCAAACTGAAATCATTCTATCATTTTGGGGATTGTATCCCAGTATTGCTTTTTCTACTCTTTTACTGATTATGAAGGCTACTCCATTTCTTCTGAGGGATTCTTGCCCGCAGTAGTATACCTGATGGTCATCTGAATTAAATTCACCCATTCCTGTCCATTATAGTTCGCTGATTCCTAAGATGTTGATGTTCAGTCTTGTCATCTCTTGTATGACCATGTCCAGCTTGCCTTGATTCATGGATCTTATGAAGGTTCCTATGGAGAGAAAATATTTACAGAATCGGACTTTCCGTTCACCACCAGATGTATCCACAGTTGAGCATCCTTTCGGCTTTGGCCCAGTCACTTCACTCTTTCTGGCGCTACTAGTACTAGCCCTTTGCTCTTCCCCAGTAGCATATTGGATACCTTCTGACCTGAGGGGCTCATCTTCTGGGATCATATCTCTTTTCCTTTTGGTACTGTCCATGGGGTTTTCATGGCAAAGATACTGGAGTGGGTTGCCATTTCTTTCTCCAGTGGATCACATTTTGTCAGAACTCTTTGCTATGACCTGTCCATCTTGGGTGGCCCTGCACGGCATAGCTCATAGCTTCATTGAGCTACGCAAGCCCCTGCACTACGACAAGGCAGTAATCCATGAAGGGATAAATCAGCTATAAAGAATCCTAAAGGAAATAGCTTATTTGAATCTGTACCAGTTGGAATTCAGGCCCAGTAAAAAAAGGGACAAAAATGTTGGTGGTGGTGGAGGATGACTTTCACTAAGACCTAATTGGTGAGAGTTTCAGGAACCCTGACAGAGAGTAAGTCCGTTTCAGTCTTATCAGACTCTGCAGTGTTTGATACTGTCAACTGTTTGGATTATCTGCAAAGGTTGGATATTGCACTATATAATAGTGATTCTCTCCTATCTGAACAGGGGGCTCCACAGGGTTCACTGCTCTCCCCAGGAATTATTTATCATGCACATGAAAGGCACTATCAGTGATCACTACCATTGGTCTACAGTAAGGTGTCACCAGAACTATTAAGCAATGGAACAGTCTATTTGACTTCAGTTCTGGATTCAGAGTTTGAGTAGCCATTTGTCTGGGGTGCTGAGAAGATTCCTATCCAGGACTTCCTGGACATGAAGACTTCCAAAGTCGTTTCCAACCCTATGATACTATGATTCTATGAGTACTCTAATGACATCCATTTATATATTACCATCCTAGGTTGTAGAAATCTTGAACTAGAATTTGGAAGCTGTTAAAGACTAGATGGAATGAAATAGGCCCAGACAAAATACTACCTGGGTTGAGTTGTATTAATAAATATTCAGGAAATTTGGAAACATTAGTCCTTGCAATTATCTTGGATGGAATTTTTCTCCCTCTAAAACAGTTGATTGACTATCTGGTGTCCTTTGCTTAGCCTTTGCCCAGTTGTAACAGATTTGCCAGTTATGATATTAAGATGCTATATTAAGATGCTCTGATAGTGGTAGTTCATGTCTTAACCACCATGAAATTGGATTACTGTGAACTATTTCATATGCAGCTGCCTCCCAAGATGACTCGAAAGGTGCAACTGGTACAAAATCTAGCAGAATACACCAAATTTAAAGTTAGTTATGATCGTTAGTGAGTTTCAAAGTGCTAGTTGTCACTTATATTACATAACGCTGGAATACATCAGGTACTAGGTTACTAAAATTGAATCTACCTATCTGGTCTGAACATACAAAGAGATTCTACTAAGAATTCTGTGCCTGCACTATATAAAGCGTCCACTATGGACGACATTGCACAACTTCTCACTACAGGTAATCCTCAAGTTACGACAATTCACTTAGCGACAGTTCAAAGTTATGACACACACACTCAAAAGTACTTATGATCTAGTCCTGCAGTTACCTATATTGTAGCAGTACGGCAGTCATTTGCCCTTACAACCAACCAGAGATGCTGCAATAGGTCCCCTGCCTATTTCCCCTCCAATCTTGCTCTGCTCACACCCACAGGTACTGGGTCTGCTTTGCTAGCCCACCAGGTTCCATCTGCTTCTCCCCACCCTGTCACTGATAACTCACTTACCTTTCAAAGATCTCTAGACCTCAAGATGTTGGTGTAGGAAAGGAGAATAGTCTGGGCCATATGGCAGAAAAGTGGCCTTTTTTTCAGACACTGGCGAAACTTTTCCTTAGATCTCATGTTGTTACACATGCTTCCATCCTCTTTAGAAAAGCCTTTTTGCTCAGGATGGAGGCCTGCAGGGATGCAAGCTCTATCTTTTTTCCACTTTGGAAATGCTTCCGTCCCTGCAGACCTCAAGATAGATCTTGTGTTCTTATATACAATTCCATCCTCTGTGCAAAAAAGGCTTTTTCAAAGAGGATGAAAGCATGTGTAGGCAAGATTTAAGAGGGGGGGGGGCTCATTCATTTACGTGATTCACTTAATATTTTGACCGTACAGCCGTAACACAAGGGCTATTTGTACTAGGACCGTACTCTGAAACATGCCTTCTCTGGATGCATGGTTTGCCCCTTTCTTCTTTCCACTTCATAAAATTGTTTAAACTGTCTTATTCTTATTTAGTCTGGTTGATAAATAAAAGTGAGGAGGCTAAGGGAACAATTCAGTGATATTTCAATTTTATGTTGCTTTCTTCTCCTTACAGAATAAAGAGTATGTTTGTCGAGGCCATGACTATGAGAGATTAGAGACCTTCCAACAAAGAATGCTTAGTGAATTTCCACAAGCCATTGCAATGCAACATCCAAATCACCCAGATGATAGCATATTGCAGTGTGATGCCCAGTGTATCCTTGATTAATGTTTTAGAATCATTACCAAAGTTGCTGCAAAATTAAAAATATTTCAGAATTAGAACACATTTATAGTAATTTTAATATTTTTCATTGTCTGCTTACAGACAGTTAAAACCTAACTGCAATAGGGGAAGGGGGAATGCTTAAAAACAGAATAAAGCATGCACTTATTTCTTTATCAGCGAAATATAAATTTGGTATAAAAATGGTTTGTCGTCAATGCGACTGCTTGAAGGCTCCTGGATTGGTGCTGAAAGGCGAAAGGGATGCAGTATGCTCCCTCCCACATGTTGGGGTAGACCAGGTGCCTCGATAGAAAAACACTTAATATACATATATATATCTGAGAGGCCTTGGTTGTAAATTTATTGGATAGTGTTGTTGTTAAGAAGCAAAATTTGGGAACTAAATTTAATAAATTGAAATGAAACTAAATGTGACCTTAAACTTTGATGAAACAAAAGATACAGAACTGACTATAGAGATTGAGGAAGAATTGCAGTTTTTAATTCCAGATCACAAAAAATTCAAACCAAAAATTAAATAATGCATAATCTAAAATAGGCATAAATGGCTGAAATATCGTAATTATACCTCTTTTACAGAGAAATAAAAACAGAAAATTTACATAGCACAGCGAAATAAAAATCAAAGTTTTAATGCAAATTCTAATATAAAATTCTATTACAAATCCCTTTGCAAACTTGAAATGAATGTATATGCTTAGGTGTCCAGGTAAAAATGGATTAAATGCTGTGATAATGTTGATTTAAACTGTGGTTTCCTTATGAAAAATATTGAAAAAGTGAAAATGAGTATTTGTTTTGTTAGTGCTAAATTTAAAACAAATTAGGGATCAGAAGAGCTTTTAAGAACATGACAGAAATTGAAAATTATTGAACAAGGTTTCCTTTTTAAAATAAGCATTTTAAAAAATGCTCATGCAATAGTATTTTATAACAGATGAAGATGCAAGTAGAAGTGGGAAGGAAATAAAACTGACAGTACATGTCATCTCACTTTCAATGCTTTCGTTTGGAGGAACAGGTTCAGAACTATATGATGTTCGCAAGTTTATGTGATAGGATCAGTGGTGGGTTGCCCCTGGTTCGGACCGGTTCACAAGAACCGGTAGTAAAACCGACGGGAAGCTCCGCCCACTGACCTGGACATTCACCGTAAGTGATATGCGCAGAAGCTTCTGCGCATGTGCAGAAGAGTGGCCACAGGCACAATGAGAACCAGTAGTAAAGGTAAGTAGAACCCACCCCTGCATTGGATGCCATAGCTGCCAAAATTGCACAGATTCACATTGTAGTTTCTATGCTGTATGAGATTCAGATTGTGTGTGTGTGTGTGTTTTAAAAATAATAAAGATCTGTAATGTTATTATGCAGTGTGTAAGGCTAATCTGTATTCTTTCGTATTGTGTGTAGTTTTTTTTCTTTGACTGGATTCTGTAATTAGACTTGCAAATCTATGCGGTGACTCCAATTCCAGACAATATTGATGTACTACATATGGATCGTGTCCCTGATCGCATAAAGAGCTTTTATCGAGTTAACAACATCAGGAAATTCCGCTATGACAGGCCTTTTCACAAGGGCCCTAAAGACAAGGAAAATGAATTTAAGGTTCTAATTCTTCCTAACACATTAACATTGTTTTTATGCAAAATATATTGAGGAACTTTTAGATACATGTAAGAGCTCATAGAATTATTGCTATCCTCAAAGAAAGTGTTAAGCAATTTGAATGTTGGCAAAAACAATAGCAACTGAAATTTTTGAATATTTGATTGCAGTTTTATGATATAAAAGTAGAACTTGTAAAGCAGCTCAACAGGTGCAAGACTAAACCTTGTTGAGCTCTGTAAGACATAATTCTGTTTAGGCACGCATAGCACTGTGCTAAACAGACTAAAAATACAAATTTTTGCAAATTCAGTTAATCTGACTGAGGGAGCTAATGGAACTATATAGTTTCTAGAGGGTCCTTCAGAAGCCAAGGCCTGAACTTCCTGCTGAAATAGGGAAGTGGGAGTGTCCTTGAACAAAATTGCATTTGCAGACTTGGAGGACAGGAGGAGGTTTTTGCTTTTCTGAGGAGTTCCATGAAATGAAACAAACTGAAAAAAACCTAGTGTTCTACTAGAGCAAAACAAAAAAGAGAATATGAGCAAGCATGGGTAAGAGCCCATATCCAGGTCTGCACCACAGTGATGAGAATGGCAAAGTGTTGACATTTCTTCACTTGCCTATTGCATCCACAAACTGCTAATCAGCAGCTCTTTCCAAAGTGACAAAAATCCAACTGGGTAAGAACAATGAGGAAGATCATACAAGGGGCCACTGTGAACATTATTTTAGGCATCTGAAGGACATAGTTGTTCAGATTCACTTGGAGCTTGATGCCAGCTGAGCAGCTTCAGAGGAGATTAGTGAATCCTTGGGTGTTATCTGAGGTGAATTTGATTCTGCATGTGATCTGGTCCTTTGCAACCCAACCACCTTTGATCTGGACATGTGTCCCTTCTAGTTGGTGAAAACTGCCAAGGAGATTATAGAAAGTTCAGTGGGGGAAATGGTAAAATCATTCTATGAGAGAGGGTACAGTATATTATCATGTACTTCGAAAGAGGTGATGATGCACCTCTCCTTAAGATATCATTGCTTGGCCCCATTTTACTGGATGTTTGCCTACACAGTAAGATCACTCATTCACTCAGTTAAAGACTTTTCACCTTCAGGAGTCTTATAAATATACTTTTCCAGTCACTTTCTCTTCTCTGGAATAGTCCCTCCCCTCATGTGTAATTGCCTCCTCCTTGCCCCACCTTTAGTGAAAACCTGATACTGGAACTATGTTGTTGTATAGTATAGTACAATATCTCTCTGAGGAAGATAAGTGGTTTAGAAATAGGATAAATAAGCATGTATATAAGTAACAGACTCTTATAAGCTTATCAAAGTTTCCCTCTGTCCATACTGATACCAAACAGAATCAAGGTATGATTTTCTTGAATTTCCTTATCATCCCCTCTTCCTTTCCAGAGCTAAGTTGATGATTCTTATGTAGGTCCTTCAAGGTTATCTCCATATTCCTCTACAGCCAGGAAGGCTATTCTGTTTCACAGTCATGGGATTGAGCTTTTTTATTATCATTAATGTTTTATAAACAACCCCTGTTCCAGAGGAATTCATTTTAATTACTATTTTCATTGATTATTTGTATGTTACATTGGAGCAGTCTATAAGACTTGCAAATAGGCAAATAAAATAAGGCACCTTTTGTTTTTCATTTCCTATATTATATTTTCCTTCGTAGAGCTTGTGGATTGAACGTACCACTCTAACCCTGACTCACAGTTTACCTGGAATCTCTCGGTGGTTTGAAGTGGAAAGACGAGAATTGGTAATGTTTTCTTTTTGTTTTTGTTAAGGTATAACATAAAGAGAAAGAGTGGGTAATTTTTTATCTAATGGATAAAATAACATGTTAAATGTGCTTGTTGTAACAAATAAGTGTTTCACATAATTAACGCTAATTTAATAGAAGGGCTCCCAGGAGAGAAGTGGTCCATTGAAGATGTCTCCATGCTTACAGTTGCAATTGGTGCCTTTTAAAGGACACTAAGTTTTCTAAACTCACTTTGTAAATTGCTTATTATCTACTTTTAAGCTATTAGAGACACTGAGAATGATAAGTTTGAAAATATCATGTGAGTTTTAAAAAAATTGAAGTAAACAGCAAAAAGCTAAATAAAATCTTGATCTTTGAAAATTATAAACAGATTAAGAATTCAGATAAATTTGGAATATAGAAACTTTTATAGTAAGATTTTAGAATTAATAAAAAGAAGCTTTTCTCTGGAAATAGATCTGTTTTGGTTTTTGCAAGACATAAAGATAACTTATTTTATGATTTTAAAAATGACCCTAGATGAGACTAAAGATTCTAGGCAGAAGGAAAAAACACACGTCTATCTTGATGTTAATTAACTACGACCTATAAAATGATGAAAAACCTTATAACATTCAAACTATTAAAGAAGACTTGAAGAATGGACCCCACAATTAGCAGCCATAATATCAACCGTATCAGTTATGATGTCTATGGATGGATTATGTCCAAAAGATGTTAATAAAGAAGTGATTGATGTGGAACAAATTTTATCTGACAGACAAGAAATGGTACTGAAAGTTGATTTACAAAGAAAGACTGAGAAAATGATGCCTCTTTGGATATACAAAAGAAACTGATCATTGTTTTAAAAATGATAAGGAAAATAGAAATGTTAAACCACAAAAGTGACCTGAATGATTTTTTCTTAGTGGATTTGCAAAAATCACTTGTTAAAACTTGAAGAATTGTAATGTGATGGGATAAGAAATCAAATCCTACAACAATATTTGCCTGAATGGAAGACTATTAGAAGAAAAAGGAAGGAATATAAAGTTAGCTTATTTGAACAAGGTTAAAACAAGATATGTTATTACTTCTGGACTTTCTGTTGACACCCAGACTGATGATGTTTATGAATTTGCCTATAGATAAGGGATAGGATATAATAGATCATTGTTTATAATCTTAGAAGTAGTGAAGAGGCACTACATTTATTTATACTTATGATGAAGGTTGGAAGTTACTTCTTTATATATTTTTTCTCTTCATTATATTCTTATTTTCTCGTCTCTTTTTTTCCTTTCCCTTTGCATTCTTACCCTTGATTTTATTATTTCTCTTCCCTTTCTTTAAGTTTAGTTTGTATTAGATTGTTTTTAATAAAATTATATATATATATAATTGATATATGCTTGTATATTTATAGGTTGAAGTAAGCCCATTAGAAAATGCTATTCAAGTAGTGGAGAACAAAAATCAGGAGCTAAGGACACTAATAAGTCAGTATCAGCACAAACAAATGCATGGGAACATCAATCTACTCAGTATGTGCCTGAATGGAGTTATTGATGCTGCTGTGAATGGTGGCATAGCACGATATCAGGAGGTAAATTCAGACTTTTCTGATTCTTGTTACTTTCAGCAGCTTTTCACAATACACTTATATTTCATTGTTATGTTTAAGAATGTTGTTATATAAGAATTGTTATATAAGAATGTTTAATTATATACGAAATAGTGTCAATTTTTCATAATTAATTATAACACTATGCTTAGCTTTATGTCTGTATTTCTAGTCTAAACAACTGTAACTGTTTTATTTTGTGGGATTCTATATTATGTATATAAGTAAATTGTCATAGCATGATATTTTATTGTTTGTATAAATATGAAATTCATTGAAAAGTGTAATTATAATAAATTAAATAAATTCTGCCTTAGAAATTGCTTTGTTAATAAAACAATGAAAGTCATTATCTTGATAATGTTGTCTAAAGAGAAGGATAGTGACAATTGCTAAAGAAGTCATTACTAAGCTGTTAAGTAATCTTACTTAAAATGTAAATTAGTAAAATTATTTCTGGATTATCTGAGTGCAGAAAATCAACAAAATACACTTTTATATTGATGATTTCTGAAGTTATATTCAGAAAGTTATACTCTACTTAATTCAGTGGAAATAAACAATATATATATAAAAGTTTCAGGATTTTGTCAAGAAGCATGTTGATAGTATTACTGTTGAAATTTAAAATAAATTGTTTAACATTGTCCTACAGCAAATTTCCTTTGCCAGTGATTTATATGTGTTGGCTTTTGAATTTACAAAATCCAAGAATGGGGAAAATATAGGCAGCATAAAATGGGCAGAAAAGGTGACAAAATGTTTTAAATGGATTCCATAGTCATGGAATGTCAAGTGAGGCTTTCCATGTTTCATTGTATAGAAAATAAAGATACCAAGGATTATTTTTGTTCTTCCTTATGTTTCTTAAGAAACAGACTATTTCCAAAGTACAACTGATTATTTTTCTTCTCCAGGCATTTTTTGATAGGGATTATATCTCCTCTCATCCTGGAGATGCAGAAAAAATCACACAGTTGAAAGAACTGATGCATGAACAGGTATTCTTGTCTTTTTAAAATAAAAATAAAATAATACTGTAATAAAATTTGTTTCCTTTGATATTATGCAAAGTAACATAGGCTTATTCAAACTATATAAAATACAGAAAATCAGAACATGCTACATATATATATATATATGGTTTATGTTCATATTCTAAAACACAGGTGTCAAACTCGATCGCGTCATGTGACGTATCACCACGTTTTTTGCCTTTGCGGAGCCGGGGTGCACGTGGCCTGCACATGATGCATCCAGCCTGTAGGCTGCCAGTTTGACACCGATGTTCTAAAACAATCATTGAATTTAATGACTGAAAAAACCATAGAAATGTCCACCTGTATAACATAATGTACTATCCTGTTTCCCCTAAAATAAGACATCCCCTGATAATAAGCCCAATTGGGCTTTTGAGCGCATGCGCTAAAATAAGCCTCCTCCCCCCGAAAATAAGCCCGCCCTGAAAATAAGCCGTCCCTGAAAATATTTAAACACATGCATAGCTGGTCCCCGCCATTTCCTCTGGTTAGGGTTAGGGAGACAGAGCTGGAAATCAGGTAAGACAGCAAGAAGAGCCCCATCTTGCTCCACGCGCTCCAAAGTAATAAGACATCCCCGAAAATAAGGCCAAGCACTTATTTTGGGGTTCAAAAAAATATAAGACAGGGTCATATTTTTGAGAAAACACAGTAAATATATAAAACAAATACAGATATTTGAAAATAACTGAAAACTAAGAAAGTACAGACAATGCAGATCTAAATGCTATTTGCTAACCTTTATTAGCCACTTGCATCTTCAATAGTATAAATAGAAATGTACATATTTGCAGAACAAATATTTTTAACGAGATTATGCTCTAAAACTCACATTTCCTTTTCAGATAAAAAAAAACAGTATGCTAGATTGTTTTATAGTTCCTTAAAACTAGTAATTTATCAAATACCTTTCATATGTATCTGCATGTTTGCTATCTATCAATTAAAACTGCTATTATTTCATAGTCTTAACATTGTACTATTAGATTTGTTTCAGAATAGTTACCAGGGAAGCAAATCAATTATTGTTTAGCTATCATTTACAATTCTTACTAGTAAAATCTGGAAATTATATCTGGTAATCATGAATTATAATTTAAATAGCCCCAATATTTAAATATTTTAGTAAGCTTGCAATATTGAAAGCATTATATTGTAGTCTCATTGAAACTGAATATTAAGTTGTGATTTTAATTTTAATAGGTACATATCCTAGGAATAGGTCTGGCAGTACATGAGAAGTTTGTACATCCTGAGATGCGTCCACTCCATAAGAAATTAATTGACCAATTTCAAATGATGCGATCTAGTTTGTACCATGTAAGTTCATAATTACTCTTTATTTTTTTAAATATGCATCATTTTGTCTTTGGTTTCACTGAAATTCAGCATTGAGAAATGATTCTGTTGTAAAATGGGCAGCAAAATTTTTTATAAATAAATAAATAGATGGTGCAACAGAGCTTTTCCATTAACCACACATTGTTAATTCAGTGAACTTGTGATATTATTATCTTCATGTTATCGTTCCATGCCAAGAAATAATCCAGTTTAAACAGAACATTATCAATGATATTCTAAGGTACAGAATTTCCATACTTTTTGTCTCTACTGATGGTCTTTCTGTTATATTCTGGAAATGATTTTGTCACCATAATTCAATTTTTCAGCTACTTCATCTTACTTCATTTTTGTTATCTTCTAAACATGTAGATCTGGTGACAGGCCATATTGGTTGTATTCTGTTTTATAAACAATATTTATATTCTGCCTTATCCATTCACAACTAGCATTTAATATCCTCTACAGGAATTACCCACTCTGGAAAAATTGAGTCCAGCCTGCTCAGGAACAAGCACACCACGTAGCAATATGCTTGTATCACACAGTCCAATGAGTCCAGAGAGCATCAAAGTAATGCATCGCCACAGGTATCATTTTATCTATATTAGAAGAATCTTTCTGTATCTGCCTTTTCAAATAACATATGAACTTGAATAATTAATATACCTGCTTCTTGTAACTAAAAAGTCTCATTAACAAGACTTTTGGAGTATTCAAAACTATAATAAATTAAAGGCCATACTTTTAAATCAACTTCATTATTGGGGGATTAAATTTCCTATAAGATTATTTTTGCTATCTGAAAGATCATTATTTCTTATTATTTATGTAGTAACCTGACTTAACAGGTTATATAACAAAATTATAAGATCATAATGATTAGCAACCAGATTTAATAAAAATCATTTTTCACATTTATTAATATCTGAACATTGATGTTATTGAAGACCAAGATAATTATGTAGGCTGAATGATTGCAAGTTATACATTAATGATGAAAATATAAAGAAGAAAATCATTTAGTGCAATTTAGAATATTTATTAAAGATGGGAAAATGGATGGAGAAATTTTAAAATGTGCAAATGTAAGTAGAAAAACAGTGCTCAGATGCCAGAAATGAATGGATGTTTGTCAAAAACAACAACAACACCCCAAATGGCTGTGTATAAAACTATAATTCTGTCAGAAGTGAAAATTGGTGTGTCAAAAAAAACATGTTGAAATGGAAGTGGGTTACTTAAGTGTGTGTGATAAAACCAGAATAGAGTCATAAATTAATGGGTGCCGTCAGATGAATTTGAATTACAAAGGCAACCAGTATGAAAGAAATACCCCGCTTTTTTATCATATAAAATTTTTCAGTACGCTCACACAGAGTGGGCCTCCTCAGGGTGCCGTCCGCCAGACAATGTCGGCTGGCGACCCCCAGGGGGAGAGCCTTCTCTGTGGCGGCACCCACCCTCTGGAACAATCTCCCCCCAGAGATACGTACAATAACAGACCTCCGGATTTTTCGTCGGGCCCTGAAAACCCATTTATTTCAGCTAGCTGGGCTGGCTTGAGTTAAATTTTAAACTGATTTTAAATTGGAATCTTTTAATTACGGCCAGATTATTTAATTATTTTAAACAGTTTTTAGATTTTGTAAGTCTTGTTTTTACTTTGGCTGTTCACCGCCCTGAGTCCTATATTGGAGAAGGGCGGTATAGAAATTTAAATAAATAAATAAATAAATAAATAAAAATGAAGACTGAATTACAAAAAATAATATACAAACAAGGAATTAATATTTTTGAGAGGAAATTGAAAAATGGTTAGATGGAGTTGATGAGAACTTGGAAGAGAGAGATTATTAGTTTAAAAAAAGAAAAGACAGTATCTGGATAGAATTATATTTATATTTCCATTCTTTGTTTTAATATATTAGACCTTCCTTCACCTTCTGCTGTTTATTCCAAAAGAGAGTACTATGATGAATTTATTTATATTGCTAAGTTTTAACTATTTCCAATTAGGAACAATGTAGATTTTTTAAAAATTTGCTATTGTTTCCCATGCAGAAATAAAAAATGCTTATCTCTACATGTTATGTACAAATGTTTGAAGAGTTTGAAGTTCAGCATGTTTCAGTATGAAATGTTCTTCATTAAACAAGCTTAAGAAAATATTCTCTAATAGCAACTTTGTATATTTTTCTAGCCCATTGAATATGCTGGGTACGGTCCGACACTCATCATCTTCCCTTTCTTCTCATACATCAAGTGAAACAGGAAATATGGTTATATTAACAGACAGTTCTGTTGGAGAAAATGCAGAGGATGTGTATCACATGCAGGTATCACGCAAATATATTAGAAACACATTGCAGGCAATATATTCATGATTATTTTACAGGAAAGTATAGAGTATATACAATGTGCTTGTAGAAGTAAGTTACTGTTGTAGCATAATAGATAACAGACTGAGTCACAAACTGAGCAGTCTCAGTTTGTCTATGCCATGAACTTGCCCATGAGACCTTAAGCAAAATATCTTTCTTTGGGGCCACAGTTCTCCAAAGGCTTTTCTCTAAGGGCTTCATGGCACCAGACTTGATGACAAAGACATTACAATTCATTATTTGTCCTTTGTGAGAGCCTTCAAGGGTTTCTGCACCTGCTGAAGTAAAATGAATATTACAGAGCTACCAAAAGCATCTGTCTTGTGTACCTTTTGCCTTTTTATTTCTTCTCTAGAGTTGTAGATAGATAAACTTCTTATACTAGGTTACTCTGAAGATTTGAACATTTCATGCTGGCCCAAATAGTGCTGTCCTATATGCCTGAGTGTACAAATAATAATTTGAAGTTTACATTGCATGGAAAGTGCTAGTGAGTATATTTTGCAATATTGGGTATGAATTGTATTAATTATTAATTAAGATAAAGGTACAATAAAGTAAATTGTGAGCCACGCAAGATTATGACAAATAAGGGTGGCAATATAAGTACTTTAAATAAATCAATAATCTATTTCCCCCAAGTCCTTCATCTTGTTAATATTGTCATATATATCACAGGCTCCTTAATAATAAATATTCGAACTTACTTATCAACGTTGCTTTTGTTTATTCCCAGGCCAGTCCTTCCACCTCAAGCCTGAGCTCTACCCATTCTGCACCATCTCAAATGATCAACTCTGCACCTCCTAGTGCAAGAGGTATGAATGAGGCATTTAAGATAAAGTAATGCAAAGTTCTACAAATGGCTGAGATAATGGCTTTTTATTTATTTATTTATTAAATTTATATAGCAGCCCATCTCACAGAAAGTGACTTTAGATTGCAGTACCATATTCCGCCTAGTTTTCCTGGACACTATAGGACATTTTGGTGTTCTGCTCTTAGAACAGAGCAAGGGGACATCATATCTTTCTGACATCAGATCACTGTTTTGCCTTCAGAAGCTGTGGGTGCTCCAACAGTGGAAGTTTTTAAGAAGATATTGGACAACCATTTGTCTGAAATGGTATAGGGTTTCTTGCTTGAGCAGGGGGGTTGGACTAGAAGACCTGCAAGATCCCTTCCAACTTTGTTTTGAAAGAAAGAAAGAAAGAAAGAAAGAAAGAAAGAAAGAAAGAAAGAACACCTCTCCAATAATTGATATACTTGGAAAAGAAAAAATTGCAGAAATACACATTGTACAAAAAGAGATTACAGATAGTTCTTGATTTACAACAAGGCAGTTTGTTAAGTGAGTTTTGCCCCATTTTACGACTTTTTTTGCGATAGTTGTTAAGTAGGGCCTGGTGGCTCAGCAGACTGATAGCATTGTGATTAACACCAGCTGTCTGCAATTACTGTAAGTTCGAATCTCACCAGGCTCAAGGTTGACTCAGCCTTCCATCCTTTCTAAGGTAGGTAAATTGAGGACCCAGTTTGTGGGGGCAATAAGCTGACTTTGTATAAATATACAAAAGTACGAAGGCTATTGCTTAACGCATTGTAAGCCGTCCTCATTCCCCGGAGAAGGGCGGCATATAAATTAAAAAAAAAAAAAAAAGTAAATCATGTGATTGTTAAGTGAATCTGGCTTCCCCCATTGTCTTTGTTTGTTGGAAGCTGGCTGGGAAGATTACAAATGCTAATCACATGACCTCGAGACAGCTCAACTCTCATAAAGGCATGCCAGTTTTCAAGTGTCCAAATTTCGATCACGTGACTGTGGAGATCTTGCAATGGTTGTAAATATGGAAACCGGTCATAAGTCACTTTTTTCACTCCCATTGAAACATTGAACGGTCACTAAACGAATCGTTGTGAGCCAAGGATTACCTGTAATTGGTATTGAAACTCAGTAAACGAACAAAAATATTTCTGTAAATGCTTATAGCTTGGGTTCCCAACCTGGTACCTCACAGTACTAACATGCCCGATGTGATCTCCCTTGGCATTCAACATGCTTTGTGTTTTACCTGGCTTATAGTGAAAATAATCTTTTAATATAAAACATTAGATGATGTAATGCTACAAAGTGAAATGCTAGCCTCCAAAATCATTGGAGGTCATTTCCAGGACCCTTATACTTTCATCAAATATAAATATATCTGGAGGTTTTAGCTGAGGGTTTTCTTTGGAAATGTGCACAAAGAAAGAGAACAAAATATATGTATGGGTGATAGGGAGCATCCTATGAGAGATGTTATTGGCGTAGCATGTAGATTTCTGATAAAATGCTACTTTGTAGTTAGTTATATCTCCTATCGTAGCCATTTTTCAGAAGTCTTCCATTTCCAGAAAATATTTTGCAAGACTATTTACAACAGGGGTCCCAGCCCCAGGCCACAGCCTGGAACTGGGCCATGGTCCATTTGGAACTGGGCCACGCAAGTGGTGGGCGAGCAGGCAAATGCACACAGCTCCACTTGTGTGAGCAGCAGACAAGTGTGCAAATCTCTATTTGCGTGAGCTGCACACACTCACCCGCCATTCATGCAGAACTATACCCCGCCACCACTATCGCTGATGGTCCGCAAAGCAAAGATTGGGGATTGTGGATCTACAACATGATCTCAAAATTATAAGTTTCCACCACTCCTAAAAAGTTTATTGCCCCTGGTCTGTAGTACAGTATACTTCTTCTGATAATTTACCATTAAGTAAATTGTCAAAAAAGTTGAATCTTCTAAATATAGGGGCAGTAAATAGTTGGTATATACATATTAACTGAGGGAGATAAACATGAATTTCTTGCATTGAAATAATATTATTTGGAGATATATACTGTGTGATATATAATCTGAAAGTAATAGTTCCTTTGTTTTTGCATCACTTCTGAGTAACATTCCCCACTTTTTAAAAAAGTAATTGCTTTTTATTTTCCAGAGGAACTTTATTGACGGACAATTAAAAAGTAATTTGTTTTCTTTTCATCATGTACAATTCCTTCTTTATTGGACTGAACATTACATATAAATGGATGGGAAAGTATTTAACATTAGTATGTAAGATGATACAATAATAATGGGGATAAATATGTGACTGCATTATTTCAGGGTCATACTTATAAACTAATTGTATCAACCTAGAAGTATGCATTTTGCAGAACAATATTATAACTACTGGTAACATTGTCATACTGGATGTGTGTCTGCTAGATTTCTCAAAAGGTTTTCCCACTATTTTTATTCTACAGAGACCAGACAATTGTTTAATGGAAAGCTAATAAATAAATCAGCATTTCCCTCAAAACGTTTTAAAAAACAAACAAAATAATAACACTTTTTATTCCTTTAGCTTCAGATAGAAATGTTTATATATTTCAATATATGTTTATGACATATACTGAAATGTTATCATTTATTTTTAAACAGTGTCCCCAGAGTAACTGATAAACAATTTGAAATTCTAGAAAATAGTAATACAGAAAAATTTGATGCTTCATAATTCTAACTAATAATGTATTTTTATGAAACCACCATGGAGGATGATACTGTTTAGCAAACCATATTGATCATAGTGCAAAAATAGCAAGGATCTCGTTCATTTATTTGTGCTTTTTAATTTTAATGATTTTATACGTCAAATAAGCACTGGCACTAAAGCAAGGTACAGTCCATGTTTCAAATACCTAGCTTTGTCAATCTATCTCAATTCTTTTATATTTATTTATATTCTTTTTAATTTAGTGCTGAAGGGTGCTGGATTGACAACTCTGGAGGCTGAAGCCCTCTATTTATCCACAGAACAGATACCACCTGGGCGGCAGCAGTGCAAGCTTTCCCACACTGCCCCCACCAATGTGCCTCATCTCTGTCCTGGAGGGACCACCTCTAGAGGTGAGAAGAGAGATTGGTCTCCATGGCTCTTTCAGTCCTTGGCCTTTCTGTTAAGATCAGTAGCTTGCGGTAGCATACCCCCTTCAGTCAGAAAATGTGCCACATTTATCAACAGCTTTCACTATATCTATTCAGTGTCGGTAAATTCCACCATGATTTCAGAAATTGTTACTGAGCCTTGACTTACTGAAAGGAGATATCAAGAATCACTTTGGCCTAAATGATATGTCAGTCGCTACACTTTTCCAACAATGTCAGCAAAATATTCAGTACTTTGATTGGCCCTTTCATAAGCCAACATGACATGAAATTATTAAAAGAACAGTTTTCTTCCTGACACATGAAGTATGAAGCAAATATTAGTGAATATGAAGCAAATATTAGTGAATAAAAATAATATGTCAAGCTGTTTCATTTGCAGTTTACAAAAAACTCAAAGTACTATTGAAAATAAATTTACCTAGCAAAATGCTGGAATATTTTAAATTCATACCACTGAAATGGAAAGTATCCTGTATTTTCTACAGTTATATTTTGTTCTTAGAGTTGTAAAACATGATGCATAAAGCAACTTTAAGAAGTTTTGCTTACAGATTGATTTATCTGCATTCTAAAGTATAACTCAAAATGCTATTTATTAACAGTGTAAGAAGTCATATGATCTTTTTTCCCCACAAATGTTAGTTATGAATTTCTGATCTAGTACATACCCTTCCTTCAGAATTGAATTTAGAGCACAGATAAAACTTCCATAAGGATTCTATAAGCACTAGTTAGTTACTCTTGGATGACAATACTGAGATAAAATTTCTAGCATATATCTGTGATTAGTAGATCAATCATATTAAATAAACATTCATATATTTATTTCATAAATCTAAATACAAAAAACAAGTGCTTACTCCTTCACATGCTACATAATAGGGTGCCCATATTTATTGTTAATAAGATCATGGCTGCAATAACTGTTGTATTTATTCTATAAATTTAATGAACTGTGAAAAGGAGACCAGTGTTCCTCTGTAAGGATTTGTCCTGTGGACCAATGTTAGAGAAGCACTGATTGCCATGGCCTCATATTTTATATATCAGATTTCACCTGAAGTTAGAATAGGAGCATTTCATGAAAAAAGATATTAATTCTGTTTGAAAGCAATCTTTAAATGTAGTTAATATATTTTCAAGATATATTTATCTTGCTTTATTTATGGTGGGAGCAATCTGGTAATTCTGCTATTTTATTCAGACTTTTCCTTCCTCTGCCTAAACAGCAAATCAAACTTATAAATAATTACATAATCAGATTTATATAGTAGAAGATTAATATCAGACTTGCATTTAAAAGAGACTGTTAAGAAATTTAGTAAATATGAATTGATCAATACATGTTTGTTGTATAGCCAAGTTATTTAGCAATAAAGTATACCAGACGTACAAAATGAGAGATAATGAATTGTGAGATTGTGAGTTCACAGTAAAAATGTATGCCAAAAAATTAGCTTTATGTTAGCTATATAGAGACTTACAAGACTTAAGTTTTATGTTCATCTAGAAAATGGAACAGATGCTTTAGAACAAATGTGTTTCTAAATATCTTTTAAATACTTTTCATCACATTTCTTTGTTCCGAAACACTTTATGGAAATCAGTTCATAGAATTTGTTTTCCTCTTATAATAATAATAATTAAATCAACATGTCTTTAATATAAACAGACGTACAATTTGAATTATAATCTCACAACATATATAATATGTAAACACTTCAGTTTAATTATCTTGCAAAAGAACTATGTTTGCACATAGTTGAGTAACTCACACATTCTCCCTAAAGAAAATCAGAATGTAACTAATGATATCTTTCTTTCCCAGAATGCTTTCTGAGCTATCAGGAGCTTTTGTACACAGAAAGGATAAAGTGAATTTTGGTCAGTGCCTCAGGGTTTTGTGGATTTCTAGGATTTAATGCAGGATTCAGAATCCCAAACACAAGTTGTAAAATTTTCTTCTTTTTTATTACCACACCAAACCAAGGCAAGTTTTTAGTTGCAGTTTTATGTAAGATTTCTTTGCAAGGTTTGTCAAAAACTAGATAAAACCAAAGTCTTCTCTTGGTCTTCTGCCTTCCACTGCTCTCTTGAATGGTAACAACAGTAGCTTAAATTAGAAGCAATTGCTCAAGCAATTTTGATGTGGGTGTTTTCTCCTCCTAGAGGAATAAAAAATGTTGACTGAGTATTACTAAGATATATCTCTATTGGCAAAGTAAAATTTCTTCCTGCTACTGATAAAAGTATACCTTGTTAAGTAGTATGTTAGCATAGCAATGAATTACAAGTGTAGGTATTTTTATGCTTAAATTCCATTCCTACTTTTTTACTTACGGTAGATATGAGAAAGAGACTAAGTATACTGAGCAGCATTCTGTCTCCCTAGTTCTACCTCTGGCTCTTCCTTAAAACCAACAACAAATCTTAAACAACCAAGGCTGTTTAGATCTATTTTTGATTGCCATACATTATTTCTCTATAACTGTCTTCCAAAACTTTCTTCTTCTCGTGCTTTTTTAAGACTCCATTTTCTTTGCCAGCTTAACAGCAATCCCTCTCTTCTCCAATGAAAATATTTTGCCTATGAGAAAGCTATAAACTGCTCTATCTACTCTTCACTTATGCTATGTCCATCAGCTAACAAAAACAAAGTATCTCTGTGACTAATTCTTCAAGATGCACAAATCTCTGAAAACTGACAGTTTTCATGAACTGAGAGATCCCTTTGGAAAAATGCTGTGGTTATAGTTCACTCTTAACTTTTTTGAAATGTAACTATGATAAGGGGGAATAGATTAATCATCCCTTAGTTTACATTTCTGAATCCATAGGGACAATATGGCTGAGAACTGGTTGAAATAAAATAGTAGGTTTTGGATCAGATCTACTTAGACAGTTTTTCTTATATAAGATGCTCATCTGTGTCTTTAGGAAGTAGCTATGAAACTTTGGATTTTGGACAATGTCTTTTAGGGAATGAGAGAGTTTTGCCCCATACTTTGATGCATTACTCTTTTTCTGTACAAGCAAGCAAGATAGTTTTTCAATATGTCCATATACAATTTACTATTTTAAAATCATGACACCATAATGATTACAGAAATAAAATGGAGATTATTTCTATCATTGTAATGCTTAACACATTTAATTTTCATTGTAGAAACGTTCATTTTAAAGTATAAATAGTAAAATGAACAATTAAAAATTCATTTAATAAGGAACTTTTTCCTGGATTCCAAGTATAGGCTGTGCTAAAAAAGAAGTTGAAAGTCTCTCTTTTTCTCTTTTCTCTCTAAGTGAGGTCTCTCGATCTTTAATCATGAAGTTGACATTATAGAATTCTTCTCCAGTAGATGAAAACTGCATCTTTTTCTTGTGTTCTAACTTACTTTAATACCTCACTTACAATTATAAGGAAGGAAATAGCTTAGTATATAAATTGATGGTTCTCAAAAATTGTGGAACTGTGACCTCCCAAAATGATAAATGTATGTGACATATACACCTGAATAAAGTAATGATTTTATTGATGTTAGGGTTGGTTGAAAAGATGCATATTTCTTTTTCCTGTCAGCAAAGTCATCCAATCAGATGTTGCTGTGCATACTGCAAATAGGGAGGGCACTTAATACTGCAGTTGATCCAGTGAAATCAAACACTTTAAATTGGTTGTATCTGAATTGGCTGAATTACATATTACGTCTACTAAAGCTGTCTGAGGATTATATAGTTTGCAGAATTGTGGACGGGCTGTATTAATGGCAGTTCCTGTCTTACCATATTTGCATGTAGAAGGCACATTGTAATACAGTTTTGTACTTTTTAAAGATTTACATATAGCACCTCTATCCCCCACTCTCTCACCCTTCCTCCCTCCCCCCCTCTCTCTCTCTCACACACACACACACTTATGTCTGTATGTAATGATTACTGGTATATGTACATTAAATGCAATGAATGGTCAAGTTCTGTGTACGCGACTGTCACTGAGGAACTATTAATGCCATCTTTCAGTAGAGGCATTTCATGTTCTCATAGTCATTTATTCTTTTTCAAATGTCAGTTATAGATCAGATTCATGCTATATTTTTGGCCATCAGCTGTCATTCAATTTCAATATATGTAGTACATACCATTCCAAGTTTGAATGTATTATGTATTCATGCAATCCTATGTGCAAGATTATATGTTGATATGTTCATAATACCTAACAAAACTCCAATGGCACAGCACTAAGAATAATTTTTATATTTTATTGGGGGGAAGGTGAGATCCCAAAAGTGACAGGATATGCAAAAACAAATTTAATTAAAAATAACAAATGTTTGTTTGTTTGTTCTTCACATTTTTGAACCACCCACCACCCTCAGAGATATTGACAATCAAACCATACTGTTTGTATATAAGCCCAGAGTGTTTAATTAAATCAGATTGAGCTAAGTATATTCAAAACTTCAAGAAGTAAATATTCTTATTATATAGCAAGTCTCATTATTTGCTTATCAATGTTGTGCTCTTATAAGAGCACTTCTCCCAGATGCTAGTCCAAAATTACCCAGATATCCCATTTCCAGTTGCCAATTTTATTGTACAACAAATAGATTATTAATTATGGATTTTTTTTTCTATTCAATGTCTTTACCAAAGACATCTGTTGTAAAGATTTGGTATTATTTTTGTACTAAATATTGGTGTTAATTGATGAGAAAACTGCTTCCCGGCTAATTTAGAATAGAATAGAATGACAAGAGTTGGAAGGGACCTTGGAGGTCTTTTAGTCCAACCCCCTGCCCAGGCAGGAAACCCTACACCACTTTAGACAAATGGTTATCCAACATCTTCTTAAAAATTTCCAGTGTTGGAGCATTCACAACTTCTACATTTAATAAGTTGTTCCACTTATTAATTGTTCTAACTGTCAGGAAATTTCTCCTTAGTTCTAAATTGCTTCTCTCCTTGATTAGTTTCCACCCATTGCTTCTTGTTCTACCCTCAGGTGCTTTGAAGAATAGTTTGACTCCCTCTTCTTTGTGGCAACCCCTGAGATATTGGAACACTGCTATCATGTCTCCCCTAGTCCTTTTTTTCATTAAAATAGACATACCCAGTTCCTGCAACCGTTCTTCATATGTTTTAGCCTCCAGCCCCCTAATCATCTTTGTTGCTCTACTCTGCACTCTTTCTAGAGTCTCAACATCTTTTTTACATCATGACGACCAAAACTGAATGCAATATTCCAAATGTGGCCTTACCAAGGCATTATAAAGTGGTATTAACACTTCACGTGATCTTGATTCAATCCCTCTGTTTATGCAGCCAAGAACTGTGTTGCCTTTTTTGGCAGCTGCTGCACACTGCTGGCTCATATCTAAATGGTTGTCCACTAGGACTCCAAGATCTCTCTCACAGTTACTACTATTGAGCCAGGTACCACATATACGGTACCTATGCATTTTGTTTTTCTTCCCTAAATGTAGACCCTTACTTTTTTCACTGTTGAATTTCATTTTGTTAGATAGCGCCCAATGATCAAGTCTGTCAAGATCCTTCTGAATCTTGAGCCTATCTTCTGGAGTGTTGGCTATTCCTGCCAGCTTGGTGTCATCTGCAAATTTGATGAGTTCCCCATCTATCCCCTCATCCAAGTCATTGATGAAGTCTAAAACAGAGCCCTGGGATACTCCACTGCATACTTCCCTCCATGTAGATGCAGTTCCATCTGGTGGGGATGCTGTCTAACCCACATTTTTCTACTTTATCTAGTAGTAGGTTATGGCCTACTTTATCAAATGCTTTACTGAAGTCCAAGTAAATTATATTGACAGCATCCACTAATTTTGTCACTTTGTCAAAGAATGCAATAAGATTTAGGTATTGCAATAGAGCAGGGGTGTCAAACTCAAGGCGAGTGGGCCGGATCTGGCCCGCGGGGTGCTTAGATCTGGCCTGCTGTGGGTCTGCTAGTAAAAATGAGGCGTGGATGGGGCGACCCCCTGCAACTGCTTTTGGAGTGGTCCAAAAGGCCTTCCAGACCCAAAACGGGGCCTCTGGAGTGGTCCAGGAGGCTTCCAGATCCAAAACTGGGTCTCTGGAGTGGCCCAGGAGGCCTTCCAGGCCCAAAACGGGGCCTCCGGAGTACTGCAGGAGGCCGTCCTTGACTCAGAAGATTATAAAAGGGAGGAAAAGTAAAATATTTTACTTTCAGGCTTGCAGGATTCTGCTGCTAGCCTATGTCAATGTCTTCCTGTGGAGTCAGTTTCTTGATCTGGTCTATCTCTCATAAGGTGATCAAGTAGATCAAGCAAGTATTAAAAAACAAAATCACAGAAATGTACACCTCCCCATTTTTATAAGTTTATAAAACCATGTCTGCAGAGGTGCGGTTCCGTGTCACACCCACCATGGCCACTCACACCCCCATCCGGCCATTTAAGGTCAAATCCAATCCTGATGTGGCCGTCAATGAAATTGAGTTTGACACCTCTTCAATAGAGGGATTATGCAATTGACAGAATCAAAGATATTGATTGAAAAATGCCTCTTATATAATTTTTATGGGTATCGGATTCCTATGTGCATACCATTGTATTTACAACTTTAAATGACTGAGCATTTCTTCCCATTTAAATATGAGTGTGCTGCTCTTTTGCACTATGTCAACCTAAAAGTAATACCTGAAATAGGTATTTTGTAGAGATTCATGTATTTATGGAGCATTCATCCAGTAGTGTTTCAAATAATATATCTCTGAGCTATCCAGTATAACATCAGATAACAAGCAGCTTAGATATTCTATTTGCTGTTAAATTAAGCATGTTATTTTTAAAAAGATGTTAATACTCGTTTGCCTTAGTAAGAGAATATATCTAAATCTTGTCCAAATGGTTCAGATTTACAAAGTTTTGTTACTTACAATATTACTTTTTACATGTTCTTCTACCTTGAAAACGGTCCTCTTTTTTTGAACAGGAAAAAAAATAGTAAAATAGACATAGAGATAACATTGTTTTATCAACAAGAATAAAATGCAAAAAACAAAACAAAACAAAAACCCACAGAAAAACATATATCCAACACTAATAACAATAACAGCAAACAAAAATAAATTGTAAAATGTATACAAAAAAGGGGGGAAATTACCCAAATATCGAATAAATTTAACATTAAACAGACAGAAATTCTGCCCCTGCTGGTTGCTGAGGGGAACAAAAGTAAAACTAATAAATTCTCCTTCCCTTTACATAATGAGTCTACAAATAGTTACAAACTCCCATCCCTATTTAACAAGAATACTATATTAAATAAACAAATATTCCAAGTGAAAGGATCCCACTACTCACCAATTCTGATATCAAAAGCAGCACAACTACATTTTGCAGATTAGGTCAAGGCAGTAACTGTCTTAGAGCCAAGTGTTTTCTCAAATTTATGATACATATCTATATCTGCATTTGGGAAACTATATGATAAATATATGATAAAGAGGAGGACTCTGTGACATTCAGTGTGCCATTATAGATTTTTTGATATTCCAGAAAGTTCAGTATTTTACTCCTATGCACCAACATTATCTTTGATGTGCATATGAGGAGGAGCAAAATATTTTTAGTTAAATTAATATTGTAAGTGATTGAGGGTTTAGACCATTTGTGTCATATGTGTGCTTTGTGAATTAAGTATTTGTTGTGTATATTTGAACATGAGAAAAACTGCAACTTTCTCATTATTACCCATTAATTTATTACTACAATCTGCGTGCTATGTTTCTGTTGATGTGAAAACCAGGTCACTTTAAACAGGTCTGTTGGAAGGGCTCCAACATTCATAGTTCAGGAAAATTTATCAAGTGATAGTAACAGCCCTTGTAGCAAGTGTACCTGTTCAGTTCATTTTCTGTATCCTTGTTGGTATAAACCTAAACATAAATTAGAGACAATATAAATATCTAAAAAATTCTAGAAAATTTAACCATTAAATTATTTGGGAGATTGGGGAGCAATGTAACCAGTTTTCCCAGATTAACATACATTTTGAAGAGTAGAAAAACTGCAATTTCCCAACAACTTCTATTAAACTGTAAAATCTAATGAACAATCTAGCCTCTTACAGTGCTTTCATATATTGGCAGCCCTCTGGAATAGTTTTGAAAATATGCAAATCGATAAAGCCCATAGATGCTATCGGGCTTTTGTGCTGATAGATGCCATTCTGCCAGTTGAAAGATGGAATTGGCTATAAACCAGTGTTTTAATATTTTCAAATTAATTTTTAACTGCTTAATTGTTTTTGGGAAAATAAATTTCTTTTGAGCTTGTAGCCCTGACTTTATATTGGTTGAGTGAGATGTATAAAATATTTGCTAAAGCTAAAATGTAGTACTCCTTCCTATTTCATATATGAAAAATATGTTCATATTTTTGAAAATGAAATGACATAAATGTAGAAAGGCAATTAAAAACAGAAGCAGTGCCCTGCTGGATTGGACCTTTGGCCCATCTCAACCAGCTTCTGTTCTCAAAGTGGCCAACCAAGTGCAAAAGTATCTGGTACATCTAGTTTCCCAAGCAGGTGGTCTTGATAGACAGTCACGCTGCCATTGAGGCTAATGATGGCAGATGTACCAGAAATATTTTTATTTCAGTAAAAATTGAGTTATAGAATTCCTTCATTGACTTATTAACCCAGCTGCTCTAACCTGGTGGTCCTTCAATCCACTCAACCCCCCTTTTGATAACCTGATGAAAAATGATGGCATAATTCTCTGCCATTTTGTGATATAAGGTATATTATATTTATTAAATAACTTCCAAATTCCTTTAAAAATTCCACTGTTATATCCTTGTCTGATGTGGTTTCATTCAGTTGGTCACTTTCTGCCAATTTTAAATGTCATCTTTGTTCACCAGAAGATTCCTCATCACCTCACATGAATCAATCTAATTAGTCACTCTCTCATTGCCATCTTATATTTGGAATTGTATAAATGTCTGTGAGTTATATGTCTCAGGAAGATGAAATAACTGGGTGAAAGAGAACCATTTGTGTTTTGTCATGTGTACGTGATTGTTCTAACTCGTTTACAGGCTCTCCCTCTCTACCAGATAAATACCGTCATCATCGAGAATTAATGATGCTACTACCAGCACACCGAGATCGGCCTAGCAGTGCTATGTATCCTGCAGCTATCATGGAAAATGGACAGGTAAAGCGTGTGTGCATGTGTGTGTGTACGTGCATGCACACCTATGCGCCTGCATATATGTGTGTATCTTTGTGAGTTAGATTAGATTATACCAGCTGTGACACAATTAGCTTGGGTTCAACTTCAGCCTTAATGCATAAATTGATATGATGTGATATGGCCAGGGGATTACTAGGATTAATCTTCAAGGCTTTAGTCACAGGTTTTCTGTGCTGTCACCACAGGAATTTCTAAGATAATGCATTTGTTATTCAGCCACTTGAGACTTGAACATGACATGCAAATCCAGTTTATAACTAAAAACGTAAGTTATATGGTAAGAACCTGAATGAGATCTTTCATTGAAAAAAGGACATTTGATTAATTAATTCTAAGATTCTGTATGTGTAATGTGCAATATTTGTTTCAATAGTCTTGAATTGCATTTTATCTTTCCTAGCATCCAAATTTCCAGAGAGCCTTATTCCAGCAGGTAATTGGACCATGCAAACCCTGCAGTGATCCTAATCTATCTGTTGCTGAAAAAGGTATTGTCTATTCTATTTTATATATGTTTTATACAACTCATTCAATTACTGATTTTCCTTTATAAGTTTGATATTAACAGTATTTCATTTTATCTGATATACAATTATCTTATCCCAATCTATTATAGTTTATATATCATACTTTTTTACCAAGATAATATCCCCTGAACCAAATGTTAAGGAAATAATTTCTGAAGCATCACTAATCCATATAAACAAAAATATATTCGAATTGGATTTTTCAAAATAAATGAATAGCTTTTCCCAACCAGTCGAAAAGACATAGTGAAGAAATTCAAGAAAACTTGTGAAGTTTTCATGTACTTATTTATTAATTTATTTTGTGATAAAGGGATACACAATGGCTTAAACAAAAAAAAAAGATGTAAAACAGAACATCTATACTGACAAATCATGTAATAAATGCCCATCTGCAAATTATTTGCAGGGTGAGTTGGGCAGAGAGCAAATGATTAAATGTGACTGCACACTTTTTGTACTTGCATTGTCATATCTCACACAAATATGTAGGAGGGAATTTTGTATGGCCGTATCACAACACATGCTTTATCTGTCAGATTTTGCTGGAATCTTGGTTTGCTGCAGATGCCCTGTAATATGAGCTTTCAAGGTAGACATCCTTTTATTGAGCTTTATTCTGGCAGAAGTCACGTATCATCAAAATGACATTCCAGGTTGCCTGGTACTTAAGTAATATACCAACACATCAGAATATTTACAATTCATAAATTTATTTTCTTCCATCTCCCTGTGCTTCCAAATTCTCTAGAGGATTAATGTAGAAAATATTTAGGAAGCATATATTAGGCTTTAAAGAGAGTCATTGGGAGGGGAAAATCTGTTGTTAAGTGATGTCTCATCGCATGAGGCATCATGCGACCACACCGATTTAAGATCTTTTTGTTATGGTTGTTAAGCGAATCATTGCAATCATTAAGCAAGATATCAGGTGATTGTGATTTGTGACCTTTCTGACCGATTTCTCCATTGATTTTGCTTGTTGGAAGCCTGCTGGGAAGATTTCAAATTGCAATCATGTGACCTCAGGACACAGCGACCTTTGTACATGTGAGCCAGTTGCCAAGCATCTGATTCACAATCACATGACTGCAGAGGTGGTGCGACAGTCATAACTTTAAAGATGGGTTATAACTTTTTCAGCTCCGTTGTAACTTTGAACCATTGTTAAGCAAATGGTCAAGAGTCGAGCACTACCGGTAGTGGTAACGAAAGTCTGAGAGTCAGTTTGGTGTAGTGGTTCAGACATAAGGTTAGAATAACAATAGCAATAACACTTAGACTTGTATACAGCTCCACAGTGCTTTACACCACTCTCTGAGTGGTTTACAACATCAGCATACTGCTCCCATCAATTTGGTCATCATTTTACTGACCTCCAAAGGATGGAAAGCTGAATCAGCCTTGAGCCCTGTCAGGATCGAACTCCTGGTTGTGGGCAGAGTCAGCCTGCAATACTGTCTTCTAACCATTACACCACCATGTTTATAACATATACAGAGTGTTGAAAGAATACTGAGCTATTACACACAGGTTCAGTTAAAAAATAGATACAGTCATAATAAACTTATCTTGGACATAGAACAGTAGCTTAATCCAGGTATGAATGACTATTAACTCTCATATTTGTAGTAATATAATACATACAAATACATTGATAGGAAAGCCTCATTCCTATTTGAAGTACATTTGGAAGAGAGAGGAAGCGAGAAGGCAGGAAGATTTCTGGTCTTGCTTTGCTAAGCATAGTTGAGATGAGAGACAGACACAGAGACAGTGAATAAGGACTTACCTATTTCTTGCCATTTGCCTTAGTGGCCAAAAGGCTCATAGATACAAATCTCCAAAATTATGTTCATAAAAATTATATAATAAATTATAACTTAATTTAAATAATATAAATTATAATTAGGCAGCAATCATATTACTAGCTGTTTTATGAAATGGTACCATGTAATTCTCCACTGTAAATAAGCAATTAAAATCAGCTGTCCAATAGCAAACAAGAAATTTTCAAATGAACTATGAAACAGAAATGGCCTTTGAGGGTGTAAGAGATTGTGCTGGGGCTGAGAAAGAAAGAAGAGTATCTCTGAATCAAAAAAAGTAACATCAAGGGCTTCTCAAATAGACTTAGTCCACCATAAAAGCAATTTTGGGGAATTTTTTTTTGAAGAGAGTCTATCTTAACAAAAGTCACTAATAAACGTGAACTGGAGGGATCGAAGCTAAATTCTCAATATTCTGTACTCTAATGTCTAATTTTTTGGCATTCATAGTCATTAAAGAAATGTGTCAATTTTGCTCTTTAATCATGTTTTTCAGTTAAGAGGCTTGAGAAATAAGAGATTGGGACTATTGAACTATGGAATCTAGCCCCAGAGCATAACATACAGTTTAAACTAGTGGTTCCCAATGTGGGCCCCATGCACCTCAGGGGGGGAATTTGATTTTTAATGGGGGGAATTTGAAATCTTGTTTAAACCAAGTTAATGGCCTTTTAGGCTTCCTCCACATGAGTAGGAGTTCACTTTTTGACTAGTAAGAATTATATGTCACGGGGGGGGCATCAGGATTTTAGAGATGCTTAGGTGGGACATGGCCAAAAAAAGGTTGGGAAACACTGGTTTAAACAAAAGAAATGCACATTAAAAATAGTCTTAAATTACTTTTGAGATCAAATATATTTTGTAGCATTCATATTACTAAAAACTAGGCATTAAAATGTGTCTTATATAAATAAAAGGCATGGTAATATTGTTGATAAAAACATTTCACTTCTACCCTTAGATAAAATAAAATTGCTTGAAAGTCTGCAAAAAAGCAGCTTAGGTCATGGCAGAAGCAGAAAACCTGCTAAACTAGAAATCAACAACTATATTTTGATTAAAAAATGGACTTTGCCTCCTCGTTGTGAAAATGGATTCTAAGGCTGCAAATTGTCATCTTTTTCTTTTTCAACTACAGTACTTCAAGTGACAAAGTGCTGATGTATAAGACTTTGGCTAATGTTCTCTATCAGATTTACCTAAAATTGTGCTTGTTGTTTAGCAATCAAAGCGGCAATTCTTCAGACATAATCAATGAAAAATCTTGTGGATAATTATTAAAGCAAGTTTCTAGGAAGGATCTAATTTGAAATCTAATATAATTTCAGCATAAATTTTATTTGGTGAAATACTCATTTGGTGTCATGATTATAGAGCAAGTTTTCAAAAACAGTTTGAAGCTATGAAAAATATTGTGGTCATCGTGGCTCTGTTGTGCATATTGCTATTTCTTTTCCTAATTTTTTTTTTTGGCTTCTTTTTTATCTTGATTTTCAAAGCAAACAATAACTTACTACAGTATAGTGTGTGTGTGTGTGTGTGTGTGTGTGTGTGTGTGTGTGTGTGTGTATTACTGGTTTTCAGAGTTGTTCTGTTCTTTCATTAAAAAAAAACACTATTTCCTATCATCTACCCCATCTTCATGGATGAATATAAGTAATAGCATGGAGCCAGTCCCAAAATACTCCAGAGACTGAAGAAAATAAAAATGTCAGCCTTCAATCCTGTCAAGTCCCAATAAAACCTATATTTGACTATTATCCAAATACAATTTGTTTCCATCCTTCAGCTGTTTCAGCAGCACCGAGCAGCTGGAGTCTAGACAGCGGAACCAGAGAGGCCCTGCCATTCCTGTCTGCTCATGTTGGGAGCATCCTGATCCCACCAGTGCCTCCTCCAAGCCTGACCCATGGTAAGGAAGTGGTCAGGAGATCTGCAGAAGAACCCTACAATGATGCCCAGATAAATCATGTGAAGGCCAACACAGATGTCTTTATGACTTCTCTAAAAAGAAAGGGAAGTCATGGAGGAAAATATTTTCCTGGTTCTCTTGGCTGACAGTTAACCTAAACCTTGAAAACTTCAGAAGGGCTGTGAATGTGCTTTGGGACTGGACTTAAGATTTTTAAATGATGTAAGGTAACGTAAGGTAACGTGATGTCTTGCTGTAGGTTTTAATGTATAAATATATATTGAGCTCAAATTATTTTTGGAAACAAATATTACTTTAAATTTTTTATCATCCTTCCAAGGACAATCAAGTACTAAAAAGTAATTGAGATTTCAGATGTGGATTGCTAATGAACCTGTTTTCCTGCCATGGGACTCTTAATACAATATCAGCTGTTGGTAAAATTCCACCACATTTACTGTTTACTTCCATTTTATGTTTATTAAAAACATTAGACTATATTTACATAATAACACTGATTTCTGAAAGTGAGTGTTCAACTGTAAGGATTAACATTTGCTTTGACTAGTATTGCACAAATTAAGAAGTATGAACAGGTCAGTGATTCTGCTCTATCTGACTTCCCTTATCAGGCCACTATTTACTACACTTTGATGCTTTCCACCATCATCTTAATGACGCTCCCCCAGCGCTGCCTGCACGAACACTGCGCAAGGTAAATGTTTTATCATATTTCAGAACCTTCTATCCAGTATCATCCTAATATTGCTTAGATTAGAATTTTTAGATATACCTGTTATACCCAGTTTTTGGAGAGATTAAAAGCAAAAATCAGTATCCCTAAGAGAAACATACAAACTCTGCAAGCTGCTGTATAGGGTCTCCTGGGTTATTTGAGAATAAAATGCTAAAAAGTAAAGCACGTCACCAGGATGTTCAAAAGAAAAAAATAATTTCCTGTTTGTTCTTTTATATAAGATGTTCACCTTGAATGAGTTCATATAAATTATGTCCAATTTTTGCTCATGCTCCCATGTGAGAGGATGAGTCCAAAGTTTCCTCATAGCTTAATAGGTACTAGGGAAGGAAAATGAATCTTTGCTGCCGAGCTGGGCTTTTAAAATCAAGGGAGGTGATACACAATATATACTAAACGTGGCTGAACAGCTAAAACATCACTGACAAACAAGCCTTTTCTTAGCATATATTTTCATTTCCAGTTATTCAAGTGTATTGATTAAAATAATTTGGTCCTTATAAAGAAATATCCTGTTTATTATCTCTATTTTGTTTTCCATAATTTATTTCCCAAAAATTCCATCTTGAATTACGTCTCCACTGAGTTGACCTATAAATTCTTAAAGATTATTTTTCATCTCTACTCTAATTTCAAATCTCTTTTAAATGATATAATATTCATATAAGCAGCTATTAAGGCTGTTATGATAGCTGTAATATTCTTTCCCAATCTCTCAAAGTTCTTTTGAAATGTGTCAAGTGTGATGACTTTTTCAATAATTTCTATAGGTTTTTCTATAGAAAACCTATAGAAATCATTGGTCTATTTTTTCTAATAACAGCCATTTCATTAGGTACAAAAAGGGAAGTTAAAAAAAGTTTACTTCTTGTTTTGTCTTAAATCTTTGATTTCGTCCTTAATTCTTTGATCCCTAATTCTACTGTATGAACACATGGTTTGTCTCAGATTTGTTTTGCAAATCCAATTGTCTTTCTACAAGAACACTGAACAGTCTGCATTTCCATTAATCTCTTATTTTATGTATTTAATTATTTTTAACTCTTCAATAAAAATCCTACTGTTTCAAATATAACTGACCCCTTAATCCATTTTAAACTTTCTTTCTTCTTAAGTGTATTTATCTAGATGATAGTTAGAATCATCTTTATATTGCCTATGAAAAAATGAGGGAAATGTATGTGTTATTTTTGCCATCTTTCATATATGTAAATGCTAATGTAATGTAAAGCACCTCCCAAGTCTATTCATTTTAAGTTTTCCATACTTGAATAAAACTGAATGCTCTATTTTATATGCAGATTGCATCCAGTTCACCAAGAAATTACCCTTAAAAACAAAAAGCAGTCTTGCCTAAAAATTGTACATATTTAACTAAAATTAAGTTGCTTCGTCCCAAATTATACGATATAGAAGAAAGATTTCTAGCAATGAATAATTTAGATATCCAAATGAAGATTCACATTCAGTCTTTAAACAATATTGAAAGGATCTTAAACAATCTATTCCTTTTTTAACCATTCAGTTCTAAAGTATTCTGTAAGATTCTAAAACATGCATGCTTTTTTGGATATTTTGCTTGGTCCAGTTATAAAGACATTGTTCAGCTGTAAATATTGTGCTTTTCATTCAATATTACCTAATAAAAATGTTGACATTTTGTGATTTTTCGGTTCACCAAAAATATATACAGATTAGATAATACTTCCATCACAAACTGATGTAGCATTTTAGAAGCTTAGAGAAGGTGAGATATGCTTCTTTTTAATTGAGATGAAAATCAAGGATATCACTACCATAAAATGAGCTGAAAATAGGAATAATATTTCTTAATCTATTTCAAATATAAAGCATTCATCATGGAACTATATGAAACTCTTTATATGTTCTAATATGTGCATGCCTGTCTCTTTTGCTTTGCTTTTCCATTTAAATAGTCTCCTCTTCATCCGATACCTGCATCCCCCACAAGTCCCCAGTCTGGCCTGGATGGAAGCAATTCCACTCTTTCTGGTAGCGCTAGCAGTGGTGTTTCCTCACTAAGTGAAAGTAATTTTGGCCATTCATCTGAGCCCCCTCCTCGAACAGACACAATGGATTCCGTCCCGAGCCAGACGTGGAACACTGATGAAGACTTAGAGACACCCTATCTCCCTGTCAGGTACAGTCTCTCAGAACCTGATGTTTTAGAAACTCTCAAAACCCAGCCATGCCGAAGCCACTCTGCTCCGTCTGGAGTCATTCCTCAGGACACTATGGACCCTCCAGCTCTACCCCCTAAACCATATCATTCCCGTCACCCAAACGAAGAGGGAATAATTCTGGAAGAGGATGAAAAATATCGAGCACTGCATCGCAAAATTGCCCAGCCGGCTACTGGTGCAAAAGAGGAGCAAGCAAGGGTGGCATGGGAGCATGGCATCAGCGAGCAGTAGGCAAAATTGTCAGAGTATAGTTTGTATGATCATTCCAGGTTTTAGAACCAGAACAGTATGTAAAAAAGCAGAGAAGTTGATTATTTTTCTTCTGCTCTGTGAGATTGACTGGAATCAGAGACTGAGCCAGCATGTAAAAAACTGCTGCTTTCCTTTTTATTTAATTTTATACTTTCCAGGTTTTTAGTGGTTTGGGATTTGTTCTTTTTCCCACACTGGATGCTACATTCCTTCTACAATTTCAGATAACAGGAAGAATTGAATGACACAAGGGGAAGCGGCATGGGATTTTTACAAGCTTTCTTCTTGGTTTGAAGATGTGCACAAATCGAAGGAGTTGCACTAGGAATGTGTTTATTTGTTGTGTTAAATGGATTTGGAGATTCCATGAAATGTCAAGCCAGAAGGTGCAGTTTAAAGTTTTAAATACAGTGAATTCTGCTTTTGAAGATAACTGGATCTTTCAGGCTTCAGGCATATGAACTCTTTTGTGGTGATCTCCTTGCACTGCCTCAGGAATGCTGAAGCAATCTGACTTATGTTCGCTTGCTATTGCCTATTTTACATATTTCCTAGTTTGCTAGACTTTTTATTTCAATTTTTTTTCTCATCATGGTGTATTCAAACAACCTGTAGCCCATTTTTGGCCAGCTGTGCCTAAAGAAGCTTTTGGCCCCAGCATTCTTTTATTCCTAAAAAATGGTGTTGCCAAAAGCCAATTCAGGATTGGCAAAGGAATAAACTATTGAGTCAGCAGCTGGGAATCTGGTCTAGAATAAAATAAAAGGAAGATCTGAGTGCATACTTGATCTTTGCCTCAAATGTCTTGTATCATGTTCCCCAAAGACTCTCAGATCACCAAAAAAATAAAAACCCTGTTCCAGTGGGTTAAGGTAGAAGTATTAAAATTGTGACTGATTGAAAGACATTGACATACAAAGAAAGGAGCTACTTAATTTGTATTCAAGAATTAGTTCTGCCAATTAATTTTACATGTTGCCATTATACATTTTCACCAAAGGAATCATGATACATGGTGCCATATATTATGCAGTAGTTGATAGCGTAACTAAACTTGGAAAAGTGTATGAAAATATATGAAAGGAATACACACATTAAGCAATATGGAAAACTTATAATGCAAAATAGTTTTATATTGATAATTGAAGAATTTTAATCAATGCTTCATTTTCTTATAATTCATTCCAGGTTCTCAAAAGGGAAAATATAAAGGGAAAAGCTTTAAGATCCAGATTTGTTTTTTGCCCAGTCTTTGGAAGGGTAAACATCCCATTTATTTTTACATTTTTCACAAGCACATTGTGAAAAATGTATAAGTTGATGGCTGTACCACAAAAGTCCGAACTAAATTATGAATCACTTAATACTTTAGGATCCTATTCACTATAATGGATTTACTCTGTGTTTCTCCCACAAAAGTCAGTAATTAAGATATCTATCCTTTAATAGAACATGCAACATTGGTAGAATGGATTCTCCTTCTTGTGCCCTTTATACTCTCAAAATGTACTCTTCTTTGAAGCAGACTTGAGTATAAAAGCGAAAAAGAATAGCCAATGTATGAGTGAAGGTCTGCTCGTGAAATGTTAAATAGAATCTAGGAAAAAAACAAATTTAAAATCTTCAGTTCTTTAATCAGTGAATTATTATTTGTAGGGAAAAAAAGGAAACAAATCTAAAGACCAAGGGTTCATTGTCCACAGCTTTCTATGGCTGAAATTGCTTTTCATGGAAGTACAAGTAGTCCTCTACTTACAACCATTTGTTTAACAACCACTTGAAGTTATGATAGTGCTGAAAAAACTATTAATTGGTTTTTGCATTCCCACAGTCATGTGATCAAAATTGGGCGCTTGGCCTGTATTTACGATGGTTGCAGCATCTCAGGGTCACATGTTCATGATTTGTGATCTTCCCAGGGGTTTTCCACAAGCAAAATCAATGGGGGAAGCTGGGGTTTCACTTAATAAATGCAGCAAAAAAAAGATAGTAAAATCAATTGCGACTCACTTAATGATTGCACTGTTTAGCAATAGACCATGACAAAAAAAACCATGACTTAAAAACACTTTACCAGCACTTTCCCCAGACACAAGTCAGGCTCCAATGATATTGTAGCATGAGTGTCTAAAGGTTTTTAGACTTCTAAGTGAAAAAGGTTGAACTATTCCAATGTCCAGCAGGAGGTTATTCCATAAGGGTGGTGCCATAACAGACCAGGCATACTTCCTAGGATCTACCAGGTGACTGTTTCCCCACTGAGAACATTTGGAACATGCCTATCTTTATGCATCTAGTCTAGTGGAACAGGCAGAAACAAATGGTACTGCAAGTAACCTGGCTCCATGACTCATAGATAAGGTGACAACCAGTACCTTGAATTGCACTTGGAAGTCTACTGGGAACCAGTGAAGTTTACATAGCAGCATACTGTATTGTGTCCACAACTACATGCCACTGCATTGTGGGCCAGTTGGAGCTTGCAAATGCTCTTCAAGGGCAGCCTCATATAGAACATGTTGCTATAAGTCTAAATAGGTGTGTATGTGTGTGTGTAAAGTGCCAATTTGGTGTAGTGAAAAAAGAATCAGGCTAAAAACCAGGAGACTTGACTTCTAGTTCCGCCTTGGCCCAGTCATTTTTTCTCAGCCTAGGAAAGAGACAATTGCAAAACCATTACTGAAAAAACTTGGCAAGATAACTTCAGGGACTTGTCCAGGAAATCTCCAAAATCTGGATATTATTGACCAGAGCAAAGGAAAATCGGGAGGTTATTAGGGCACTGCCTCCCAATCTATGAACTGGCACAACTGATACATAAGACGTCTCTATTCAAGGACCTTTTTGCCACAGCTGCTGTTTCTCAATCAGAAGTTGAGGACTACTAGACATTCCCACATCATGGGAATGTCATCCCATCCAGAATTAAGAAGGGAAGATCACTAGATTCAGGGGGCTTTAAAAGACACAGTCAATCTCATCAGTTGAGAAAAAAACCTGTTCTCCACCAGACTCTCCCAGCATCCAGGTACTGGCAGACTACCTCAACAGTATCCAATTGGATGGCCCGGGGCAGAGAGGTATAACTGAGTATCATCAGCATACTGATAATACTTGATTCAATGCCAACAAATGACCTCACCCAGAGGTTTCATGTAGATGTTAAATAGAGTTTCAAAGACCAAGCGCATTCATATTGCCATTATCACCAAGTTCTGTGGAGAAAGGCCCGTTTCGATATATTAATAAGAATTTTCAGGATCCATTATTTTTCAGTTTCTTTTATGATGTTGGTGTGTCTCCACACAGATTTGTGATAGCTTTTTAAGGGAAGCATTCTGTATATATCTGTGCAAAGTATAAAATCAGATTTCCGGTATATTTTAAAAGATAAATGTGAAACTAAACATTGTATAATTTGGAACTGGAAGATCACAAAATACAAGTAGTCCTCACTTTATGACCAAAATTGAACCAACATTTCTGTTGCTAAGGGAAACATTTGTTAAATGAGTTTTGTCCCATTTAAGACTTCTTGTCACAGTTGTAAATTGCTGCAGTTACTAAATTAAGTAATATAGTTGTTAAGTGAAACTGGTTTCCCCATTTGACTTTGTCAGGTCGCAAAAGGTGATCACATGACCCCAGGACACAGCAATCATAAATATGAACCAGTTGCCAAGCATCTGAATTTTGATCACGTGACCATGCGGATGCTGTGAAAAACAGTCATAAGTCATTTTTTCAGTGACATAACTTTTAACAGTCACTAAATGAATTGTTGTAAATCGAGGATTACCTGTATATGGGTAGAAGTCAGGCTCTTTATTAGATACCCTATGCTGTATTGCTAAAGTTGCTTATTAATTTTTCAGATTACCAAATAAGCACTATTGCATGGAATCTATGTGTTAAAGTGGCTTTCTGTAAAAAGCATTTTTTGGGACGCAGGTAGCTAATGGAAAATAATCTTTTTTATATTTTTGGACACAAAAATAGCACAATCATGCTGCCTTGAAAAAGGTATAAAGTGCTCCAAAATATGTTGCTTGGAAAAGAAAGTTTAAAGACATTATTGGTTGGAAAATGGGATGAATTCATTCCATCATGTATTAGTAATAGAGAATATAGTTAAATTTTGTTATTATAGGAAAAACAAATCCTTTCCCAGGAAATATCCCCATAATCATTTTGATTCCCCATCCCACCCTTGTTCTCATTTTACTGTTCATGGGGACTAAATAATTTTCTATATGAGGAATAATGAGACTGCAGGAACTTTAGAAAGGGAGTACAATTTGCTTAATTTTCTCTGTATTATGTTTTATGTAGATATCTCACATGAATGCTGTGTAGTTGTACAGGAAATTGAGCAAAAAATGTATAGATTGTGATGTCTGGTATTCTGCCCTGTAAATGTGTTTTTTAACCTATGCCAATCTTATTTAAAAAAACACACACACACACACACATTAAACCAGTTCTCTTTTTGTGTATTCTTGTTCAGAAAACCTGTATTAATTGTAAGGAAAACAAACTAAAGGAAAAAATGTACCAGAATCCTAAAGATATTTGGTTGTATATATTGTGATAGCATGTTTCCAGAATCAACAAATAAGTGATGTGAATTTTAGGTGTAAATATCTGATGTTTTGTTTTGGAAATTTTCTTTCCCCACTCAACTGCTGTGATGTGGAATTAAAGATTAATACTGATACTAAAAAGCATTGAGCAAATATATTTTCTGAATTAGTGATGAAATATTTATTTAGATGGCCAAGTATGTCATACCAGACTCTGTATGTATTCAGAAAAGTAAAGAATACTCTTTATATTCTGTATATATTAATCAACCAGCCCAGAAGAGAAAAAGACTCCAGCACCTCTCCATCAGTAATCAGCACTCAGATCAGCATAGATTAACTCCAAGGTCAACTTCAGACCAACAATCAAGTAAGCAATACCCCAAACAAGAAACTGCCAGAGCCATCAGTAAACAGCCCAAAGGAAGAATCCCTAAGAGCACCCCCACCCACCACAGACAGGCAAGACACCAGAATATAAACTGACAGCAAACAGCACTCACTAGCACTGTGAAGCTACCTAGTTAGGGTAATGAAACGTCTACAAACAAACAAAAGAAAAAAAAAAACAAGCTCAGAGCATCAAGGACCCCTCATTTCAACCCTGAGCTACAAATATTCCCCTTTAAAATGAGTAAAGCAGCATAAAAACAAAACTGATAAAGGAGTTTGGTCTCTGTATTCTGCAGTGGCTCCTGCAATTGAACTGAAACCCAGCAAAGACCTGGACGATCTGAAAAATTATCGACCAGTATAACTTCTCTGCCATCTCCACAAGGCACTGGAATGGATATGGATGATTCCCAATCATATCTCAAAATTCATTGATGCAAAGATCATAAGGGAGCAAGCAGTTTTTAGACCTTGGACAAGGTTGTTGTGGCCAAATCCTAAATCTTAATGCAACATTGAAGATGTTTTCAAAAGAAAGCTAATTACTGGAGTGGCTTTCATTGACTTAACTACAGCGCATTACCCTGTTAACCATAGGATATTGCTACTCAAGTTGATTACCACCAGATATAATAAACTTACCAGGGTCATTGGCAGCTTCCTTCAGAACTGTGACACTGAATGCTAAGAACAGTAGATGGAGGATACAGAAGGAAGGCTGCCACAAGAAAGTATATTGTCTCCAACATTGTATAACACACACAAATGATCAACCAGTCCCCAACAACACGCGTCTATTCATCTATGCAGACGATACAGCAATAGCCACATAAGGATCAACTTTTGATGAGGGGGATAGCTGGAAAACTTATAGTAGCACTTGAAGAATTAAGATATTACACTATCAACTATTTAAAGCCCAACCTATTAAAAGAATAGGTTGAGAGTTGGAGTGCCTAAATGTAAAACCAATGTGTTCAAGTGCAGGCTTTTAGCAGATAACAACACTATGTGAATGTGAAGGAATGCAGAGCCTGATCCACTAGAGGGTTTTTTTTATTGGTAACCAGTACTATAGAACAAAAGAGGATAAAATAGAAACAAGTGCCTGAAAGAGTATAGCCATTAAGAATGCAAAATTAATTCCATCTTAGTATATAGAAAGCAAAGCATTATGCTACAATAAAATGAAACATTAATGTATTACTGAATAGCAGATGCAGAAAAATAGAAATTCTGGAACTCCTTTTCTCTATTAAAAATTGAAAAATCTGAAGCCACTGTTTTTACCTGATCATCAATATCTGCTTATTTCCATAAAATTTATTTCATCCTAGTTTCAGCTTTTTACCATGCATAATGAATGTTGGAATGATTTCACTGGAGGAAACTTTTCCAAGGCAGACAAATGAACAACTGAATGAAGACTAGTTTTATGGGGGGCGGGGGCGGGGGTTGTTAAAGCATAGCCTTGCTGCTGGGTTATTTTCATCCAGTGGAGAATGGTGTCGTAAGCAATGCTTGACCATTGGGGAAGCTATTGTTTTTCTAGTAAATGTTCAAAGTCCCCTGCTCTTAATGTATCATTTCACTTGTTCTCAAAGGAGAAATACAGAAACCTTTACAAATTCTATTCATTTGCAAGGGAGAAGGGGAAAACAAGCATTTTTCCATACATATAATCCTAGAGATTATTTTACTTACTCTAAAATCAACAAGTTTCAACATACAGACTACATAAATTAAATCCTCTGTAGTTAAACTAAGATGTAATGAAACACACCTGAAGCTATTTTTTATACATTTTTAAACACAATAAAGATAAACAAATGGCTGTGTGCATTTCCAGCTTTCGTAAAAGTTCCTTAAAGGGTAGTAAAACTTGGTTAATCGTGTTGAAATTGGCTAGCATGTTTCTAACATTTCAGTATTCTGGGTTCAGAGCTGATTAAGCAAGATGGGCCACCATATAGATAAAATCAACTAAAACCATGTTATAGAAGGCAGTAACATCTTTCATCTCTCATGCCTTCAAAACTAACAAAACTAACCTCACTAGAAAATTGAACTACAAAACAAAGAAGCATTCTTCTTTCCTTACAAGACTGATTAAAATTAATAGAATGGGTATCTTGGTTCTTTCAGATGAACCAAAGAAAGAAAAAAAATTAAAACTATACTAATTTGTATGTTATATTCTAAAAGAGAATATTTCATTTCATAAGCCTATCATGCTGTAATTTTCTGCCCTATTATATGAATTTATTTCCACAAACTCGTCAGTAAAAACAGGTCTTTGTGTGCAGAGGAAACAACAACCAGTGATTGAGGTTACAACTCAAAAGTGTTAAGGTGTTTTACATATAAAAATTGCAGTTGTATAGCAGCAGGGTATGTTACAAATTCCATTAAGGAAGTTCACTTGGAAGGGCCTTTTCTGTGTCTCCCTCCTGTGCAACATCATCTTCATAGACTGGACTCGATACTCTTCCAAAAGGCTCCGAAGACATGGTTGTGCCAGCAGGCCTGGGGATCCCAGGTTGATGTAGAGTCCATCAAGTAGTTATTATTGGGTTTTATGTTTGTTTTGTTGAGTTTCTTTAAATAGATTTCGTGCTGTAGTGGTGCATGTAGGTATGCAGTCTCTACGTCCAAATGATTATATATTTATATCTAGCTGCCCCTACCAACGCTGCACTTAGTGTAATAGCTTTTAAACTTGGAGCGAATACCTCATCATAATCTTCAAATTAAATCCTTGAGCTGCCAGCCTAGCCTTATATATTGGTTCACCCTTTATACCAGTCTTTAATTTATATATCCACTTACTACAGAGTATAGTTCTACCTTGTATTTTTAGAGTTTCATAAACATTTAAATTCTGCAAAGATTTTAGTTTTTTAGTCTTCGCAGATCTCCACACTTCCTGATCTTCAGGTGGAAATGTGGTTAACTCATTATATGTTGTAGGAACTTTATTTGATAATCATTGTTGCCTGATACCTATCAGGTGGTCTTGTTACTCTATTCGACCTTCTTGGAAGATCAGGACTTACAGATGGTCTCTCCACCTTCACCTGTTCCTGTACTACATCCCCCTCTACCTCTTTGTTCTGGATTTCTGGCATTTCGTTAATAGCTTCAGTCTGAGTTTCAATGATAACCTCATTCTCAGTCCCCAATTTATTCCACTCTACATGCTCCATAAACTTTGCATTCGCACTAACTACCGTTGTTGTTCTTTTTAGCCAAAATCTGTAGGACCTGTGTTTTGAATTATAACCAACAAATATTAATTGTTGTGCCGTACTCTGGCCCTTACGTCTTAACTGCGATAGAATATGTACCCATGCAGGTGACCCGAATGTGTGAATGTAACTCAAATCCATCTTCTTTCCATGCCATACAGTATGGAGTATTTTCTTAGTGGTTGTATTTACGACATTGTTCAAGAGTGTATTTGCACACATTATGGCTTCTCCCTATAGACCGGCTGGTAAATCTGCATCAGCTAACATTGTTCTCATCATTGCTTGTAAAGTTTGTCATCTCCTTTCAACATATGAGTTACGTTGTGGTCTATATGGAGCTGAACATTTATGTTTTATACCAGCATTGTCCAACATTGATTTAAACCTCGTGTTTACAAACTCAGTACCGTTATCAGTTACAATGGTAACTATTTTTTGCTTTGTTTTTCTCTCGACAAACTTGATCCACTGAACAAAATACCGAAATGTATCTGTCTTATTCCTCAATAGGTAGCAAAAACCATACCTGGAGTAATGGTCAACTATGCTTAGGACATAACAAGCACCCACTAGACTAGCTTTCATTGGCCCTATTAGATCAGCGAATGCCACTTCCAGTGGTCTCTTCATTTTAAATCCGTCAAACCTATTGGCAGGGAGTGTTCTGCTCTTTTGCCGATTACAAATATTGCAATTTAAATACTGGTTACATGGCTTCAGCTTCAACCCATCAACTAATTTAACAGTTTTCTGCAGCATTTTAAAACTGATATGCCCCATTCGTCTGTGGAGCAAGTGAACACATTCGTCATGTGGTTTGACATTCGAGTATACAGCATTTGTAACATGATTATTAGATAATACATACAAACCATCTTTCAATTTTCCAGTAATCTTCGTTCCACCCTTTTCAATTAAACAATCATTATCCCTAAAAGTTACTGTATATCCTAGCTTAACTAATACTCTAACCGATAATAAAGTTTAGAGTTGGAACGTATAACATATGCATTTTTTCTTTTACCTATGGACATATTGCCAGTCCCTCACCACATGACTTTAGCTTCCACCCATTTGCTAAAGAAATCTTATTATTACTGGGCAACATTTTTACAAAATAGTTTCTAGTTCTGATAATGCACAGCGATGCCCTGCTATCAATAACCCACGATGGTGGTTAACCGGTGCCTTATCAGACATAGCTACATTACATTGTTTCCTATCTTTAACCATGGTTGTTTGTTTCAGCCTTCTACAAAACTTGGCTATATGACCCTTCTTGCCACAATTAAAACAATGTTTCACAGCATATACATGGTTATTTGCATTTGCATTAGTCGACCCAGGTTCTTCTCTCAGCTGTTTTCTTTCTTCTCTCCTTCTGGCCTCTTCTAGTAGTCGTGAGGTTACATTGGCCAAAGTTAGTTCTTGCTGTGTGAGGACTTCAAATGATGTTACTACGTCGTCGTAGCTCTCATCCAGCGATGATAATAGTATATAAACCTGTTGCTGCTCAGAAAAAACCACCTCCTTCTGATGTAGCTCTCGAAAAACACCTTTCATGTAATTCAGGTATGTTAACATGTCACCACCCTTAAGGAGTCATGTGCGAAATAACTTTCGTATAATGTTAATTTGTGCCCCCACAGTGTCATGAACATAAAGCCGTCTCAAATTACCCCAGCATCTTGCAGCAGACTGTTCACCCTCAATGTGAACAAGCTGGGTATAGAATCGTCTAGAATCAAATCAATTATGCACAATGCACTCTCATTTTTCCTCTGGAACTCCACTATCTTCCTGGCATCCTCGGCATTGTCAGCATTCCAGGAGGCCACATCTGGTGGGTTCTGCACTACATCCCATAGCCCCTCTTTGCGCAACAGTAGACTGCACTTGGTGGACCAGGATTTGTAGTTGGTGCCATCCAGCCGGGTAATCAGCGATAAATTTGGAGCTTGACCTTGTGCCATCCTCACCAAGATATGAAATATATCAGAACGCCTGGAGGAGTAGTGTGTGTCGCAACTCCCTTATTGCTGTAACTGGTACATACAGACTGGGCCCATAACCAGTGCTGAGGGTAAAACTTCCCTCTGCATAGTAGGCAACAGACCGGACAGCAAAGAGATACGTTGCTGGTTAAACACAGATACTCACAGATGCTGAACGGTGAAAGAAAAACATTATTTACTCTTAGTGAAAAAACAAACTTGGTTTCTCAAAACAATGATAACACGTCTTCAAATAATCACTCTCCAACACAAAACATAGTTTGCTTACAGTTCTCTTCAGTCACACACAGTCCCTCTTCAGAAGATCAATCATCAAATAGCAGGAACAGGAGCTCCCGGGCTTCCTGTCTACTTTTATGGCTGCCTGATAATAGCACAGCCAATCATTCTTCTTATATCATTTAAAGTCACAAACATAGTTTTTCTATATATTACCTACCCAACCGTAGGATAAATATCCAACAAGTTTTATTCCTGTAAATTGCCTGCAGTTACCTTGAGTTGGGTTGCTATATAAATAGCAATAGCACTTAGACTTATATACGGCTGCATAGTGCTTTACAGCCCTAAGTGGTTTACAGAGTCAGCATATTGCCCCCAACAATCTGGGTCCTCATTTTACTGACCTGGGAAGGATGGAAGACTACGTCAGCCTGGTGAGATTTGATTTGCCAAACAGCTGGCAGCCAGTGATCAGCAGAAGTATCCTGCAGTACTGCATTCTAATCACTGCGCCAATGCATATATCTCAAAAAAGATCTTGTACTGAAGTTTTAAGTCTCCTCCCTCTTTCTTGTAGTATAATTTCTTAATTGCTTTCAGCATCTAAATATAAATATATATCCCTGGTCAATCCCGAAAAATGTTTTTTTTTTAAAATCAGGGCAACCTAGTCTACCCAAATATGGGATGGAGCATACTGCTTCCACTTTCACTTTTCAGCCCCAATCCAGGAGCCTTCACAGGCAGTCGTTTCTGCGACAAACTATAGTTTGTCCTGAAAAGTATAGTTTTCATGTCACACATAAAATTATCTTCAGTCCCACAAAATTCCTATCATGAAGTTGTCATGTTTATGTGGCTTGTCTCATTTTCACTTATATTCCTGGAGGCAGTTTGCAAATCCCCTACTCTTTATCTCCGACTATCTTACTTTAGCCTGACAAAATAATTAATTCTCGAGAGGATGCCGTCATATCTAAACAGATTCATAAGATCCCTTGCCCTGAAGAGCCTCATCCGGCGGACGAGTCCTGATCCAATAATTACTGAGGTCCCAATTTCAAAAAAGACCCAAGAATGGTTCTTGGTGTCTTCTTATTTCACGAATAAAGACAAATAAATATGTGCGTCCCAGGATAATGTTGCAGGATGCAATCTGAGTCAGGTCACTGGGACCAGAAGTTTTAGTCTTCCGAGCTTTCGGATGCGTGCTGGAGCCCATCCTCAGGGAACGTCTCTCTCACCAGAAGTTCCCCGAGGATGGGCTCCAGCACGCGTCCGAAAGCTCGGAAGACTAAAACTTCTGGTCCCGGTGACCTGACTCAGATGGGCTTTTTTTATTTCAGATGCCAGACCAGAAGCGGACGCCACTCAGCCTATGCCGGTAAGGTTCACCACCAGTGGCCCACTTTCCTGGCTCCGAGAATCCATGATATCCATGAGCCAGAATATCCCCTTAACACCAAGGAGCCTTCCCGAAGGCCTAAGACCGTCTAAGGCGGTCCACTTGCAATGAGGCTGCTTGACGAGAACAGTAGAGCGACCCCTCCCTTCACGCGGAGGGTTCCCACACTCGGGGGGGGGGTCACTGTCCGGTGCTGGAACTTCAGAGTGGGCGAGAGCAAGCGGATTCCGTACTCCGCGTTGGCTTTGCGGAGCTGACACCTACAGGAGCTCGTCGCCACGGGCGAGAACGCCGCCCCGGCTGAGATTCCCGGATCCTTCGGTCGCCGCGACTGCCTTCTGCGCCGCCACTGATCCGCCATTGGTTACGTCTAGCGGCACATGCGCGCCTCTCGTCTTCCGTCGGAAAAGCTCGTCCAATCGGGGGCCGCCAACTCGCCCGTCCTGAAAACGGCTGGGCCAACCAAGAGAAGCAGCGTGGAGGCTTGTTATAGAATGGTCCAACGAAAGCCTCTAATGTAGAGCGAAAAGAGGGGAAAGCAGCCAATGAGGTTCCGAGTGGGCGGCAAGTGCGTCGTCAAGGTGCCGGCTGTGAAGGAGCTCAGTGTGAGCCGAGCGAGCGGTCGAGTCGGGCTCGGTGGAAGGAGGATGCGGGCGGCTAACGGGCTCTGGGCGGCGCTGGCCTTGATCCTGCTCCCCGGAGACAGCCACGCTCTGCGAGAGGGAGACTGCGAAGGTGAGTCTGGCTTCGCCGAGCGAGGGTCTGGCGAGGCGGCAACAGCCAGCCGTGGAGGTCGCGGGACTACCGGGGCTCCGCTGGCTGGGGCGGGAAGGGCAGAAGCGAGCCGAAAGCGCCTCAGCCTACCCGCTTCTGCTCCCATCGGAGCGAGGGGTGGCTCCAGGCAGAGCTTTCCCGCCTCCCACGGGCTTCGTCTTCCATCACCGGGTGTGATGCGAGCTACCTCGCGGGATTGTTGTGGAGCTTAAACCCTGCCAAAGTATAAATAAGGAGTTTTTTGAGAATGGTAGTCCTCCGGCGACAGGCTGAGGTCCGCTGCTTGGGAGTCCCTGTCCCGTTGGAAGGAAGCCGGCTTTGCGAAGTGGCCTCCTGAAGTCCCTTCGCAAAGTGGGAAAGGCCGCGATTTAGGGCTGTGGGCCATTACAGTGCCAATGATCCGGAAGGCCCCGGCTCGGGGAAGTGGGCTACTCTCAGGACTGAGACAGGGAGAGAAAGAGGAGGTTAAGTTCTTAGGCAGCATTTCTATGAGGCGAAAAGCGTTTAGTTTCGCACCTCCTAGTAAAGAGACATCAGTGCAACAAACTTTCCTCTAATCTTGAGTTTGGGATTTAAGGTGACTAGGATATGGAGGGAGATGTAACTGCTGTGTCGATTACTATAGTGCAAGGGGCAGTCAAGGATCTTCTTTGTTCTTTTTTTATAAGGGATTATTGAAGAGTATTTCCTTTTTTTTTTTGTATTCTGTACTGCGTGTGTGTGTGTGTGTGTGTGTGTATTCTGTACCTAGTGTGAGACTAGGAGCCAGGAAACCCAGATTCAAGCCCACTCTCGAAACTTCCTGAGTGATTTGGGGCTATTCATATACTCTGAACCAAACTGGCCTCCCGTTATGGGAATTCCTGTCTAGCCTACTCTGAATTCTTGAATAACTCAAAATTAATTAAATCAGGTGTGATAAAGTGAATGTTTCCTGGTTCTCTATTGTCTGACACTTCCTACGTGAACAGCGGGTTGGTTAGTCACTTTTATTTACACTTAACTTTGTTCCATGATCAAACCTGAATTGAAATTAGTCACAGCCTTTTCAGTAGTATATTTAAGCATTACAAAAATAAGTACATTTTGTTAGCTGTTTGCTTAATGTGTTATATCTACACTGATACTGCAGTAAATCAGAACACGTTTGGGATTTCTGGCAATGGTTTCTAGGAAAGAGTATGTGGCTTTCCTTAAAATCTTTTCCATTTCAGAAACTAGCACTCTTAGTTGCTGTCTTACAAGGGAAAAGTAAGAATTTGTTCAGCCAGTATCTTTTAGGGGCTTTGCTATTAGCACATAAAACTATTCAGAGCAATTAAAGAAATGTGTATTCATTTTTATAACCACTGGGTATCCTATGAAACAAGATGTGGTATCATATATCACTTCTCTTTCAAAGAACACACATTTTCCTCCCTTTGCTTCTGTAAAGTTTAATAGTGTGGGAATCGAAGATGCTGACTGAGATACAAATATTTTATTTTTCTCTAAAAGACTCCTGTCTTTATAACTTGAGAAAATGAGCACTGTTGTTCATTTGGTTCCCAAATCTGAAAAACTAAAAAAAATTCTGCTATCCAAATTATGAGGCTTAAAAACAATGTCATAAACTTAACAAAGTTGCAATGAACAAAGTATATTTCTTTTTTTTCACAGGATAGCACTTTATGTACCGTTCTTCATTCTGTTGAAAGAAGCATTACTTTGCCTACAGCCTTGTTTTTCCTTTTTGTAAAACAAACAAGGCTTACAGATGAGCAAATGAAGTCAAGTATTAAGATACTTGATGTCATGGAATAAGGATGGAGTGCTACAGCAATGTCTATTGCTTATAGCACTTGCTAATTCAGCTACTTCATATTATATTATCCCACTGCTTTTTGCTACACTAATACATCATCCAAATATGTTGTGTCCTCCCCCCCAGTAGCTTATTTTCTGCATTAATTCTTTTTTCTTTTTTTTATGCAGTGTTCTTTCTCATTTTTGTTTAAATCCCTTAAATTCTTAATAAAGTTACAATTGTCTTTTTTTCCCTTCACAGTGTGTGTGTCATTCCTGAGAACTTTCTATCAGGCTCTACAAGAGAAGAATGTTGAGTTCACACCAAACAGTATTGAAAAAGAACTTTTGAAATTCTGCAAAGAGGCAAAAGGCAAAGAAAACCGTTTTGTAAGCATTAATAATAAAATTTGAGTTTTCTGTCAATCAATTAGTCATATTTTAAGCAGTGTGAAGTTGGTGGAAAGATTACATTGCTTAAAAGACAAAATTTAGTTTAGCAAATCTGCTACTGAGCGCCAATGGGGAAAGTATATTTGAAATATTTATAGTGGAAGCTTCATACAAGCAGTATATTGTCTAAGATTAACATTTTTAATTGTAAAAATTCATCTCTTTTTAAAGACAGTAATATTGGCATTGCTCAGAAGAAGTTTCATATGCATTGAAATAGTATTAAAGAATCAGTCCAGACAGATTACACTGATCCTGAACCCAGACATTGCAATAAAAGATGGACCAACTAACAGCATATATAATATGGTATCTCTTGCACACTGAGCGGGTAGAACATGTCATCATGGGAGAGTCTCTACCCCTAGATCATATTATGCTTTAGTTAGCACTTTGAATTAAGCTAGGTAACAAATCAGGAAGTAGCAAATTCAACAGGAACCAAGTAATACAAGAAAAAGAAATCAACCCTAGAAAATATTTTGTAAAGGCATGCAGTGGATAATAATCAATTTTACTTGATCTATGGAGCATGTGTGATTATAATTTCTCTAGAAAAGAAGTTGAGCTGGCACACCCACCTAAATTATGCAAAACATTCCTGAAAAAAATTTACTACTGGGTTCTTATGAGCAATGTTTCCAGGAGTATTCTTGGAGTTAGCTGATTTGGAATGACTTCATTTATTTTGAGAAAACTGGCTACTGCAAGTAATGCTCATGCTCTCTTTTCATTTAACAACATCATTTCTGAATTCTCTATATTAATTATTGATCTGTTTGAAAATAAGGGATTGATTACATTAAGATGTGTTTTTATTTACTTTAGGCACCAAAGCAAGGCTTGTTAACTTAGGGAAAAAAAGACTGCAGAATTCACACATTGCATATCTTATATGTGGGATCATCCTAATTTTCTTTTTCATCTTAGCTTCAAAAAATGTTACAGTTAATATTTCTTTTAAAAGATTAATAAGTAACTAAATAAAATTAAGTAACAATATATAACTATAGTATTTTATAATGAAACAAGGGTCTTCCTAGTTTTTAGTTGCTTTCAATAAAAGGAAGAACTACAGAGTGCTAAAGTGTTTTATCAGAAAACAAAGGCAGAATTAGTTTGAGTTTTATCTATGCTTTTGATAAATTTTATAGATGCTCAAAGATTTCCTGATTCCTTTTTTTTTTTAAATGTCCTGATTTCTTTCTCGCTGTTTCCCTTCTAGTGTTATTACATTGGAGCAACCAGTGATGCAGCCACCAAAATAATTAATGAGGTATCAAAACCTCTAAGTCATCATATCCCTGTTGAGAAGATTTGTGAGAAACTGAAAAAGAAAGATAGTCAGATCTGTGAACTGAAATATGGTAAGTACAGATAAATGTTGGTTATGGAATAAAGGATAACATAAGAGAAATGCTGAATTGCATTAAAACCCTCCAACTACAACATTTTCTTTCAACCGTTAACATTCATAGAATAAAAGGATATTTTACTATATTTGTAAATCACAGCAGTTCGTCGCAGCTAGATGGATTTAGCTGATGTTGAAAAAATTAAATAGGATTGGGTTTGCTTAATATTTGGAAGCCCACAAGAACTCCCAGGACTGTAGGATAAACTCTGAAACTAAGAAATCACCCCCAAAGGTTGCAGTACTAATCATTTACATACTGTTGTCAACCAAACAAAAAAGCTATAACATCATCTGGAGTGGAACTCTATTCAAGGGTGACTATACTTGTATATTTATGTACTACTTGTTATTCACAACAGAGTCCAAATGCAGACAAGTTCAGAGCAGTATTAGTAGTAATTATACTAATGTAATAATAATTTCACAGAAATGTTCAAAATATATGCAGTGATTTGGAGACGACATAGAATTATTTTTTATCCTTCATGAATTTGTTTCCTCCTTAAGCTATAATATTTTGTGGTAATGAATTCTGTGAAGAGTATCTATTTTTCTGCCATCACTATTCCAGTATTTTGCTTTATTGGCTCACTTGAAGTGATTGTACTGTCAGAGAAGGAAAAAAATCTAATTTAAACATTGAAAATATTGTTGGATAAAGATAATAGAAAAATTACTGAGAATAAGCCTCATTGAGTAAGATATATTCCAAGTAAATAACAGCAATTCGATGTTTATCAGCTAAAAGATATACTTTTCGTTATGTTTGGAAATAATAGTAATAATATGTTTTATGTGTATGGCTACCCATCTCATCTGAATTGAGTCTGGGCAGTTTACATCAGGTAAATAATCCATTAAAAGCAAGCTAAAACAGTATACAAACATGTAAAACCATCAGTAATAATTCCAAAACAAAAACAACTTATGATGATCAATAGCAGAACCATCTTTACATAAACTCAACAAGCCATTATAAAAGCCTTCCCCTGTTGCCAGACACCCAAGCACAGCAATAGGCTTCAGAGCCTTTCTAAAAGCCAGGCTGTTTAGACCAATCTGAGTTCCAGGGGAATGATATTCCATAGGGTGGGCTCCATGGCAGAAAATGCTTTCTTCCTTGGTCCAGGGTGATGACACTCTTTTGTAGATAGGACCCATAAAATGCCTCTCCTGCTGGTCCCAATAGGATGGTGGATATAATTAGGCAGTGACAGACCCTTAGTTAACCCAGCCTCATGCAGTGTAGGCCTTGACAGGTCATTACCACCACCTTGAATTGAACCCGGAAACATACTGGCAACCAGTGCAGTTTGTAGAGTACAGGTATCATGTGTGCTGATTTAGGAGCGTGTATAACTGCCTGTGCTGCCACATTCAGTATCAGCTGTAGGTTTGGATGGTCTTCAAGAGCATTTATTTTTTACGATACTAAAAATCGACTGAAAACACCTTAACAATTTATTTTGTTTCCAAACTCTAGTAAGGTACTCCTTGCCTTATGATTACAATTGAGCCCAAAATTTCTGTTGCTAAGTGAGACAGTTGTTAAGTGAGTTTTGCTCCTATTTTAAGACCTTCATTAATATGGTTAAGTGCAGTTGTTAAAGTTAGTAACAGTTAAGTGAATCTGGCTTCCACATTGACTTTGCTTGTCAGAAAATCACAAAAGTTTATCACATGACCTCTGGACACTGCAACCGTCATAAATATGAACCAGTTGCCAAGCATCCACATTTTGACCATGGTAATGCTGCAATTATTTTAAGTGTGAAAAATGGTCGTAAACCACTTTTTTCAGTGCCATTGTAACTTTGAACGGTCACTAAATGAATTGTAAGTTGAGGAGTAATGAATTATAAGTTGAGGAGTACCTGTATAGATTTGAGTTATGAAAACTTGCATTCTTCATTAAAGTTGACCTGAAGTAATCTTTTGTTATTTAAAGAAATCCATATATTTAGCTAGTATAAACTGAGCATAGTAACAATAACAATATACTTTTATAATCTCGAGTAAGTATATCTTTTTTTTTCAACAAGATACAAAAAAAGGGGGGAAATAGTGGATACATTTGGGGAATAACTTTCATCATTGTCTATCATTAACTGGAAATAGTTCCTTCTATGTAAGATCAACTGCTGAATAATAATGATTGGCATCAGGGTACAGATTATAGAAATTAATCATCTAACACTAGGACTGTTAATGCATCATGTACTAATATGTACTCCTTTTTTCACAGATAAACAGATTGACCTGAGTACTGTGGACCTGAAGAAACTGAGAGTCAAAGAATTGAAGAAAATTCTAGACGACTGGGGTGAAACATGCAAGGGCTGTGCAGAAAAATCAGATTACATTCGTAAAATCAATGAACTGATGCCTAAATATGCACCAAAAGCAGCCAGTTCGCGGACAGATCTCTGACCACCATAGTGACCTCTATCAATTAGCAAGACACACAAACTACGTTAAACTTTTTCTTTCCCGGAAAGCTGTTTTTTGTAACTTATTTAACTGGGTTTCAAGTATCAAATTGAAGGGATTCTTGCAATGCTGGTTCAGATGCCTCATCATATCTTAAGTTTTTATTTCTATTGTTTTGGATTTATTATAAGACTTTGACATACATATGGGATTTTTAAATAAAAGTTATGAAACCTAGTGTCAGTTGAACTAAAAGAATTGGCATTAGTTTAGTGTCATGACTGAACATTGCACTTTTCCAGCACTACCTAAGTAACAATGGTTTGAAGATGACCTATGAGACAGTATAGCTTGCATTTGCTGTTATTACTGTCTGTCTACATTCCATTCTTTAAAATGCTGAACACTTATTACATATCCAAATTAAATGTTTTAAGTGCACATCTTTCACAGGAGTTAATTTTTCTGAATAAGAAAGGTGTTCCTTCTGTCTTTACCTCCACTATCAGTACATATGACAACCCTCTTATTCAACTAAAAATATGCAGTGGCAGAAGGGGAAGATATACTGATGTACACTTTTTAAAAAAAGTATGAATTCTACTTTCATATGATGCACATAATATAAACTGTTAAAGCAATTTGTGTTGTGCTTACTTAGTTTGGGTATGGGCATTTCAGAGTATCAATTTAAGCTTTTTCTGCTCAGGGTGGAATTAAATCCATGTGATTCGTTTTTGAGAAAAACATAGTTGTAAACAAGAATTTCTTCATTTTAGATCAATGTAAATGTGAAAGCACTGAGGTGTTGCAAAAAGAGAACTGTTCAGAATTGTTAGTTTTGTTCAGGGAAATCCTTCGGGTTTAAATATATACAGGAGTTCCAATTCCTTTGTTTGATGTGGGATTATTTGAACAGATTTGGCAGGGAGCAGCTATTGGACAGGACATTTTGTAGAATGTTATGTCACCGGAAAATGGAGGAAGGCACCTCTACAGGAAAAACTATATTTAATAACCATTTTGAAATAATATTTAAAAATAGGTGGTGTGAGCCTATAATAAGGTTTTTATAGGGTTTTTTTAATGGAATTTATGAGATGTGATGCTATGCCTACATGCAATGAATCATGAAATTGAATTTGAAAGCAGCATACACAAATTGTTACAAACCTTACTATAAGAAATTAAATGAACCTATTAAGGTTATGAATGCCATGTAGATAGGCTAAACTAAAAAGGGGTTTCTTTCTTGCATTGTCCTATTAACTGATGTAAAAAGCACTTGAAAAAATACGTTCCTGTTTGAATTAAACAGGATAGTAATTCCCTTTTTAATAAACTCCAGTAATTAGGTGCGTCTTCGGAAGTATCAGTTGCTTAGAAAAAACGGGAATTGAAATTCTGTTGGATCAGTTTTCATTCGTCTTGCTTTTAAAAAACCGTAACACAACTTTTACTGTATAATCGCGTCCATCCTGGCGATCCGAGAGTTGCGTACTTGGAGCCGAAGCCTGCGTGCCTCGATGGAAGCGATTCTAACTCGGAGGGCATGTAGGGAGCCCTGCGCCTGTGGCTATCGCTGCAGTTTGATATTAAACAGGCGCCACCTACCTACCTACCCACCCACCCACGGCCAAGGCTTGGCAGAGTGTTAAGTCAGCGCCCTGCAGCGCAATGTCCTCGGAGTCCTGACCCGACGCTCCCAGCCCTCGGTCGCCCGCTCTACGGCTCCGCTGGCGGCACACGGAGGCGCGAAAAGAAGGCGGCAGGCCAGCGGGGGACCAACCGCCCGCCACAGAGAGCCACGGCGCCGCTCGCGGGGCGATAAAGGAGCAGAGCGCGAGACACGCATTCCCGCGGCCCTCACACTGACGGACAGGGGCGCGGGATGATGACGTCGGAGAGGCGCACGGCGCGGCAACTGGGCAGAGCCGCCTTCGCTCGTTCCCTTTTGTCCAAGATGGCAGCTGCCGCCGGAGGCGCCTCTTGAATCGCGGGCCCCGAAGCCATGAAGCGGGCGACCGAGCGGGATTCCAGCCCGGGCGGGTCCGGGGGGACACGTGGCGCCTCCTCCACCAAAAGGCCTCGAGAGCGCGAGAGCAGCGCCAGCGGTGGCGGAGGAGGGAGCGGCGGCGGCGGCAGCAGCCGGCGGGGCCCACACCGGAGTTCGGCCGCCTCCACCTCGTCATCCGCTTCCACCTCCGCCTCGTCGCGCAGCAGCCGGGACAAGCCTGCAGCTGGCGGTTCCAGCTCGCGGAGCCATCGCGGGGAGGAGCGGCCGGGAGGCGGAGGCGATTCGAACCACCGCGCAGCCTCCTCCAGCGCCAGGAACAGCAGCAGCCAAACCGCCGCCGCGGCCCCTGCCGTCCCGCCTACCCTGTCCTCATCCTCGTCTTCTCGGGCGCTGGGGCTCGCCAAGAGCAAAGTGACCGCTGCAGCGGTGGTTGCCCCTTCCTTGCTTCTGGGTGGACCTCCACCCGTGGCAGCCCCATCGCTCCTCTTGGCCCCTGGCCTTGGCTTGCCCGCTGGGGTGACTCTGGCAGGTGAGCCTCCTGGCTCCAGCGACTACAAGACTCTACTAGTGAGTGGCCTGGGCCCAGCCTTACCTGATCAGCTGCTGGAGGATGGCCTCTTTCGCCAATTTCAGAGATTTGCTAGCGGCGGTGCCAGCGACATTAGCGTCAAGCTGTCCCACACACCTGAACTTGGCCGTGTTGCTTACGTTAACTTCAGGCACCCGGCAGATGCCCGTGACGCTCGTCGGCATGCCAGAGCCCGGCAGCTTCTCCTTTATGATCGGCCTCTGAAGGTGGAGCCTGTGTACCTGCGAGGAGGTCGCCGGAGCCGTACTCCTCCACCTACCCCCTCTCCTGAACCCTTGGCATTTCTCCCTCCTATCCATGGTGTTTATCCATATAAACAGAGATCGCTGTCTCCTGTTGCCAGTCCTTTGCTGAGAGAGCCTAGACCTCGACACGCTCAAGCTGCAGCAGCAGCATTTGCCTTGGAAGCTGTTGCCTTGGGACTTTCTCGAGAAAGGGAGAGGGTGCTGGATTACTATGGGTTATATGATGAACGGGGCCGTCCTTACAGCTATCCCTTAGTGGCTGAGGAGGATTTAATGCCAGAAGATGATCAGAGAGCAACCCGGAATCTCTTCATTGGCAATCTTGATCACAATGTCTCTGAGGTGGAACTCAGGCGTGCCTTTGAAAAATATGGTATCATTGAGGAAGTGGTGATCAAGAGGCCTGCACGGGGTCAAGGTGGAGCCTATGCCTTCCTTAAATTCCAAAATCTGGACATGGCACATCGGGCCAAGGTTGCCATGTCCGGGCGGGTTGTTGGCAGAAACCCTATCAAAATTGGCTATGGGAAAGCCAACCCGACTACCCGACTTTGGGTTGGTGGCCTTGGTCCAAGTACTTCCCTAGCTGCTCTTGCTAGGGAGTTTGATCGTTTTGGTAGCATTAGGACTATTGATTACGTAAAGGGGGACAGTTTTGCCTATATTCAGTACGAGAGTTTGGATGCCGCTCAAGCTGCCTGTGCACAAATGAGAGGCTTCCCTTTGGGCGGTCCAGACAGGAGACTTAGAGTGGATTTTGCTAAAGCTGAGGAGGCCCGCTATCCTCAGCAGTACCAACCTGCACCACTTCCTGTACACTATGAATTACTCCCTGAAGGCTATAGCAGACACAGGAGCCTGGAGCAAGACTTAAGGGTGAGGGATAGGACTCCTCCTCATCTCCTTTACTCAGACAGGGAAAGGAGCTTTCTAGAGGCCGATTGGGCCAGCTCTGTCAAAAATGCAGAGCGCAGAAATAATTTGGAGGCATACAGTCGTTCAGCACGCAGCAGGAGTGGAGAACGTTGGGGCAGCGATAGTGATCGCAGTGTTCTCAAGCCCTGGGAGGAAAGGCGTAAACGACGTAGCCTTTCCAATGACCGTGGGCGGACTACTCATTCGCCATATGAGGAGAGAGCCAGGACAAAGACTGGTGGGCCAGGAGCAGATCGCAGCCCAGATCGGGTTCGGAAGGAGAATCACACTACAGAATCTACCACAGAGAAAGAACAAAACAACTCGCTGCAGAATAATCGACATGCATTAGAGGAGAAACCTCACCGTGAAACTTCGGATCCTCCTCAGCCTAAAAAAAGAGATAGTGAACGCAATCACCGAACTGGTGAGTCTGAATCAAAGGCTCATGAAGAGCCCAAATCTGAAACAAAGAAGTTAAAAACGTTATCCGATTATGCCCATACCCTGCAGCTTGCTTGGAATGGGCTACTTGTCCTTAAAAACAGCTGCTTCCCTACATCTATGCACATCCTTGAAGGAGATTTGGGAGTCATCAACGGGCTTCTGAAAGACCATTTGTCTGGTGGAAAGCTAACACAGCTTAAGATTGCTCAGAGACTTCGGTTGGATCAACCCAAACTGGATGAAGTAACTCGACGTATCAAGCAAGGGAGCCCTAATGGCTACGCTGTGTTACTAGCTACCCAGGCTGCTCAAGGGGCAAGTGCTGAAGGGACCTTCCCAGTGGCGGAGCCTGGCTTACAAAGACGGCTTCTCAGGAACCTGGTCTCTTACTTGAAACAAAAGCAGGCTGCAGGAGTCATCAGCCTTCCTGTGGGAGGGGCAAAGGGCAGGGACAGCACAGGCATGCTTTATGCTTTTCCTCCTTGTGAATTTTCTCAGCAGTACCTCCAGTCCGCACTAAGAACATTGGGAAAGTTAGAAGAAGAACATATGGTGATAGTGATAGTCAAAGACACTGCCTAGTATTTACTCTGTATCCATTTTCTCTTTATCCCCTTGTTCCGATTCTGTGTTTTCTTTATGTCTCACACTGCCTGGTTGCTTTTAAGGCCAATTATTTTGAGTGAGGCCCTTAGAGTCCTCCCACCAAATTCTACAATTGTATTAGTTTCTAATATTTTTAATACCCATTTTAATGAATCCCATTTTGTTTTACTACGTGACACTGTCTGCCGTGTTCTTATTTTTTAAAAATATATGGAAAGTTGTCAGTAAAGCCTTGTTCGCTGATGGATTTTTTTAATTTTGTGCAGTGTCCTGGTTTCTGTAGTCTGCCAGTGGCTGGCTCTGTGTTCCAGAATATAACAGCTAATGACTTTACCAAATTCAGTTCTTCCACTCTACTGCTATTTAACACTATTATGCCAGTTTTGTGCTCCCTTTATTTCTTCAATAACTGAAGCCTGGTTGCTTCTTTCCTCAGTGGTAGGTAGCTAGTGCTTTTTTTTTTTTTTTCTTCTCAAAGACAAAAGTCAGTGTATCCTTCAGACCAACCTTTTCCTGGTGGATGAAAGCTTTTAAGGTGGTCTTAGCCAAAGAACAGCTGTGTAAAACTTAAAAGCTTCAGTTAATTCTCTGCAACTCTTGGTGCAATAAAAAAAATATGAGGCACCTTGGGGGCTTTTTTCTTCCTCTTGATTGTGTTGATTGTTGGATTGATTATAATATTGCAAACTGAAAGCTGTTCTTAAATATCCTGTCTAGTAATAATTATGGGCTTCTCAGGAAGACAAATAACCAGGCACTTGAGTAGGACCTGATAACAACATCTACGTGATTGTGTTGTTCAGCTCCTTCATCAGTTAATACAGCAAAAATAAAAGACAAAACTTGACAAATTGCCTGCTTATAGTGTTTGTACTATCTTATATAATATCAAATTCTAAATTGCATCCCTTTTTATATCCAAGGGGGCTAGGCAAATGTATGTGCTACTTGGATGTATTCTGAAGCACTCTTATCACAATTGTACAAATGCAGGATATAGTTTGTCTATACCCTTTACCACAGACAATTATGTTGTACGTAATGCATATACATCTATTTTACCTTAGACTGGAAATTGTAATTGCAAATGAATTCGCATATAACTATTGCTGGAATATACTACTTTCATAGGTTTTTGTGAAGTAGTCCCGTGAGGACCGTCATGTATATTCTTTTTAAAAAGCATGTAATGAAATTCTCCCCCTTCTACAGCCAGGTTAGCTCCCTTGTGTCTAACTTACGCAATTAATAAATAGCTGTAAACCTAGTTACTTTCCAGAATTCACTGTTGCAGTTCACTTCTCAAGAAATTTGAAACTTTCCAAAAGAATGGGAAGGTAGTTGGAAGAAAGACTTGTAGATGATTAAGCAGCTACATGAATCATACAATAGCAAGAAGTACACTAAGGACAGGTGCTATGCTTTGTGCAATCTATTCCCACTCTCTCTCTCTTCCCAATGCATTTAAGAATACTTTCAATAATATAAGAAGGTCATGATTTTGCTCAGGAAGAGCATTTTCACACCCCAAAATCTTGCGCTTTTTCAAACCGCTAGTTTGAAACTGAAATCAGACTCCTTCAAACTAGATGTGCTGGGACTGCAAAACATTTGGTTGAAAATTCACTTGAGTTGCAATGTATAACATTAGATTGAAAAAGAGGTTTATCTAATATAAACATCGATCTTCTAAAGGTTTTTGTAATTTTCTATGTCGTAGGTGTTTGTGTCTAAATTGCTAATTTAAAATGTGCAAACGTGTCACGAGAACATATCGATATGCAATTTTACAATGGTGATATTCCTGAATATTTCAAGTATTAACAGTAATTTATTACATAGAAGTTGCTAAATGGTGTTGAGGGTAATCTATATTGCTGTAAACAGGATACACACTGCATTAGCATGAACAAATCACTACTATCAATGAACAAATTATTTTAATGAAAGGTTTCTGTCTCACAACCATTGAAAATCACAAAAGGTGTTGCAAATAGACCTTAGTTTTTAAATTCTGGGGGGAAAAGAGATCTAAAAACTATGCAAATTATAACATGAAGTGGTAACTGTTTTCTGATATTCCAAATATTTTATGTGTATTTTTTATGTATATTTTATGTTGGGAGCCACCCAAGAGTTGGGCAGCCATACAAATAATAGTAATAATAATAATAATAATGAGGTAAATTTTTAAACCCATATTTTTCTTTTTTAAAACCTACATAAAATGAAGTGTCTATCCATTTATTTGGGCTTCTACATTTCAATCCCTGTACTATTATGAAACAGTATGAGCAATTATTTAATAAATCTGAGACTACCTGATCCTGGGAAATAAGCTAAGTAGAAAGTAAAGAGGCCCTGGCTAAAAACTGGGGAAACGTAAGTTCTAGTAACTCCTCAGGCACAAAGCCAACCTGGTGACCTTGGGCCTGTCAGTCAGGCAATGGCACTTGAGAAAAAGCTTGCCAAGAAAAGTACAGGTACTAGTCCAGTTACCAGGAATCAACGACTAGAAGGCATTGGAAAGGAAACTAAATAAAAGTAAAGATGTATGGTAATTATCTCAATTTTGTAAAGCATTCCACAATTTTGTTTACCTCAAACTGGCATTTTTAATCGCCATGCATCTACATTTATTTCATTTGAGACCCTAGACTCAATTAGAGACCCTGCTCTAATTAGCTGAAAGTTGAACCAAGTCTGGTTAGGCTGTGAACAAATATTTTAAGAATATGAACAGCACTATGAAGTTTTTGCTCTACTTTTAGGGGTTGGGGACACAACCTTCTCAATTGCAAATATTTTGTTGGTTTTAGCATGTAATACCAATGGCTTTGTATCCAACCCTTATCTTCATTTTTACAAAATCGACTTTTATCTGCAACTTGTAATTAAGATTCTTCTATGAGCAAACACTAAATGATGAATAAGGAAAATGCTAGTACGCCACAAATCATTATTAACTCTTCCTAACTAACAAATTGCATTTCTTTTTTACCCTATGGTGGTGTAGTGGCTTATATAAAGCAACATTTTTAAACTATGGATGTAGGTAGAGAATAAACCTTAGATATTGCATTGTAATGCACAATATGCAGTTTAGTTTAATATTGTATTTGTATTCCACAAGTTTAAGGAAGGTTTGGATCAGTTATATAACTCAGTTAAGCAATTTGCCTATATCTTAAACTGAACATGATTATTATCTAAGCTAATTTGAACACTTCATAGATTGACTAATGGTGCACATTAATACAAATCAGATTTATCAGCTGTTAAAGAAACTGGAGGGGCACCACTCTTGACCAAAGAAAACAATTAAGGCAGTCTGCTGATATGCATTTTGCTGGAACAAGCCAAGTTAAGCCCATATCTGGCCAAGGCATGTCCACCAGGCTTTCTAATTCTAGTACTAGTCAATTGAACAAATGTGTTCATAATGCAATTTTTAAAAGAATCAATTAAGAACTTCATTTATTAAAAGAAACTGATTTGGAACAAGCTAACTGTAGAGGAAATGTGTGAGCTTTTAAAAGTAATGCTATTTATAGGTTAAACCTCAGTACATACTAAGTTCAAAGTTTTAAATTCAAAAAGGCTGGAATAATGTCTAAGAATGGGCTATAATCTCTGCTCGGCTTTGACTTCTTACCTACAAAGTGGAAGATTGTAGAGCTACTGCAAAATTTTATAAAGATGCTATAATGTAAGTACATCAGAGACCAGATACAAGAGGCCAACAGCTCTAACCTCTATGTATTTGCATCATCTATCAATCTTAACTGTTGCTATAATTTTAGATGTAACTGTAGAGAGGAAGGAAAGAAGGAAAACTGTGGAAGAGAAGAGTTCACTTGTTCGGTTTTCAAATTATCTTGGCATTGGCCATGCACAACTGGAAATCAGAATTCTCCCAATAAATCACTGAACATGATTCCCCTGGTAAAGAGTTCATTGTGTGCTCTTTTGTTAAAAAAGTCTAGAGAGCACAACTTGAAAGTTTCTCAAAGACTACGCATTGTACTTCAGTTACATTCCCTGTGAATGTGGCAGCATTTTTTATCTCCATAACCCATATTTTGTATTTTAAGTAACTTATTGCCTTCATTATCTTCACTTGGAACAAGGTAGCAATCAATGTGACAGGAGCTCAGAGTTATGAACAGACAGGACTTGAATCTTATTTTTATTTTTTTTTAATAAATACAATTTACATTGAAGAAAAAGGATTTCAATTTGTAATTTTCACAGAGGGCAGAAGGGTACGGGGAGAGCGGATTAAAAATGCCAAAGTCAAAAAGAAGGGGGTATGTGGCATAGGTGGAGGGAGGCTTGCAAGCCAGAGTCCTTCATCTCCAGCAATGGCAGGTTCTTAACGAGACCAAACTGGACCTTCAACCCTCCACCAAGGCTCCTGCAGCAGGAGCCCTCACTGGGCTTTAGGCAGGACAAGAGGCTTAGGACAAAAAAAAAAAAAAAGACCTTTTCACAGCAGGTAGCAACAACTCCATTAAAAAATCATGTTCAAAATAAAAATCACTTGTCCACGGTTTCACAATCCATGATTCATTTTTTTCCCACTCTTCAGTAAAAATGCCCTTTGTTATTTTTAAATTTATTTTTTTTTTTAATCTCCCAGAAATCCATTTGGGTAATTAAATTTTAGAAGGATACAAAGTCACCTCTTCTTTATAATACCTGCCTGTTTTTTTTATCCCCCCCCCCCTTTTTTTTTTTTTTGCTTGTTTTGTCTCATATAAAACTATTTCTGTTCTTTAGGAAAGAACTTTATACAAAGAAAATATACTGTGAAATATCTTCAGAAGTCTTCCTGGAGAAGTCGTGTCTTGGCCTAAAAAAAATGACCCCCCTCCCCCCAAAAAGGCAGAGAAAATAAAGGCCAAACCCCTGGTCTCTGTAGAAAGACTCTGGACCTATCCTGAGCCCATGTCTGTCCACTTGAAAACTGGAAGGACTGGATTTCTGCCAAGTAGAAGAAGCTGAGAGGGTGCTCGGTGTTCGCCTCTTGATTGGCTCTCCTGGCTTCCGAGTCAGGAGCTTCTCTGCTGCCAAAGTCCCGGAGGAAGACTGCGCCTCATTCATTCAGAGACAAAATTATGTCATCTTCCAGATCCAAGTTATCTGAGCTGTCGGCTGCAAAGGTCACCAATTAGTTGTTAAAAATATTCAGTTATTAAGGCTTGATAAAGCAAGAGGACCTTGTCCAAATGAAATACTGTAATTTAAACAGCTATGAAACATTTCTTGCTTTTGTTAGAGATAAAGGAAAGGTAGTTTACACTTGAAAGGAATGAAGACATTAACAACATTTTATGGTCTTTCCCCAATCTATTGTCATCCTAGAATTTCCAACCAGGGCAGCCCTACTTTATACTGTGGTTTTGTTGGAAGAGCTAGAAATGTCCAATTTCTAGGTTAGAATCATTTGCAACATGAAGAATTTGGCACGACTATTATGTTGGTTTGATTGTTGTTAAGTAATCATTATAGTTTTCCCCTGGAATTTTTCATGGAGAAGGATGCTCTAGAGCAGGGCTATCAAACTTGCGGCCCGTGGGCCAGATGCGTCACACACTGGCCATGCCCATGCCTGGTTTAGCAAAGGGGGGGGGAAGTAGTGATACATCATGTGACACCGCCGTGGTGACGCAAGTTTGACACCCCTGCTCTAGAGTGCCATTTTGGATTCATGAAAATACAAGCATACTTTCAAAAGCTATGCCAACAAATCTCATTTCAGGCAGAATTTGGTGATCCATCCAGAGGTTTTATATGAAGGACTGAAAAACTTTTGAGACAAAATTCCATTTGTGCAGCACTCAAGAGTGGAAGAGGCTAGGGAAGCCCCCAGCAATATCCCTCTTAAAACTTTTTTTCAATCCAACAATAATAAAAAGGTAATACGAAGTGGAACATTTTACCAGAAATTCCGAGACCAACTTAAAGCAATGAAAAGCTATGTCATATTTGACGGGGAATTGCTGAAGGTTTGCACACATACCTCAAAATAGAAATTTTGATTTCCTTTTTCTACTTTAACACTTTATGTCTTTCAGGCATGCCTTTAATTTCATTTCCTCCTCTATCACATATTCTTTCCATTGCTACCTTTTTAATAACTATTACGATAACAACTAGTGTTACACTGATTTATGGTCAATAAACAAAGAAAAAAACATGAATACAAAATAACTCAATAATGAGAGTTATTGAGAGATTAATATATTATGTAGGAGTTACAGGTAAAAAAGGAGATTAATCTTTCACCCAAGGTATAGCTAACCAGACCATTCATCTCAACCTTTGCACTTTCTGGCAGAAAGCACAACTGAACAAAGCTTAACAATTCTCAAGGAGATTTTTATAACTTAATCAACCAATAGAAAGAACATCCCTTGCACTTCAGGAGGGAAATGCTAACTTAGAGTGTGAAATATAGTACAAGGAACAACATAGCAAGATGGCTGAAACAGTCTCAGTGGTGTCCAAGCACAGATTGAGGCATTCGAAATACATGGTGTTACTAAACTTCCCCTTCAAATCTTCAGGGGTAATGTTGTTGTATATATCCTTTTATGCCCAATTATTTGGAATAGCAAGTAGCCTGAGACCTCCAATCTATCTTTGGGCAGGTTCAAGTCAAAGACTCTCTATTGGATGTTTAATATAGCTTTCTCTAGTCCAAAATTAATAGTGATTGGGCTAAGACACAACAACTGGACAAAGGGAAGGATATCTTCTTCCCAAGAAGAGGCAAAATTATCATCAAGGATATGGGTGCTGCATCATTAGTACTCTACTGTGTTATTTAAGATCTATATGAAACTGCCAAGGACACATCTGCCAGTTATGGTAAAGCATCACTGGTGCTGAAGACACTTAATAATACATTGCCACCCTTGGCCAACCTGTAGATACCATGGAAACCCTGACCCTATATCTAAAAGCTGTTAGAATCTAGATGAAGCTGAAATAAGCTCTGATTAAATCCTCTCAAAACTGAATTGCTCTTCATCTAAAAATACTGTGGCACTCTGGTGGAGCCCATTTTGTATAGTGATTAAAATCCCATAGAATCAAAATAATTTCTAGAAGACCTGTGCATACTTACTATCACCAAGGATCAGCTCAACTTCCTCATCTGCATCAGAGTCGTCATCTTCTCCTTCGTCTCCCTCTTCAAGCAGGTTGGCCACTTCCTCATCATCGGAAGGGGAGAAGTCATTTTCTCCATCCTCACCCGCATTCTCATTGTTCTCTTCTTCCTCCAAATCAGCCTCCAGCAACTGATCAGTGTCCAGCTCATCTAGGTCATCAGTATCATCTTCATCTTCATCATCATCCTCTTCCTGTTCCTCCTCTTCCTGAAAAGACATGACGGAAGCCCCATTAGAAGGATAAAACCTGAACTGGGTAACAAGCAAACCAGGAGAGATAATTCCAAGTCACCTTTCTAGCATTACATTTACAGGGTATAGAAAAGTCCCTCTCTAGTTTCTATCAAATGTAGTATAGTGGTGGTAGTAGTAATGGTAGTAATTATTTTACTTATAATGCACTTATAGCTAATGCAATAAAGCTGCCCATTTCATAAAAATGCTACAATAATGTATTATTAATCAATTATACCCTGTTTCCCTCAAAATAAGACATCCCCTGTTAATAAGCCCAATCAGGCTTTTGAGCGCATGGCAGGTAGTATCTTAATATAGTGACTAAACTAAAAGAACTATGACATAAATGATAGAGCTAAACTTACATCTATGTCAACCAACCAAAACATTGCTGAATGTACTGAGAACAATAAACATAATGATAGCCATGATTTTTAAACATAATTTAACACAATTTATATGGGGCTTGGTTTATACTCATCACTAGGCCGCAATGAATTGGAAAGGAAGAAATACATCATATTCTTTTTAAAAAGTATTTTTCACAGCTTTAGAAAAAAATGATAATCTACATTCAGGGGTTTGATGAACTTCAGGTCCATCAAAACTCATAGTTAACCTGTCCCACTGATTAAATTATCTTTGATTCAAAGTTCAATTAATTTAATTTGAAACCTGCCCACCATCACTAGCTCCCTTCAACTGTATTGTTCCTGAACCATTGGGCATCTTTAATTTGGTTGAACAATCTACTAGTAAATGACTTTGGCTATAAACTAGCACAAAAGATAATCATAGACATTATAATCCATTCTATTAGGAGAATTCCAGGTTAGAAAAACAACAGAATAACAGAGTTTGAAGGGACCTTGGAGGTCTTCTAGTCCAATCCCCTGTTTAGGCAGGAATCCCTATACCATTTCAGACAAATGGTTATCCAATATCTTCTTAAAAACCTCCAGTATTGGAGCATTCACAAGTTCTTGAGGCAAATCATTCCATTGATTAATTGTTCTGTCAGGAAATTTCTTTTTAGTTCCAGGTTGCTTCTCTCTTTGATTAGTTTCCACCCATTGCTTCTTGTCCTGCCTTCAGGTGCTTTGCAGAATAGCTTGACTCCCTCTTCTTTGTGGCAACCCCTGGGATATTGGAACACTGCCATCATGTTACTCCTAGTCCTTCTTTTCATAAAACTAGACATATCCAATTCCTTCTACCATTCTTCATATGTTTTAGCCTCCAGTCCCCTAACTACTCAAAGACATCCCCATACTTTCTATTCAAAGTAAAAGGTTCTTACTGACCCTTCCTCCAATTATTCAACAACCAAATTCTACTATTTTCTAAAACAGTATAAACTGTAAATTGTAAAAGAAAATATGTCAATCAGTGTCATGCTAGCATTACTTCTCAACAAGATAATCACTGCTTTTTAAAAAGGCAAAGAAGGAGGAATCATTTCATCTTATTCATTAAACTACATCTTCTCACCCTGCATTTATATATCAAGATGAATGCAATTCCTACATTCCAAAAACATGTCATACTTAAAATGCAATTCAGTTATGCAAATGGCTAAGCTATACATAATTATGTTAATTCATTAAGATGTATTAACAACATAGCCAAAGCTCATAGGTCTTCAATGTAAGTGGCATTTATAATAAAAAATATCTCTGTTAATTGGCCAAATATTTTCCAAAATACTATATATTTGTATCATTGTACTTTGCCCCCCTACAACCAAGCGCAAAATGGAATGCCCCAGTATAATCTTACCACATTTCTAACAGAAGGGAACTATTCAGACTGGCAATATAATCCAACAATACATGCTCATGGAAACTTATCTTTTCTTATTTCTCAGTCATCTCAATTGTTAAATTAAAAGCAGAAAGAGCAATTTTTAATTGATAGGCAACAAATAATACTAAGATGTTACACAGTATATCTCTTGTCCACAAGTAAACCATCTTTTCAGTTTTACAGACCACCACAAGAACTGCACATGCATTCACACAAAAAGCTTCCCCCCTGTAGATGATTTTAACAGATTTCACTGTTTTCTGGTTCTGTGAGTAGGAAAACCTCAAGATCCCTGGGGGAAGAGAAGGTTTAATTTTTAGATGAAATTGCAAGTTTCTGTTCCTGTTAGCAATTGCAGCAGAGGTGGGTTTGAGCAGGTACTAACCAGTTCTGGAAAACCGGTAGCGGAAATTTTGAGTAGTTCGGAAAACCGGTAGTAAAAATTCTGACTGGCCCCGCCCCCATCTATTCTCTGCCTCCCAAGACCCAGCTGATTGGGAGGAAATGGAGATTTTACAGTATCCTTCCCTTGCCACGTCCACCAAGCCACACCCACAGAACTGGTAGTAAAAATTTTTGAAACCCACCACTGAATTGCAGCCATGTCAAATGGTAGGGAGAACTTCTGTTGAGCCCTGCCAAAGGAGGCCAAGGAGACTCCCATACAAAGAAGGGTTGCCAGAGTAGCCCACCTCTCAAGCTACCTATTTCACACAATATCTGAATAATGGAAGCTTATTGCTAAATTGTATATAAGGAACTGCCACTGTCAATTATATTTTCATTAAAGCATCTTTAGTTTTAAATTCCTCATTAGTCCTGGGACACTAATCTTCATATTACTGTAGAGTTTTGAGACTCCTTAGATAGAGGGAGAAACGGGCAGCTCAAAACATCCATATATGGGAAAATACATTCCTACATACAAAAAATCTCACTTGCTATTTTGGGCATACAGTCTCCAGATTTTTGAAAGAGATCATGAATTCAAAATCAGCCATTAATAATTATTTTATATAAAAAGTATCTAAAGATTCAGTATTTAAGAAAAAAAATCAGAAGGCTGTAATCCCTATTACTAATAAAAGAAGCCTTTTTAAAAAAAAAGTCTGCAGATTCGCTATAGCAGTCCTTGACTCACAGCCACAATTGGGACATCTATTGCTAAGCCATGTTGTCATTAAATGAGTCACATGTCTGATTTTACAACCTTTTTGCTGTGATCATTAAGGGAATCATGCTGTGTTTAAGCAAATCTGGTTTCCCGCATTGGCTTTGGTTGCTAAAAGCCCTCTGAGGTGGTCACAAACGGCTAATATGTGACTGTGGGGCACTGTGATCATTGTAAACGTATGCCAGTTGCCAAGCACTCAAATTTTGATCATGTGACTGTGGGGACACATAAATGCGAGGACTTGTCAATGTCACAATGTCACTTTGAACGGTCACTAAAATGGTAGTAAGTTGAGGACTATCCGTATGCATTTGAAATTGCAATCCTTTTTTAAAATCCAGGAAAGGATAATGCAACTGGTCTTGTGTGTTTTGTTTTAGCACTGGAAAAATTCCAAATCTGAATTGCTATAGCAACATCTACAACTGCTATAATATCTATATATTAGAAAGTATGCACTTTTCTTTCCTCTAACCAAGTCTTAAATTATTAAAGACATATTCCATTTTATAAGCACTATTTTAGACAATTACTTTATAAAACATATTTCACTAATGACTTTTAAAAAAAAAAAAACCAGTACTTTTATATCCAAGAACATTCATTTCTAACCCAAAAACTACAATTTTCTACCAAAAAGTTTAATCACATAATACCTACAATATTATCCTGATTTGAAATTTGTTGCATATTTTAGCCGAAATGTTATATTGTCCAAAATGAAGTCCAATAAAAATAAATAGGTTTGATTCAGTCCATCAGTGTCAATTATCTTTTCCCCTACCATTCCTTTTGTTTTTTTTTACAGTCTCGCATATAGGACTTTTATTTTTACAAAGAACTCCTTGAATGTCGGAACTTTTTAAGATATTACACAGAAGCAAATCCAGATTTGCCAATTGGTGTACAACATACAGAGAACAGCAACCAAACCTTGTTAAATATATATACGGAGCACAACTTTTTAACAGTAACTATTAATCATGAAATTATTAAGTATTAAAGATTACATGAAAAATATTAACAGTCATATTATTTTCATTTTCATCTGCTTTCAAATATTTTATGGTAGAGTATTCTACCGTATAAAAATTAATCTATCTCGGTTTTGGTACTACTACAAAGAAAACAGAAAATTTTTCTTCTCTCTTTAACTAATTGCAATTTATTATTATATCCAAAATTGAAGGCAAGCCAAACATTAGTCTGTGTAACTAGTGCAACAATAGTGTTAAAGGAATCAGGAGAGTGCTAAAGTATAATTAATTAAACGCAGAAGCAAAAAAATTCCAATCAACTGCTTCTGGCAGCAATATGTTTATGGACCTGAGAACATATGTAACAAGAAATGAAACTTATTTGTTTACTGGGTTTATTTCTCACTTTTTATTTAGGAACTCATAGCTGTATATGTAGCGCTCCCTCCTATTTTCCTCTATAATATCTTGTGAAATACGTTCAGTCGAAAAAAAATCTTTAGCAAAAGAGCTTCTGTTGCTACGTAAGTTTCTATGGTAAACTATCTTTCTGCTCCAAAACCCAAACTGCTATTCCACATGCTGTCCAAATCCTGGCCCTGTCTGTAACTACCTCTGAATAAAATTCAACTTTCAACTAGTTTCTTGCTTTATGTTAATCTCTAGTAAACAAAATCCCTCCCTGAAAATATATTCTTTCTGCTTAAACATAGCTTATCTCCGGCTTAAATGCTATTTACTCTTTCTGAATACAATTTTTATTCAAAAAGATTGTTCTGAATATGTAAATGTAAAAATTAACATTCTTTTTAGCTCCTTTTATGAACATTTGCATTTCCAAACCTTTATTGCCTACCTTAAATTGGAGATAATTTATTCTTTCATCTAAACTGCACAGAATGTGTATAAAAGATATATATTGCTTTTACCTTTAGAGCTTGGCCTCCAAATGCATTCCAACTCCTCATGGGTCATCCAAATATAATACAGACCTGACTGTAATACATGTATGTATTACATACATATCAGCACACAGAGAGCAAGATTCTTAACCATAGGCTTCTATGTAGACCCAGAAGACATGGATAGACAGAATACATGTCACACAACAAACAATTTGTAATAGAGGCAAAATTGGGTGAAGAGTTAAAACATAGTTATTGCCATTCTATAGCTTAGCCGACTAAAACAGTAACTTGGTATCTACAAGTACAAATGTTGCATCTTACATTTATCCTGTTTGGATTCCATAAGTAACATTCAGAGTCTTCATTCAGTGTGAGATATTAGAGAATAACATGATCCATGTTAGAACACATGCTTTGCCTGCAATATATATTCAGGTAAAAAGGAATTTGGTAACAGAAAAGACCCTGTGAACAGCTGATGGAGAGCCACTACCACTGAGCTGGATCGACAAACAATCCAGTTAATATAAAGTACTCCAATTTTTCTGAGCAAGACAATGTTTGCTTTAAGGCCAAGCTTTTATCAATAAAAGAAATCAAAGGAATTTCAAAATAAATACCACTGTCTATTTGCTATGATTTAAAAATCACCGTATTTAAGGGGAAATTAAACATTTATCAGAAATGACAACTGTTCTTTGTTCAAGTAGTTCAGCAACCATTCGAAGTTCAATGATGCTGAACAAGTGGTAGTTACGACAGGTCCTCATACTTAGAAATGTCCTCATACTAACATCGGTTTTACCCCCACAGTCATGTGATTGACATTTGGGACCTTTTTTGTTGGCTTCCTACAAACAAAGTCAATGGGGAAGCCAGAAGGAGTTGCAAATGGTGACCAGAGGACACCTTCATTTAATGACTGCAGTTATTTGCTGAATGACAGCAATCCGAAGTACCAGAATTTCCATCAATAAGCAGCACAGTCAGGTGATGTTGCTTAGCAACAGAAATTCCAGTCCCAATAGTCATTGTTAACTAGCTGTATTGAATACACTGTTATATTTTATTTTTTATGACATGGTAAATTTGTATATATCTTTTTAAATAGTAATTAATTGCATGGACTACTTAAAAGAGGTCCAGAGCTATTGTTTGGGCTTTAAAGTTAACTGTGGTTTGCCATATTTCCCTAATGATTAAAAAACACTGATAAGATTGGCTGGAATCTTAAATGGAATGCAGCTAAAATGCTATAAATATTTTGGATGCATTGTGCAAAAGGAGTAATTTTTTTGAGAAAAATAATCCACTAACAGTTAATAAGTAATTCATATCCATAATCAAACAGGCTGAAGAATTTCATCGTGTTATACCTACCGCGATGTACCACCTGTTTTGATAATAAGTGGCATGAACAGCCTTGAATGCTGCACACTGAAAATTATTATGAGCTAGAAGAACCTGTTGCAAAACAGATAAAGCATATGTGTGCCATAATATTTTTTCTCTCAAAAGGGAACTTTGATTTCTTTACATTTACGCAATTTCTCAAATATCTGCATTCCCAAGTGATTTGTCTTTCTACAGTTTTGGCTGCCTTTTTATTCAAGCACATAAAAAAGGCTTAAATATTTATAATAAAGTTGTGCAACTAATCCATTTTTTCCCCCTAAAAATCTTGCAGCAATGACCAGGGCAGTAAGGCTAGAGGAGACAGTCTGACTTTTTTCCCTGATCATTTTTACCATAAAGGTAAAGGTTCCCCTGCACATGCGTGCTAATCATTTCCGGCTCTAGAAGCAGTGCTTAGCTCCGTTTCTAAGCCAAAGAGCCAGCGCTGTCCAAAGACGTCTCCGTGGTCATGTGACCAGCATGACTAAACACCAAAAGTGCACGGAGCGCTGTTACCTTCCCAACACAGGTGGTCCCTATTTTTCTACTTGCATTTTTTACATGCTTTCAAACTGCTACGTTTGCAGAACATTTTGACCATAGTCCCATAAAATATTTGTGGTGCTGCAAAAAAGAACTGGATGGCATTAGAGGAGAAGATGTTCCATACAGCCACCTCGTTTTGTAAGCAACTTTTGTGTTTCAGCCACTGAAGTCTTTATTTTGTACTAAGAGAATCAGACATGGATTCAAGGAAGAGCTGAGACCACTGAGCTGGGCTTGTGTGCCATGATGGGAAACACGACATAGTAAGAATGAAGTAAAATGCAGAGTCGCTTTCCCACACTATTAAATAAGTTAGCTATCCCAACAAAAAATACATAGCTATTACTCCATAAGCAGATACTGCTGTTGTTTTCAACTAGGTTTAGATCCAGGCTGCAATCACCAGAGGGGGCTGCAGAAGGTGGTCCCAGAGGAGGAGGAGGAGGAGGAGGAGAAGGCAATAATGAAAGCAGCATTGCACAATACTCTCTTCCCCTTCTGTGCAAACAAAAGGAATGGAGCTGGCCTCTTGACAGCACAGTTTTCTTTCTCAGCACACTCAGCTATGATACTGTACAAACCAGGATGGAGAAATTCTATATATTGGGAAATTTCTATTCAGGAGGGAATATTAATTTACTATTACACTAATACTAATAAAAGATGGATTACAGCACAATAAAAAAACCTTCCCCAAGTTTATTAATGGTAAAAGATTGTGAGCATATCCAGAAACAGGACTTTTCTGAGAGCAGATGCACCGCTATTTCTCATCCAAGGTAGCCCAAACAGGAAACCCAAACCCAACAGACTGGTAAAAAGTTGCAGACTCAAACCTATGAGGAGAGGACAGAAAGAGCTGGGCAAGGGAAGATAACCTCACAGTGCATTGAATCAGTTTAGCTTAGTTTTCTATGCAATCTCAACACGCCTTTACAATGTGGAACTACAAAGATTGGATACAGTACACTCTTGTCTTCAGAAATCTTACGTAGCCCAAACGTAAAAGATTTAAAAGACATTACAGATCAACAGTAGAGACTTGCCAAAATTGCAACTGTTGTAAAAGTAACTTTCCCTAAAAGTCCCAAGAAATCATTCTGTTTCCATTTGCAAAACATCTTTTTGTCTCATTTTTAATTTTGGCTCTTGTCATTCAGAAATTCAGGCCTTGCAAATGCTGAAGGCTCCTATATAGAGGGGCAAATCAGTAACCCGCTCCAAGATTGACTTTGGATTGTAACTCATCCTCTGCTGTCCTTAGAGGAGATAAAAACATGGTCAGAAAAGCAAACACTAAGACAGAAATGTATATCAGCAGGAGGGCCAGCCTAAGCCCAGATCTTATCGCAACCTTTTATTGCCACAGAGCTTTCCAGGAAAAGATACGGAATATGTGTTAAGGAGTTTTAAAAACAGAGGCAATATTCTGTTTTTCAGAAAACTGAAAAAAAACCTAACATTGAGAAAGGAGCCTGCTGCCTAAAGAAAACACTGAACTTCATAACAGATGGAGTAACAAAAAAAAAAAAGATTAGCAATGAAAAGTTTAGTGCTTGTTATTAGGGTTGGATCACAATCAGCACCTACAAAAACTAAATGGAATGCCAATGGTGAAGGATAAAAATAAATTTTCAAAAATATTAAATTAGTGAAATCCTGCCTAATGAATCTACCCTAATAGACAAATCAGAAAATCAAATTGCAAGGCTATTTCCTTGTTTTATTCTCTTAAACTTTGCCATGACAATCCTTTAACTTCATCTGCATAAACATCAATTTTTCTGCTGAAATAATCTAAAAAATCATTATCCATATAAGTCACAAACACAAATCAGCCATCAAAAAATGTGACACCAAAGTGCATCAAGAATAGCAGCTGAGCATATACCTCAACTGTATATATTATTTGCTGCAGCCCTAATAAGACAAGGAGTAATAATCATTTTCAGATATCCTAATGGCCAACTACAGGTATGTCAGCAAAACAATGGAAACAAACAGCAGAATCTTGTGTTTTATTGTGGCTGAGCACTGCCCTGAGTCCCTCGGGAGAAGGGCGGCATAAAAATTTAAATAATAAATAAATAAATAAATTTAAGCAAGTTTGAATCATTCTTCCTACTTAACCAGGAACAATTTTACAGCCAAGCCTTCTCATTTCATGATTGGATACCTGAAGCAAAAGCACTGGAAGAATACCAAGAAATTCCACAAAACATCATAAGAGGACATCTTGTCTTCTTCATATCCTGCACAGAATTATAAGCGTAGCTACCTCATTAGAGGTACTGATTAACCAGTTTAATCATACACACATACATAATTAAGCACTCAATAAGTCAAAAATTTCTAACAGGCTGTCACCAGGCATTCATCAGAACTCAAGGCATAATAGCTATAGCGTGAGGGTGGGTGTACTGATAACTCAGGAGAGATTTTCAAATGTTTCAGCTGCCTTTAACTTCCAAAAGGGTATTCTGCTTCTCACCTGATCTTCTTCCTCATCCTCCTCGTCTTCTGCCAAACGCTGCCTGCCCACTTCATAGAGCCTGCAAACAGTATCCATGTTCATGGCATCCATACTTCCCTGGTTCTACAAAAGGAACCATCAGCACAAAATAGTAAATTAATTTTTCAGTCAAACCTATTAATGAATACTGTATGATTATTTTTCTTCAATGATAATTTTATATATATTTACCATATATATATATATAAATATAATATATATAGTTATAAAATTTACCTCAATAACAGCTAAATAACAATCCTTTGTGTCCGTACATAGATCAAAGATGTTTCTTTTCACATCAATGGTGGCTGGAAAAAAAAACATGTAACAAAGTCAACAGGACACTGGAAAGTCCCAGAGCTGGATAAGTAGACTTAAGCTTTTGAGATCTGGCATTATGTATCTTACTACTGTATATCTAGAACACCCCAAGGCCAACCTCAATACAAAAGGATGGCCTTAGTGAGGAAGAAGACAGAAGACAAAATGGTGGTGTAGGGTAGAAAAGGCAATTCCTTGCTGCAATTTATAAGACATATATCAGAAAGATATTTTTACACATACAACTCTGAAATTATCTGAAATACCCCAGGATGTAATATTTTTAGCTGGGGATCTACAATTTTTAGCTTCTGAGGATGATAGAAAGCATGTCTCTGATCATACCATTACTAACAGGAGAAAGGATCAAGGAAGGGAAAAAAAGAAATTTTGGTTCCCCTCCCTTTTTAAAATTACTGAGTTAAAAATCTACAAAGATTTAGAGGGCCAGTCCATTTAAAAACAACAACAACATAGTAATGCATTTAATCAGCATGATCTAGAAGTACTCTGAAATGGCAAAATGGAGGCTAGAGGAATCACATGCAGCTTGAAGGTCCGTCTCTAACTCACATACTATTTATTAAGTAATATCTTTGATTCCTCTACTAACAAATTTTAAACAGATTCTGAACTGAAGTAGTATACTTCACCAATAAAAAGGTAGTATTTTAATTTTTCCCATGTAGTAGGAAAGGAAGGCTAGAGATTTCCCTTCCACTTGTTATGATTTCTTTGAATATTTGGCATTAGAAATTTGTCAAACATAATATACCTTTACTGAAGTTCTCCACTCTGAAAATTTTTTGAGATTTTTTTAATGTATTTGGCATTTTGTTCCCCCTATATTTTCTTTCTCTACTTTTACAGAAAAATCCCTTTTTGATGTTTAACCAAATTTACATTCTGGTAGAGATCATGATAGGAAATGGATAGGAAATGTTTCCTAGCAGAGCAACTGAAATATTAATTTCATTCGGTTTATTTCAGTAGGAACAATTATAATCTTTACCAATTGGTTTGTAGTCTGTTGCATTGAATGTCCTGAAGGATGACCCAAAAGGACTTCGCATTCTCTCTTCCAGCAAATCATCTTCATCATCTGCTTGTAGCATAGCTGATCAAGAAAGAAAATATTTTTAGGGAATATAAGGAGAGGAAGCATGTGAAACAAAGAAGCTTTAGAAGTTTAGAAGTTGAATCTTTTTGTTTTTAAATACATATTTGTTCCTAGAATTGAATAAGATTATCAACAAAATCAGAAAATATAGAGCCATTCAACTGTACTATACTTTAGGTTAGAAATTTAAATTCCCTGCTAGTAAGTTATGATTCATTTTGTCTAAGATTCAAAGAACAGCAAATGGAGCAACAAAGCTAAACAGAGAGAAAAAGGCACCATTAAAAAAAAAAGTAAGGGAAAATATCAAGCAAGAGATATGGACTTCCAGAGAAGTCCATAGAAGCCATCCTTATGCATTATAAGAACAGATTGCTGGGCAAAATAGGCCAGGGGTCCAATCAGCAGAGTACTGTTTATGTTAATATGTTCAGGAACCTAGAAAAATGCTTTAATGAATCTGAATTCTTCTCCCTTAACTCAGAAGTGCTGACCCTGACTGACAATTGCCCTCCAATTTTTCAGATTATAGCCTTTCCCAATCCTACGTGAAAATGCCAGAGATTGAACTAAGTCTGAACCCCAGCCCCTTCTGAGGTCTACAGCCAACTCAAGACCTTTTTAAAGTGTTTTCACTTGGCAAATCTTGGCAACACCCACTGTGCTGTTTTGGTGACTGCTAGAAAGCATGGTGAAACAAAATCTATAGCTCTCCTGATGCCATCACATAATGAAAATCAGTCATTACCTCCATACATAACTGTTCCAGTATGGTTGAAAACAACACGGCATTGATCCAAAGCAGGCACTGTGTGTAACAAGTGGAAAGTCCGCAAGTCCCACTGGAGAGATCATTAAGGAAGATTCTGCACTATAAATAGGGGACATTGGCAAAGGATCTCGCTCGCTCTCACTCTCCAGCTCCAATGACAGCCTTGCACTCCCCATCATCTGCCCAGCCCTGAGATAGAATTTCTCTAACAATTATAGTAACATATCTGGATAATCTAATGAATTATTTCCTCAATTTGCATGATACATCACAGAATAATACTTTTGCGTCTACCCATCCCATTTCATTTCAGCTTGCAAAACTCATGTAAGTTTTGAATTGACCTTGCATTAATTTCTCATGTACAGAATATCACAGATGTCTTTATGGTGGGATGAAGCACTTATTTTCTATCATGGATCACATTGTGTAATCTGTTGGGACCTACATGCCTGTAGATAAGACTAGGCTCTAAAGTTAGGAGAGTCATAATTGCTCTCACTTTTGTAACAATAAAGGCAAATGTTATGTTAGAAACTGTTAAAAATATACTGAAAATTCAACCACTGATATAATAATTCTTCTACAAAAAGTTACGGTTCAACTATATTTGAACTGAAAAATATTTTAGTCAAAGGATACCCAAGAAGGATATTTTATAATACTACTGTTTTTCTACCAATCCTTTTTCTCCTCTTCAGCCATACCCAAGACTATCAGGATAAAAAGAGTTTGCTCTTTCCAGAAATCTGGATTCATTACTGTGCTGGGCTTTCTCGTTTCTGCTATTCTACCCCATTCTGGCTTCTTTGCCCATCCACACCATGCTCCTTATCACTTGGCAGAAGCCATTATTTTCTAAATGGCTTCCACCTCTTCTTCCATCGCGCTTTTCTTATCTTTCCCCCAAATTTCTTGCTTTACTAATCAAATTTGTATAGCTACCCATCTCATAAAAAGTGGCTCCTAGAAACCTGGCTGCAGTATGTTCATTTCTGTTCTACAGAACAGTACTATTTATACCTTCTGCTGAAACATTTATAAGCCTTAGTCACTTTGAGCAGAAGACGTCAATTGACTTGACAATAAGCAAAGCCAAAAAGTTTATCAACCTGCTGTTATTTCCGCAATTAAGGATTTTTGTTCTGAGTTCTCACATGAAAGAGGATTGGGTTTATCTTTTCTGCTGCCGAGAGTCACACAATTTAAGTTGTGTGACATTATAAATCTTGAAATTAAACAAACAATTAAGCAAACTCTTCCTACCAACCTCTACTATTCCAACAGACATTGAAATTAAGGTTTAAAAAGGATACAATTTCTGTGTTCACGATGACCTCCAGTCCATTCGGGTGGAAAACACCACTGATGGTCATATTGAATTTATCAAATTTATGAATAGCCTGTGCAGAGCGAACATCCCAGAGGACACCATCGTTTAAGACAAGGTCATCTGTGGGGTTAAACGTGGCAGAATTCTTCTTGTAGTTGTTTGCAAGATCTGGGTTAAACAAAGTCAAGAGCTTGTTGCCAGTCTGAATATCATAGATCTTTTAGATGAAAAAGGAAAAAAGAAAATAACTTAGTCAACACCTGTCAAATATTTTGTCCAAAAAAGCACATGCAACCATTTCCAAATCACTCACACTTCATGGATTCCCATCTCCCTTGTTTTCCTCATGCTGGCTGGAGAACTCTGAGAGTTGAAACCCATACATCTTAAAAGTTGTCGAGACAAAGAAAGAATGATCTAACAATCGTATTAGTTTTAAATTTTATTTCTGTCTTTTAGAGTTTACCTCAGACCATTTTGTGTCACATGCAAACCTCACAAATTCTTCGGCTCCTGTCTCCAAATGATTAAGGGAAATGTTGGTGCAGAACGGAACTTTGTCATCTAATAACCCAGGGGGAAACATGACTGTTGCTCACTTCTCCTAGATTCATTCCTATGCCATAGAATATTTATGACACGAAGCAAAACTGCTGGCCTGAAAACTATACTTTGATATTTGAATGTATGGCTCGCAATAGAAAAGTATTCTAGCTGATCTTAGAGGCAGTGAGTTACATAATAATGCCCAATGTAGTATGTGGTGAAAAAGATTCACAAAACAAAAAGGAAGATAACATTCTGTCATTAATACTCAAGAACATTTAACAGTCTTATTCCCTTCCCTTAAAATTGTTTTTATAAAGTAATCTATTCTTTTATATTCTGAGCATCTGGCTTTATTACTTTTACCTTTTTTGTCAGAATAGATTACATCCCGGATTCTTAGCTGCCACTTGCACTTTGCTGAAGCTCAGAATTAACATTTTAGCTTGTCGCAAATGACCATATTATGAACCCAGATCAGATTATAGTTGAAGGCTAACAGAAAGAATAGCAAATCAACAGAGAAAAATGCCTTGCTTAAATGTAAACATGCAGGAATAAGAACAAAAGCATAAGGAAAAGTGCCAAGATTTTAATAGATATATGCAGCATGGGCTAAATGGGCTACAGGTGACTTGTATCAGGTCATAAGAAACAATTGTTACATTTTCTGGAATTTTGTGAGAAAATTGAGAGCAATGTTAAGCCACAATGCCTAGCATGCCATTCAGTTGTTTGACAGCTAGTAGTGCAACACAACTGCAGCAATGGAACCATGGCTTTCGCTAACTCTTCCTTTTCTCTGGCAGTGCAACTATGTCATCTCCTCTTTTTAAGAGAAGAAAATTGGCAAAATGTACAGCTATCCTTTTCCACGCAAATCCTGCCTTCCTTCCTCTATTGCGAGTATCCCTTGAGTAGAATTTTCCCCTCAGAAATCTGGATTCAACATTCATCTTTATTTTTCCTAAGGTAAATTATTATTATTATTATTATTTATTGAATTTCTATACCGCCCTACTCCCGAAGGACTCAGGGCGGTGCACAGCCATGAAATAAAACACATAGATATACAAAATTTAAAATCGAATAAAATGAATTAAATAAATTTGGCTGAATTAATACCCAATTTAAAATACCCATATTTTAAAATCCATTAAAATTTAGAATTTACACTTTAGAAAGGAGGAGATTTAGGCGAGGCCAGCTTGATGAAACAAAAGCGTCTTCAACTCGCGGCGGAAGGTGCGCAGATCCGGAATCCTCCGTATCTCTGGGGGGAGCTCATTCCAGATCGTCGGTGCCCCCACAGAGAAGGCTCTCCCCCTAGGGGCCGACAGCCGACATTGTTTGGCCGACGGCACCTGGAGGAGCCCCTCTCTGTGGGAGCGTACTGGTCGGTGGGAGGCTGTTGATGGTAGTAGGCGGTCCCGTAAGTAACCAGGTCCCAAGCCATGGAGCGCTTTAAAGGTGGTAACCAGAACCTTGAAGCGCACCCGGAAGACCACCGGGAGCCAGTGCAGCTCGCGCAGGAGAGGTGTTACATGGGAGCTCCATGTTGCTCCCATAACCACCCGCGCGGCCGCACTCTGCGCCAGTTGGAGCCTCCGGGTGCACCTCAAGGGGAGCCCCATGTAGAGAGCATTACAATAGTCCAGACGAGAGGTGACGAGGGCATGAGTGACTGTGCGTAACGAGTCCCGATCTAGAAAGGGACGCAACTGGCGAATCAGGCGAACCTGATGAAAAATCCTCCCGGTCACGGCCGTCAAGTGCTCTTCTAAAGACAGCCGTGAGTCCAGGAGGACGCCCAAGTTACGAGCCCTTTCCGTGGGGGCCAATGATTCGCCCCCAATAGCCAGCGATGGTGCCAGCTGACTATATCGGGACGTCGGAAACCACAGCCACTCGGTCTTGGATGGGTTGAGCCTGAGCCCGTTTCTCCCCATCCAGATCCGCACGGCCTCCAGGCACTGGGACATCACTTCAAGGGCATCGTTGGGGTGGTCCGGGGTGGAGATGTACAGCTGGGTGTCATCAGCGTACAGATGGTACTTCACCCCGAAACCACGGATGATCTCGCCCAGCGGCTTTACATAAATGTTGAACAGAAGGGGCGAGAGAACCGATCCCTGCGGCACCCCACATATAAGGGGCCTCGGGGTCGATCTCTGCCCCCCTGTCAACACAGACTGCGACCGGTCAGAGAGAAAGGAGGAGAACCACCGTAAAACGGTGCCTCCCACCCCCAACCCTTCCAGCCGGTGCAGCATGATACCATGGTCGATGGTATCAAAAGCCGCTGAGAGGTCTAACAGGACCAGGACAGAGGAACAACCCCTGTCCCGAGCCCTCCAGAGATCATCAACCAACGCGACCAATGCCGTTTCCGTGCTGTACCCAGGCCTGAAGCCCGACTGGAACGGATCTAGATACGATAAATTGCTATCATTAAAAAAACAGGTTCTATTGTTTCTGTCTTGAAAACTTCCAACATATTTATTTTACAACTAGGATTTACAACTTCCAACATATTTATTTTACAACTAGGATTTACAACTTCCAACATATTTATTTTACAACTACATTTGCTGATGTATAACCAGTTTGCTTTTTAAGGAATAAATCCTCAAGAATGAATTGCAGCAAGTGTTCCAGAAAACAGCCTTTCTCATGAAGTATTAGGGCTATAGTTACAGATGCTCAAAGATAGGATTGTGTCTTGAAGAATATTTTGCACATTTTGATATTAAAGAATACCTAATCTAATCCCACAAAACATATCTGATCTGTGGATCACTTCTGAGCTTATTTCTAATTCTCTCAAGTAATGCCAAAGTGTATTTAATCAATCTATTTTTCATTTAACACCACTTTTCTATTTGTTAAAAAATATATGGCAGTGATTGCAGATTTTCATTTTATTGACAAAAGCCTAGTATTTGTTTATTAAATTTATATACCACCAATCTCACTTTAATGGTTTCAAGCCAGGTAATAAATTCTCAGGAATAACCTTGCTCTCTGTATTTTCAAGTGCTGTCTATAAGAAATGGCTGTGGCAAGTAAGTAGCCCTGTATTTCTTCTGAGATTCAACCATCAATACTTACATGGGCAATGTCCCCCTTGGTGCCAATGACCCTATCTTGAGAATGCTTACTGAACTCAACATAATGGTCATCCGTGAAGGAATGCCTGTGAGGAAAAAAGCACATCATCAGCCTACTACAAAGAACAAAGCTTTCACTCAAATATCTGTGCTTTCATCTAGCACATTTGAATACATCTGCAATAGCACTTAGACTTCAGTATATACTACTCCACAGTGCTTTAAAGCACTCTCTATACAGTGTCAGCATATTGCCCTCAACAATCTGGATCAAAAGGATGGAAGACTGAGTTAACCTTGATCCAGACAGGATCAAACTCCTAGCTGTGGGCAGAGTCTGCCTGCAATACTGTATTCTAACCGCTGAGTCACTATGGTTCTTTAAATCCACAATACGCAGTAACTAAGTCAGGAACTAATACATTTTGGCTACTTTAAAGAACCTGAATATTACAGAGTATTTAACACCAAAAAGTTTTAAATATTAAAATATTGCCTGATTAATGCCCTGCCATTCAAGACAATTAAATCACCATATAGCCTTGGCAACGTTGTGGACTTCAACTCTTAGTGTGCTGAGTGGGGAATTATGGAAACCGAAGTCCACACATCTTAAAGTTGCCAAGGTTGAGAAACACTGATAGAAAGCATACATACTTGGTTTCAAAGACAGATTTCATTCCCCACAATGCAGAAAGTGGCTGGCTCCAGGAAGCAGATGTCAGCAATAAAGAACCATCCTGCAGTTTGGGAAGAGAAGTCAAAGAAGCAGACACTCTTTAGGCACGTGGACAGCATGTGAGGTTTCTTTTAAGAGAAAGGCAAAGTCCTACCTATGTCACAAATATATACAAAATACTCTTCACTCTTCTAGGCAGATAATACTCTTGGCCAATTTAAGGCAGTATGATCACAATTATACAAAGATAAAACCACTAACATACTATTGGCTTGGTCAGACCAGGTGGTTATTACAAATCAACTATCCTGAACAATGATTCCATTTCAGGCATAAGCTCATCCAAAGAGCAGAAAAGAGAGACTGGTTTTGGAAACTCATCTCTTCCACAATCTTCTGAATGTTCAGAAAAAGAAGTTTAAAAACTTCTAAGCTTTTTTTTTTTTTTTGGTCTTTACTCATATATTCTAGTGATTCACCTGCTTTTGTTTTTAATAAGTCCTCTCTACCTGCCCTAAGCTGTAACTGTACTGTACTGTACTGTACTGTACTGTACTAACTATACTGTACTGTACTGTACTGTACTGTACTATACTATACTATACTATACTATACTATACTATACTATACTATACTATACCTATACTATACTTATACTATACTATACTATATAACTATACTATACTATACTATACTATACTATACTATACTATACTATACACTCTACACTACACTTCACTTCACTACACTACACTGAACAGACAGATCTATGATAGGTTACAGGTAGTCTTCAATTTATGACTGGTAATTTAACAACCGTTAAAAGTTACAAGATCCTCAAAAAGGGTGCTTGCCACCTGTTCACATTTATAACTGCTTGCCATGCACCCAACAAACATCTGATTGCCATTTGCAGTCTTCTCTGCCGGCTCCCCCAGAAAATCAATATGAAAGACAAGACGTTATTCGGCAGGCAGCTCATCCAGCCAGCCCCCGGAGATGAGAAGGAACTCCAAATGGAGAGCCGAGACGCTGTGTAATAAGATAAAGAGCACCAAGGGGAGGTGGGGGAGACCCTGAGAAGCCAGATGCATGTCATGTGTGTCTCTCCCTTAGAAACTGAAAATCCTGCTTGGATTTCAGCAGGGAGCATTTGCAGCTTCTGAACTGAGCTTACCAGGTTCTCTTCCCCACCCATGCACCCCGAGGCACTTTGCGCTCTCTACTTGGGATTGCAAAACAACCTGTACAATCACTTAACACCTGAAATCAGTCACGTAACATTTAATGATCCCTTCACTTAGCAACCGGGTTCAATTGTGATCATAAGTCAAGGACTACCTATATTTTAAGCAATTACTAAAAATTCCGTGCTGTCAATAAAATCAGGCCGTAACATCCAATCTCTGTTGTGCTATCAATGTAATCTTGTCACATTTTCTCATTCCCATTTTGCCTAATCTCCCAATCCTTATGAAAGAGAGAAAACTGTTATTAAAGCACTCCTGACCTGAATATTCTCAGCCTTTTCCTTACCCTGGATGGCTCAAGGTGTGTGATAGCAGAGTTATGGCACTTATAGCTGGCCTCCTCCTGCCCGCTAAAGACATTGTAGAGTTTTAGGTGCCCTGTGCAGGTGCCCAACATCAGGAATCGCTCCCGTGCAGAAAATGCACAACACGTAAAGCCACTTTCATCTTCATTTGCTTCCCGGAACACAGAAATTGGACGGAACCTGGGATATGAAAGAGCAACTAAGTAAGAAAATTAATTTTCTGGAAGGGAAAAGGAGAAACAGGAGCAATGGCCAAATGCGACTGAAGTTGGGCAGCTGCATCTTAGTCTGCTAGGAGAAAAGACACGGCTTCAGCTTTCTTCATAAAGGAAGAAGAATCTTGCCAATAGCTCAGAAATGCTATAGAGGTGATATAGCAAAGTCTTCCTTGTGGTCCCAAGGCAATCAGTTTTGTCCAAGCCACGGTATGACACCCAAATCCACTTTCTAAATGGCATAGCCCAAAAAATCGTAGGAATAAAGAACCATCTTCCTTACCTGCTAAATATAAGGTGTCTATCAAAGCATCCACCATCTACCCCGCCATACTTTGGGAAGGCTGCCCTGCGGGTCAGCCGCGAGGTAAAGTTAGTTGGCGCTTGGCGCCTCTGTTTTGGCTCAGGACACTGGTGGGGTGTAAAAAGAGAAAAGGGGGGGCAAGTAGCTACAGGGTTTTTGCAGCGTGCATGCTGCTCCCTAAGGTACTCTGTGATTATACTGTCCAAGGTGGGAGGGGAAGGAAGGTGTCTGTCCAGCTGTTTTTTGATAGCTGGACTCTGACTGTAGGCGCCGTGGTCTGATTTTTGCCGAAGCACTCTGATTTTTCTGCCATTGCAGGGAGATGGTCTCTCACGAATAAAGCTAATCCTGCCAATCACTGGGGTATTGGTGGCGTGAGATGGGCCTGGCAGTGCAAGTGGGCCCTGGCAGCCAGCTGGCCTTGGCTGAGGGTGAACAGAGGAAGCACCAGAAGCAACAGAAGGATGGTTAGTCAACCGGGCCGCAATGCCATTTGCTATGCGAGGGGTACGAGGCAGAGACACAGGAGATGAAGTGGCAGGAACTGGGGTGAAGGCAGAGGAATGAGAAGCTGCTGTCATGGGTAGATCTGCCTCCTTTGTAAGGATGGTAGCAGTTTCTCCTAGCCCTTTAGAGATGAGATGGTTCCTGATCAAAAGAAGCAGCTCCTTCTCAGGAAATGAAATCCTCGACTGGGCCACCACATCTGCCTTCTGCAGTCGGGCCAGAGAGACATCGGTCCCAATCAACAAGGGTTTTCCTGAGACACGCTCTATCAGCTCCGCAGCGTATTTGCAAAACTTGACATGCTCGCTGCGCTTATCCTGCAGCACAGGCTCCTTCATTAACTGCTGGATCTGACAGCTGCTGAACAGGGGCAGCTTGCTGATGATCTGCCGGACTGTACTACTTCGCGACAACCCAACCAGGGCTTTGCAGGCCAATGCTCGGATCTGGTCTGCATCTGTAATGGGCATTTTGACAGAGAGCAATGATAACAGCACTTTGATGCCATTGTTTGACTGCACCACGTTCCACATCTTGGCCAAAGTATGCTCACTATTCCTGGGTGTTTGGGGGAGTGCGCGACGAGGTGTGCCAGAGATAAATTTGCCAATACTGGAGATGCGATTGTCTGGACTACAGACACAATTAATGATGATCTGAAGGGCAGATTTCTGGATTTCTGCATCATGAATAAAGAATTCACCCTCGGCAAGCCCCAAAATGATGCTGATACCTGGAAAAAAGAAAAAAAATTAAGTGAAACATTAGCAAGTAAAATGTATCAGACATTAGTGTAAGAGAACGATGGCTCCACTTGTATATTATAGGAGCGATGTATCTTTTGACTCATGTAATGGTGCACAAATCTGTATTTATCCAGTGAAAATGCTGAGCAATACACAATTCAGACTAAACATTATTTTTCTCACCTGCCTCTCAACAGGCCCTATGAAATAACCTGGGATGAAATAAAGAGACTCCCATAAGGATTAATAATAGAGCAATACACTTCATTCTTTCAGATAATTCTTAATGGTACAGCACTAGATTCTCTCACAATAACGATTAGGAGTGTATAATTCAATCAAATAATTGGAAGTGAAAACTCTGAAGCTGGTGTGTGAGAGAGAAAAAGAGCCAATCACGAACCGGATGCCTTTGCTTCTAGTTTCCCTTTTAAATGTATCTATAGACCTTAGTGAGAGGCAGAGGGCAGGCTGATGAAAACAGTGATGTCTAATACAAACCCTATTCTTTTTTAATGTGCTCCATACATGTTTGTCGCTCATGTACAAAAGAAGTGAAGCATAGGGTACAATACTGTTTTAATCATTTGGACAAAAGCAGCAACATCCCACAAATGTCCCCACCACCTGAGTTCATCTGTTCAGACAGATGAAACCATCCAGTTAAAAAAGAAATGAGTTTATACTAACAGCCACACAGTCAAGAGGATCCTTTCTTACAGTTCATTTGCTCAGAACTTAAAAGTTTTACATTGGTACAAGTATTCATAGGAAGCACACCAAGAGATCAGGTTTCACATACCCACAATAGAAATAGATGTTCCTCCCTCATCCACGGTATCCACTGCCTCAGCTAACTGTAATTGAATTTTTGGAACCACAGTGAGAATGGCCAAAACATCCAACGCATAACGCACCGTGTCGTTTCTGGTAAACAAAAACGAAATACATTTAACTCAAAGCATTACAAAACATATTCAAGGAATAGTGAGCTGAATAAATTCACAGGATGGCTCTTTTCAAAAACAAGAGAGTGTATTTGTTTCTATTAATTTTATGGGTAACTCCAGAAGTCTGTGGAGTACAAACAAACTGTATTTAATATTAATAAATATACATATTAACCACAGAGGCTAGTTGTCCTGGAGCAATTGCCAGCTCCATCCCGATGGCAACTTATAAGGTATTTCATATCCTGTTGTTCTCTCACCTTGCATAGTAAGTCTTCCAATTGCAGGCAATTGAAATAAGCTGAAGCATGAGCTGTACACAACATAGCTTGAGAAACACCTCTGCTGGATCCCAATAGAGCTGACCTGGTCCATATTCTATTAAAAACTCCATCATTTCCACAATCTGTTCATGAGTATAGGAACAAGCCTGCAAGTAGAAGCAAACATTCATTATCATCACCTACCTGGAAAAAATTAAGACAAACACTTTATAAAATAGGGCTGTTGTTTTTTTAACTCCAATCTACCTTTTCACTAAGGAAATCATGCTGATATTCAGAAACTAACCACAATATTTAAAATCTATAAAAGCACAAAATAAAAACAGGAGCACATATTTAAAAACCCAATGATCTGATCCATTATTTTAAATTGCAAATCCAAAAGCATTCAATATTAAAAAGTCTTAGATTCTATAGATAATATTCTAAAAGAGGACGAGGATTCTATGCATTGAACTGGATCCCCACAGCAAACTGAAAAGTGGTACAGTTAAACTGCAGCCCCAGAAAGAATGCCCTAAATTGGTCTATGAGATGCCAAATACAATCACAGCAAGGACCTTGTATTCCTAGAAGAGATATCAGTTGCTGTATTAGATGTACAGGTAGTCCTCGATTTACAGTTCATTTAGTGAACGTTTAAAGTTACAACGGCACTGACTTAAGATCGTTTTTCACACGTATGACCATTGCATCATCCCCATGGTCATGTGATCAAAATTCAGACACCTGGCAACTAACTCATTGCAGTGTCCGAGGATCATGTGATCCCTTTTTGTGACCTTCTGACAAGCAAAGTCAATGGTAAAGCCAGATCACTTAACAACCGTGTTACTAACTTATCAATTGCACTGATTCCCTTCACAACTATGACAAGAAAGGCCGTAAAATGGGGCAAAATTCGTTTAACAAATGTTTCACTTATCAAGAAAAATTTTGGGCTCAATTGTGGTCGTAAGTCGTGGATTACCTGTAGGTGAAAACCTTTTTTGATATCTATTGTTGTTCTCTAGAAACGGCAAGAGCTAGAGGTTTATTACTTCCAGCAATGTACTGCCTACCTTGTATGGAGGCTGTGGATGGACCAGAATTCCACCTTCTGTGCGTTGAAGTGACTGCTTCACTTGCTCTACTTTGATGGCAAGATGTGCCTCAAAATACCTGCGCATGGCCATGCAAGTATGCTTTCCAGTCTGACGGCTAGCAAAGATCTCATCATCACTTAGCAGCGCACCTTGGGTTTGCAAATTTAAGATATCAAGAGTGCTAATCTAAAGTGAGGGGAAAAAAATCAGGTTTACTACAGTTTTATTACTAATATCTAAAGATTTATTATCTTACATTGGTTAGCAAGTTCATTTAAGCCACATGCACATCCCTCCTGCTTTTTAGCTTGCTGGTTGTTTTGTTCAAATTTTCATATAACCAACCTTACAAAACGGAATCCTTCTAAACCCATCAGGTGCTCATTTGAAGGTATGGACTCAACGTTCACTGTACAAAGTATCACACAAAGTATCTAAATAGAATATATGTAAGTTGTTTTTGGACAGAAAGCCACATTTGCCTTTTAGAACAGGGTGGCTAAACTGAGATTCCAGCATATTGATTATTATTGTTTGGTGGTAACTTTTGAAGGAGCTCTTAAAGCCTCAATCAAGAAACTATACGCAACCTTAAGTTTCTGTTTAACACAAAGCAGAGCCAAGCTGAAAGGCCAATCCTGTAATGACGCGCAACTTTGCTACCCAAAAAAAGGAAGGCAGCAGTTCTGAAGTACTTAAGAAAAGCAAAACACAACCGTTTTAAGACTTACCAAGTTAACTAGGCGCCGTAAGCCATCATGCCTATCAAAGAGCTCTAAAACTGCACGGAACGAGAAACAAATAGAAAAGAACATGGTAGCATGGCAGCAGCCTGATGCGTGAGAGCATTCCATCAACCACAAGGTGTAGTTCACAACATCTGATAGTACGTGGGGATGCATGCATACCTACAGAACAAGAAAACACTGTGATCGTTTGTACTTTTAGTAATGGGAACAATATGTAGACAAATCCTCCAGCAACTGCTGTGATGAAAGGGATAGCATTCATTGTTCCATTTTAATTACAAAGATGACACACATCTTAAAATATTTTGGAGTCCTTGAACTGAACAAAAGTCAAAAATGAACATTCAGGATACAAATGCAATAAAAACACTACTACAAAAAATAAATAAGTGGTTAACATGAACACAGGGTATCTATGCTTGGAAGATAAGTAAACAGTTGAAACCGACAATGAAAACCAAAGCAACACACCACAGAATTCTGATTTAAAAAAAGCATTAAAGCAATCCTTTCTTTAGAACTAGTGGGTATATCTTGCTGAAATAGAGCTGAATAAAATCTATTTATATTGCATGAATAAGTGTGTGCCTTAACTATTGCTGTCTTCAGGTAATGTGATAGAGAGACTCTGACATATTCATTTTCAAGCCAAATTTTAAAAAGTATTATGTGTCTCCCCTACTGAAATTAACAGGATACTCTATGCAAGCAATACAACTCAACTTTCAATAAAGATATATATCTAACTGATGACCTGTTCTCAACTTCAGCAGCTTACTAGTAGGTATTATCCTATTATAAGCTATCACACAAGTACACTCAAAATATTTATGTTGGATTTCCCAAAAGGTGAGGATACCTGGAATATTCTAGTCCCTACTTGAAATATGCAAACCCTTTTCAAAGCATACAGCCTCTGGTGGCAGGATGTGCTCTTACCCTTTCCATGGCATCCTGATTGTAAGACAAATAGTATAAACACATGGAGACACCTGTGGCTGCCATAGAAGGGCGAGGAATCTCCAGCAGCTTCTGTACTCCTCCATGAGCAACAAACTCTGTTGCAAACTTGTTGTGGAGCAGCAAAGATGCCAAATACTGCAGACAAATGCATAAAATCATTGTCGGTTATAAGGCAAGTGGGCTAATTAAAATCAACCTAGCAAAGCTTTCCACTACAAATGAAATATTCTTTCTTGTGTCCTGTGAAAAATTGAGAAGAATGAGATTTCACTCCATTGCTCTCTTTAAGAAAAACTGTAATTTAAATAAGAACAAGATCCAATTCAAATGCTTTTGAAAAGTTTAAATAGGTAATGTTCTGTCCAGAGGTGAAATCTAAATTTTTTTGCTACTGGTTCTGTGGGCGTGGCTTAATTAGTGGGCGGGGCTTGGTGGTAAGGTGACTGGGAGGGCGTGGCCAAGTCAATGTCACTTCTTTGCCCTTTTTTAACCTACAAAACACAACACAACACAACTGGCTCACCCACAATGTAAAAGCAGCTGTGCTAGATCCAAAATGGCCCCTCAACAAGCAGGAACCCCACAGCCACAAAAAGCCCAAAAAACAACTTTCACACTTTACACACACAAAATTCCATATACAGCTTTGTGAGATTTTGTGCGTTTGTGTAGTTAGAGTGAAACACTACAGAAACACACTAAATCTCAGAAAGCTGCACAAATATTATTTTATTTTATTTTATTTTATTTTTATTTTTATATAAAAGCAGCTAAATTTAAAACTTCCTAAACTTTAAATGGCTAGGTCTAAAAAAAGAACTAAAAAAACCCAATTAACTATTTTTTTAAAGCTCCCAAAGGGGAAAAAAACTTACCCAATAGAACAGGGATCTCCAACCTTGGCAACTTTAAGACTTGTGGACTTCAACTCCCAGAATTCCTCAGCCAGTTTTGCTGGGAGTTGAAGTCCACAAGTCTTAAAGTTGCAGATAGAGCTGCTCACCAATGAGCTTGATTGCAGGCAGGGAGATTCAGTTGCTTGCTGATGCGATGGATTGCAGATATTACAGCAAGCGAAGCAAGGCAGGCGTTGCAACCAGCAGCTAAGGTAAGCAAGCTGGAGGATGGGGGGAGGGGGGGAGAAAAAAAGGAACTTTTTTTTCTTTTAAATGGGTCTGATAATCCAAGCTGAGTTGCCTGATTAGCAGGCAACTCAGCTGGGATCGTCAGAGCTTGGATCGTCAGAGCCATTTAAAAGGAAAAAAAGGCTCTGATGATTGCGCAGCTCAGCTGGGCATGGGGGGCGGGGGCAGGGATTTTTGCTACCGGTTCTCCGAACTGCCCACTGCCATTGCTACCTACTCCCCCGAGACGGTCCGAACCGGGAGCATTTCACCCCTGGTTCTGTCCCCAAGCAGTACATAATCATTACACAATTGTCCATATTTAAATATACAAGTTTATTTGGAGTATCAGTATATGTTAATCTTCTGGTAACTACCAGAATTGTAAATGCTTTTCCAAAGCACAAATCTCACAAGATTCTCTTCAGCAAGATGGACTGAACTGAAATCAGCAAGAATTCCAGCAAGAGCTTTCAGTTTAAAATCAGTATCTATGTGCATGAACATGGTTTTTCTTCAGAATTTTTTATCTGTATTAACTCATTGTGATCTGTATATTTTGAGTAGAAGACTCATGATCTGTTGCAGTTCAGGAATATTCAGTTAGCAATTTGTTTTTAAATTAATTTGCAAGCTGCTTTATTAGTGATATTCTATGAGATGGATTTATAGACCAAGGAAAAAAGAAAAGAAAGGCCAAATCTTCTGGATACCATTCAGTTTGTACCGCATAGCAAAGAAGTTTACAGAATGAAAGAACACTTATCTCACAGACACACCAGGATTAGGGGTAGATCCCAAGTAAGAGGTTCCCGAGAAAACAGATCCTGACACCCACAAGCCATATCAGGAGGCAGGAGCAGGTGAATGGATCAAGGCAGGTTCTGAGAGTGGAGATTTAGAACATCCAGTCTTTCACTCTATTCAACATTTCAGTATTTATAACACGCATAAGAACTCTGAGAGTCTTGACATCACTAAAACACCTTTTGTCTTTAATCTGAAGTATTGTATCGCTCTTAAAATATAGAACTTGTAAAGAAGAAAAACAAGGGGTAAATATTTCAAAGCTTTAAAGAAAAAATGTAAGTATTCAGAGTTGATGTTCTTTCAGTACCAGTTGTCAGTCAGTACCAGTCCAATTTCTTCCAGACTAGCATCTCAATATCCATAATTTCCCATCCAAATAGCAATGGTGTTACTTGGTTAGAGTAAGAATCCAACTACGTAGATTACGCTGAAATTGGGCCACAAGGCCTCTTGTATCTATGAACAAACAGTTCATAATGCTATTGTTTACCTTTAGGGCTTCAAAAGTAAGCAGTACATCATTGGTCCGTTTCAAGTCAATATAGAACATCATCAAATCTCTTGATCCAAGTTGCATGAAGATAGGCAGCAACTGTTGGGGGAAACGTACAAAATACTTTAAGATGGAAATCTTAAAATATTTTCTTTCTCCTAAATTTAGAAGCAGTCAGATGCAAAGTATAGTTGACCAAATTTCTGCTACATCATGATGTCAAACTCTCCACGTTACATTGATGTCATGTGACATATCGCGACTTTTTTTCCTTTGTGAAGTTGGGCTGGGCGTGGCCTGCGCGTGACGCATCTGGCCTGCGGGCCACCACTTTGACACTCCTGTGCTATGTAATCTTGAGGATGGCACTTACTGTGCAACTAACCATTTCCTCTCATATATTTTTAGATTAAAATATGTAGCGGGGGGAAGAAGAATGTTGTTCTATTATATTACTATATTTCTTTCCAACACATGTATTATTTATAATATGATCTATTTTTCTTTATAATAAGAGTCTGCATAATATGGGTATCTTTATTTATAATAAAGGGGTATTTATGATTAAAACATTAACATCCTGTTCTAAGGCAAGCACATAACAAAGCACAATTAATTGGAAAGACAGCTCCAAAGATTATCTTTTGCTCTTTGCACAACACCTTTGCGTAAGAACATACCTTGAACAGATTATGATTCTCCATAATAAAGTTTAATTTCTTCCTAAAAGAAATGCAATTATCATGTATCCTTCTGCTTTTTTAAACCTACCTCTTGATACTCCCCAAGAGGAGTCAGATACTGCAGAATCAGTCTTTGCTCTATGGCCGGGGTCAAGGGATACAGGTTATAATTTGTGCCAATCACCCAAGGAGACATCTCAGACCAGCTGCTATTAGACAGTTCAACAAACATCCTTTCTGGTTCAGAAGAGAAGCCAAGTTTTTGTTTTGCTTTTCGGAAATTCTCTTTTTCGTGTTGCTTCCCTGATTTTTTTGCGGCAGAATTTACCCGACTACTTGTCTTGTGATTTGAGTCAAGGTTAAATGAAATCTCCATGTCCCCCGTCACTTCCTCCTGCTCACCATCCACAGCCATCTCCCCATAATCCATGTCCACAGCTTCTTCATCTAGAGGCAGCAAGGGGTCGGATGGCACTTTTCGAGGACTAGGACGCTTATTTTCATGTTTTGTGTTTGTTTCAATGACTTGCAGCTCTCGCAAACGTTGAAGGACAAATGCCACCTTTCATAAAGAGTTGAACATGCATCAGTTTAACACAGTTCTGCTATACCGAAATCAGTTTGCCCAAAGAAACTCAAACCCATTATTATTATGCCATTCACCTTCCAAAAAAAGAAACACATAGAGGAGCAGCAAAAAAACCAACAACCCGGTGCTAATTTCAAATGTTGAATATTTAAATACACTATCTTTGCAAACTTAAGGTTCCTTCTTATTATTCTAATACTGTGAAGGAGGACAGGAAACTGGAGTCGGGGAAAAGTTATCATGCAAAACGAAACATGCTGATATATGAATGTGTTTTCTCCACTTACAAAGAAGGACATTTCTAAAATTTGCTGTAGAATAAGTAACATGCAACCATTGCTGCAGTTTTTCTACATTCATTGTGATAATGCTCCAGGGGCTAAATAAAAGCTTAGGGGTTTCTGCTCCAATCACACTGTTCAATACTTGTCTACAATATGTTATGGATATTTCCTGTTTACCAGTTGGGAATTCTCATCTCTATAGTTGGCAGCAATATCTTGATTCTCCATGGCACCTCCAAGCAATCCAGTTGCGAATGTCCTTAAAGGCTGATCAGCTTCTCGTGCCCACTTGAAGAGATTCTCAACAATGCCTTCCTAGAATAAAGGGGACGGGACAGGACAAGAGTGGTATATTTAGGCAACTTAAATTCTTCACAGCTTACATTGCAATACGACATCTACACACATATAAATCTCATAACCTATACTGGGCTTTGTTCCAAAAAGAAACTTTTCAGATTAAAAAAGCAGATGAAGTTGTCGATACGATCAACATTTAAAGTAATAAATGCATATCCAGAATGATTTTTTAAGCTATAGTTTTCTTTGATTTTTTTCGCAGTAAGACTTTCTACTAAGAAAGGACAAGCACTTGTTAAACTGGACAGCAACATAATTTTTCATCAAAATTGCTGCAGTCAAGCATGAAGAAATTTCTGGCTATACACAGGAGTTTTTATATAGTTCTTCTGCACACTGGCATGTAATTCAGAAACTCAGTGCAAAAATAATTCAATTCTGGCTACCAACTGTATCAGGGACTGTGTGGTCATGGAAATTTACAGATCACACAAAAGGCACACTGAATGCATTCAGATGCCAGGTAAAGCCAAAAATCCTTGGTCATAATATCAACTGCGATGTGGATTGTCAGTATGGTAAGCCACTATAACCCATTCATTCCTACCTGTTCCTCCCTTCATGAAAACAAACAAATAAAAAAAGGAATGCTTAGCATATTGTAGTCTGATTGCAGCCATTCCATAACTGCTGTAAAGCAACTGAAACACTAATCCTAGCAACTCTTGGTATATCAATCAATTAAAAAAACACCTTTCTATGTCTGCAAACTTCCAAGTCTCAGAGAATATAAGAAATATTTAAACTATTTTATATGTATGAATTTAAATGTATATAAATATGAACATAAATAAGAAAGTATTATTTTTATTATTTATTTATTTGGTTTATTTATTAACAGCCTACCTCCCTCAGAGAGGGGGCTCTGGGCAGTTTATATCTCTCTACAGTGTGTGTGTGTGTGTGTGTGTGTGTGTGTGTGTGTGTGTGTTGTTGTGGGGCTGTGTGGTGTGTGTGTGTGTGTGTGTGTGTGTGTGTGTGTGTGTGTGTATGGAATGAGGGCAACTGTTGTGGGGCGTCCCAAGGGAATATTTAAGGTGCAGGCTATTTATTTTATTGTTTTTACTGTTTTATGAGTATTTTATAGATATTGGTTTTATTGTTGCTGTAAGCTGCCCAGAATTACTTAAGAAGGATGGCCATAAAAATCTTTTAAGTAAATGAACAAAATTTTAGCCTTCAAAATAAAGGTAGCTATCATCTGGAGTCAATTAATTGGTATACTGTCTGACTGTGGCAGAAGCAACGTTTTCAGCCACCTGGAATTCATTCTTCTTACCAGCCTCCCAAAACTGTCAAAGCAGAGTCTACTAAGATCTGCACCATGTTGCTTCTAAGTCTATCTTCCTATCTCCCATACCTTCTCCTGAAAGACAACAGCAGTTTCCAGCCCAGGCATAATGTCCAATAGGAGTCGGCAGGCAGCTGTGTTCAGTGGAGGTTCTCTGCTTGTCATGACGTAAGCATTTACCAACTAAAAGAAGAAGAAAAATTTTGGGGTTATTTCTGAAAGAAAAAAAAAATACATGTCAGATCTGAATGCCTTTCTACTTATGGGAAGAATGCCAGTCCAGCAGAGACTGCATTTGAAGAAGGGAGGGAGGGAGAACCTGAATTGAATTTCTCCTACAATGCTTACTCATAGGATCACTGACTCTCTGGAGTCAATAAGTTTCAGGACAAGATATGCTGGGGAAAAGCTAAATTTGCAAAAATCAGTTTTATTCCACAAGCCAAGAACCACCCACAGAAAAAAAAAGTTTTCAAATCTATATTATGCTTTATTACTATTATCAATTTTTTAAAAGTGGAATTGTTTAGGTTCTTCCATTCGCATTGTAAAAGGATTGATAGCTTTAAATTACATAGAAACAAAAGATTACAAAGCAATTCTAAGAGCATTTACTTAAAATTTAAGTACACTTAATTCAACTGTGCTACTTCTGCACAGGGTTCTGCTGCACATATTACATCTTGAAGTATAGTAAGTAGCCTAACCAGGCATTTGAATTCTTCAATACATTAGTCTTTATCAGTTTTTGCAAAATATAAGGTTCAAAATTAGAGCTTAAATCCACTTCTCATTGTACATAAATTCTTTCAGTTTACTGGAATCTACTTCAATTTCAATAAACACCTTGAATTTGTAACTTTCTGGAAAATATAGAAGGCGGCAAAGGGCCCTTTGGTAGACAGAGAGAAGACAGACAGAGTTAATAAAGAAAAGACTCTTTTTATACTGCTTGCATCATGATTTGACTAAATGAGACTTAGGCAAATTTTATATTAAGTTTTGGAAATTACCTTCTTCTTTCAACAGAGAATGAATCTAAAACAAAATGAACCCCTTAGCACATCTTTTGCACCTTGGCAAAAAAAATTAAGTAACACTAGCTACCAGTTGCCAAGTAGATATCTATACATAAATTCAAAGGGCAAACCCACTGCATTCATGAAATCATCATTCTTGAAAAGAATCCTCAGCAAGTGTCCAAGCATACATTTTGGGTCTGCTCGACCTGTAAAACAAACAGACAACAGTATCAATTAATAGACCGCACACTCACTAGCAAACCTAAGTAGAAACAATGCAAAGAAAACAAAACAAACATGTAAAACAATACCTTAGCTAACTGAAGTTAAGTATGATTAATTGAATATCCTGGCAATTCAAAAATTTCCACCCACAAATCAATGGAAGAGAAATATTGGCACTGAATTTAAGTAAAAAAATTATATCGACAAATTTATGTAAAATTATATTTTAATTTAAAAACCTATTTGGTTGACTAAAACAAGCCTTCTAATCTAAACTGTTGCCCAATAATTCTTAAGTAGTTTGTTTTAATGAAATGGTTTGCAGTAGTGGCAAATATCTGTAGCTCGGGTGTAACGATGAGAATGGAGGTTCGTTCTCCGAGCTTGTGGGTTTGTTTCCGAACATTTTCTTACCAGGCTAGGTAACATCTTTAGCGGAATCTAGGGAATGTCAGGGCTGGTGTTCTTCTGTTTATAAGGGTTTTGTGTGGTCAATAGGCCTTGTGATAGGAAGGTCACATCAGGTGAAGGTCTTGTGAGGGCTTGTGACTTTATTGAAGCCTGGCACTCCACAAGTAATTCCATCAACAGACACACTGACCTACAACCAGCCTACGAACACCTGAGAATTCAAATCAACCGCACAACCAAACACCGATAGCACCAGCATTCAACCAGCCCACAACCCCAACCAGCACTTCACCTCCCAATGACCCTCACCTGATGTGACTTCCCCATCACAAGACCTACTGACCACACCAAGCCCTCATAAGCAGAACAACACCAACACTGACATCCCCTAAATTACACTGAAGATGTTAACTAGCCTGGTAACGAAATGTTTGGAAACCAACCCACAAGTTTGGAGAACGAACCTCCACTCTCACACCTATGGTTATTCAACATTTATAACACACATAAGAACCTCTTAGAAGTTTTACTAAATAACATTTGATATGTGTGCACAAGTTATTTTTTGGTAGGTGAAAAAATTAAAATACAGTTGTACAATCACAGTCTATATCTTAAGTTATAGAAAAGCACATTAATTAGTTGAAAAATCATCTTCCGTTTGTTTTGTAAAAGCAAGTCTTTCACTTTTTTTGTTCCAGGCCTCCCATAAAATATTTAAAATTAGTTCCATGTATTCTTAATTTGTTTAAAGATATATCTCTGGAATATTTTAAGAAGCAAGGAGAATTACAGAAACTCCAAAAAGCACTTTAGTTGCATGCTGTTGTTAACATAATTATGTTGATTTAGTGAAATGACCCACAATGAGACCAGACTATTTGAGGAGGGACTCCATTCCCCTGCGGGTATCAAAGTCAATGGGGAAGCTGACAGAAGAGGTCGCAAATCACAAGATGTCTTGCTTAATGAACAGTGATTCACTTAATGTCTACAGCAAAACAAAGGTTATAAAATCAGGTGTGGTCATGTAATGCTTAATGACCGCACCACTTAATAATACATTTTCCAGTCTTAATTGTGGTTGCAAGTTGAGGACTATCTGTATGACTCATGGCTTGATGTCTTAATGTGGTGTCCAAGTAGTATCAGTTAATTTATATGGATTGTTTAAAGGCAGTAAGTCATAATTTTACTTTTTTTTTTTTTTTGCCTTAGTCTCTGCAACTGTGGTTGAGAACATATAAAATGGGTTTATGTATGGTTTTCTTTCTTAGCCCCCTTTTTTTAAAAAAAAAAAACTCTACCAATCATCTAGTTAATTCAGAGACATACAAAAGAGAAGCACTGTGATACTTTGCTCCTTGGTAGAATTCTGATTGGCTCAGAAAAAATATGGCTTAAGGTGGTATATAAAAATAGATAAATGCTTTCTTCTCAGTTTACCGGGATGCCTATCATCAAATGGATCTGGATCTCGTTTGCGATACTCTTCTGTCTCCTTTTCAATCAACTCTGACATTCTAGAAACAGAAAAAAACATAAGCAATTTGTATTTCTAATATTTGAATTGTTAAAATTAGACAACCATGATTAATCAAGATTCTAATTGAAATGACCATTTGAAGTTACGATGGTGCTGAACAGAGAGGTCTTATTCCGTGTAGTTATGGCCACTGTGACATTCCCACGGTCATATGATTTGAGCTCTTGGCAAATGGTTCACAATTAGAGCCTCCCAGAGTTGCTTGATGGCAAGATGAGTGGCATACAAATTTCATTAATTACTTATTACAGTTGCAGTGCATTACAGTCACATGACTGCAATTTGAGACTTTCACTTCCATCTTCTGACAAGCAGAGTCAAAAAGGAAGTCAATAGGTCCTAAAGGGCAAACATGTGACTGCAGGATATTGCAAATGTGCAGGATTCACTTAACAATGGCAACTGTGACTGCCATAGCTGCTATTGTAAGCTAAGATGGTCAAGTGACATTCAACTTTATGATCATATCATTCAGGGATGGAGTTGCCGGTCCCAATTACCATAGTTAAGTGACCACTATCTGTATTTAACAACATTTCAGCAAAAAGAGGAGACAAGCACTAAAGGTAAAGGTTCCCCTCGCACATATGTGCTAGTCCTTCCGACTCTAGGGGGTGGTGCTCATCTCCATTTCAAAGCCAAAGAGCCAGCGCTGTCCGAAGACGTCTCCGTGGTCATGTGGCCGGCATGACTAAACACCAAAGGCGCATGGAACGCTGTTACCTTCCCATCAAAGGTGGTCCCTATTTTTCTACTTGCATTTTTTACATGCTTTCGAACTGCTAGATAAGCAGAAGCTGGGACAAGTAACGGGAGCTCACCCCATTACGCAGCACTAGGGCTTCAAACCACTGAACTGCCGAACTTTCGATCGACAAGATCAGCGTCTTAGCCACTGAGCCACCGCATCCCAGTACATTAAAAATACACTATCTGTATTTAACAAAATTTCAGCAAAGAGGAGGGAAGTACTACCCTCTCTAATTAATTAATCTATCTAAAAACATGCTTGAATTGTCCATGATCTACATAATTTCTCTACATTGTTAAGAGTTTAATAATGTCATCTTTGCTACTTATGGGACTGCTAAGATAGGAACTGTGAGGCTTTGAGGCAATTCTCAAGCCAAAGACAGTCATTATGTAAACATACAATAAACGTACAGCTTCACAACTTCCAAATACTACCCTACATCTTCATTAATTTGGAAAAGTGGAAGGAAGAAGCCACTCATTTAAATCCTAAGGCTATAAGAGAATTTACATCTTCTAACTGCAGTGGGTAATCAACTCATCAGTATGGCTTTATTCTTGTTTATGACACAATTTGTTACTCAAACAAGCTGAGTGTGAGTCTTCTGCTGCATAATCAAAGAGATAATTTTAGCTATGAAGTGTAAAAAATCTGGTATTTACTGCCAAATCTTGGACAGGGGAGCTTGATAGCAAATGTTAACAGGAAAACTAGTCCATTGCTTTTCTGTTATTTTCTGTTACTTTCACACTGCTCAAAGCTTGTGTATTAGGTTATAATATGCAAATCATTTGGTAGGGCTGTTTCACGACTTCCTGAGGTCTTCAGACCATGTAATTTCCATGCTCAGAAGATACTTCTACATAATCAGCAAATCTACCTGCCTTATCAAATGATGTGCACAAGCTTAGTAAACAGAATGTAAAAACTAAATTATATAAACGTTTATTTACCTGTGACTAAGCCCTACTGAGATTTGCTTCGGAATGGTGTCATTTCTATAACGTATTCCATATAATTATACTTGATCACACCTACCGGGTAAGAATAGGAACCATGTCTTGTCCACTGCCATGATCTTTCTCCCATTGCTCTAGCAAAGCAGTGAGCTCAGCCTTGGAATCTACAAGCTCAGAACATGACGTCATGACTCACTCTAAACAAGAGAGAGAAGCAATTCAGACGAGATGAAAACATCCTCAATTCTTATTGCATTCGTTTTCACAAAAAACATTAGATCTCAAAAGCCACCTACTTTTTATAAAAGCGATTGAAAATGGGGAAGTTAAGACATAATTTTAAAAATATCTTTGTATGCACTCATCACAAAGCTCTTCGCATATTTATGTTTTTAAAGCAGTATTCTCTTCTATAATAAGCAGTTGACACCATATGCCAATATTTCCAAATTAGGTGCCACTCAAGATGGAACCAAGACAATAACTGTATTTAATTTTATTTACATTAACTAAAATAAAAAGCAGCTAATATGATTACCCTCCACTCACATTTGTAATCAGTTCCTTTTCTCCCATATTAAAATTTACAACTAATTACAACTTTCAGGAGTTAGGGTCATGATTTCTAATCTTAAAGTGTCAGATTATAGAATTTTGGTTTATAAACTACACTGGCTTTCATTCCATCAGGTTCAAAAGCAAAGAGTTAATTGCTCTTTTTAATCTTTTCAATCTAACCCCAACCCTCAATTCTCTCAGAACAAAAGATTTAAGAAATTTCATCCACAGGACATGAATGAAGTTAAGTGAAGTCAGCCCACAGTAAGTTATCTGGACCAAGGAAAACATTCTTCCTCTAGAGCATAAACATTTTGCCCAACACAGGAAGGGTAAACTGGACAAAGAGATAAGTAACATATTAGAGCACCTGCTAATTAGGAAAACATTTTTCCTCTGGCACATAAATATTTTGCCCAACACAGGAAGGGTAAACTGGACAAAGAGATAGTAACACATTAAGCACCTGCTAATTTGGACAGATAGGTAAGGATGGCTCTATCTTTGTGAACGTTTTATTTTTGAAAAAAGTATTTCAACAGAAAGGCACCAGGAACAAACGTATCACATCAGGATTCAAAAATTTTCTCAACTCCATCAGATGAAAAAGTAGGTTTAAGGTTTAATGGATTAAATAAATCTATACTCCACATAGTTAAATATTATCCATGCAACCAAATAAAGGAAGTTGTAAACATAAGAGTAATTAATTTATGACCACCCTCTGTTTTGATTGGCAAAGCTAAAAAAAAATCTAATAGAGAGATCCAAGTCAGACCTTTTGTTTGGGGTTGAAAATCACATTTAGTTGGATGAAAGCCAGTGTTAAGTATGATGAGCTGCATCCCAGCTTTTAGTTCCCAAAAGCTCCATCCACAACATCCAAAGCCATGTAAGAACTCAGTCCTTCCTTTTCTGGACAAGTTGGCAGTGGAATCAAATTCTGGCAGGGCTCGTTTTAAGTATATAAGGGAATAAAGAATTGAATAAAGAATCCATTCAATACCAAACTGTCAGCTAGCACTCAGCACTACTCAGGAGTAGCTTTTTTTTCATTAGGAAGGCTCCAATAAATTAATGTATCATTTTAGGAGACTGTGACACCACAACATCTGAGAATCCTAACCTAACCCATCATGCTTCCACAGTGGTTTAACCAGATGACACTGGAAAGCCCTCAAGTAACAGATAGCCTTTCCTAACAACTGCTACTGAGACATAAATTGCCTCTGATATTGAAATTAACATACATCCACTACATCTTTTGACAGCTTTAGCCTTCCCAAAAGCCTGCAATCTCCTTCAAAAGGATCCAGGTTGGTAACTATTTTTTTCATCAACCACATATTTCTAGGTAGAAAAGAATGGTGATGAATAACTTGGCAAGAGATCTGACGAAACATAATAAAGTAGCAGTAAGAACATACAACCCAAGGCTCAGAAATATATGATGTGTCACAAGGAAATAGAGGGAATTTTAACTTATAAGATTTGATCACTGGAATAACATAAACATTTAATGAGTCATCTTATTGTTTCTTCTAAAAATATCCATACACATACATCATTTTAAAAATATACTTGTAAAGGGGTTCACTTAAATGGCAAACAAGGAATTTCTCACCCATATGGTTGTATGTGTTTTCCTCAGTCTTGGGTCCTCTACCAGAGCCTGAGAGTTTGAGGGTCCTGCATGATATCTTAACTATTCTTAGCACTGAACTCTTTTAGACAGAGAAATCTAATGTTGTTTCTGGGATCTGTTGGAGCCACAGCATCCAGTGGGTGGTAGGACCACTTTGGCCTTTACTATCCACAGCCTATCCAGCTTATCCTTCTACCTGATGTTGCTGTCATTTGGTACCACTACACCTATCATCAATGTCATCTTCTGATCTTTGTCTACTACCATGATGTCTGGTTGCCTGGCCAACGCCTGCTTGTCTATCTGGATTTGAAAGTCCGATGTGGAATCTCCCATCTGGACTTGAGAGGATCTAGCCCATACGCTGTGCAGATGCTCCTGTACACAGTGCCAACTACTTGGTTGTGCTGTTTAGTGTGTGCTGTTCTTGCCTGCATCTCGGAGTCTATCTTTGAGGCCCCTCTGATTAATCTGCACCACAGGTCCTGCCTAGTGTGGTAGACCTTTGCTTCTATGGATCTTCTATGGAACACAAGCCTATTCTTGTGTTGCTGTGATCAGTGTCTTTTAGTCCAGCCCTTCCAGCCACTGGTAGAATTTTCCAGTGTCAACCAGCTCAGGTATCTGTCAATGGTACATACTATGTAGGGTCAGTTTATTTATTTATTGTTTATTTATTGGTTCGATTTATATGCCGCCCTTCTCCAGAGACTCAGGACAGCTTACAATGCGTTAAGCAATAGCCTTCATACTTTTCTATATATCTGCTTAGTAGGGCTTTCGGCCCTCCCTAAGCAGTGTTCTTTTTTATACAAAGCCAGCTTATTGCCCCCACAATCCGGGTCCTCATTTTACCTACCACGAAAGGATGGAAGGCTGAGTCAACTTTGAGCCTGGTGAGATTTGAACTTGCAGTAATTGCAGGCAGCTAGTGCTACTTAACAGCACTTTAATCACTTTAGCACCAACCACCAAGTTGATTTTTGGCTGGCCCCGCCCATCCCTCCCCTCCCAGGAGTCCCATTTTGGAATGCCAGGTAAGTACAGGGCTTGTGTGGAGGCTCTGGAAAGGCGTTTTCGGCCTCCAGAGGGCCTCGGGGGGGGGTTAGGCCATTTTTGCCCTCCCCAGCCTCCAGGAAAGCTTCTGGAACCTAGGGAGGGCAAAAAATGGACCTAACGGGCCCACCGGAAGTAGGAAAACGAGCCATTTCTGGCCTCCAGGGGGGTGCGGGAGGCCATTTTCGCCCTCTGGAGGCTTCAGATAGGCCTGCTAGGCCCAAAACGGGGCAGGGGGTCATGTGCACATGCAGGGGGGAGTGCAGGGGTCGCATGTGCAGGGGGGCACTGAATTATGGGTGTGGGCACATGCGCATGCGACCCCCCGCTTTTGGCACCCGATGGCAAAAAAGTTAGCCATCACTGATATAAGCCATACTTGATAGTCACTTGTGTGAACTGTCTCGAGTTGACTTCTAATGTTGTCTTTTATAGTCCTACTGAATTCTTGTGAAAGGTCCTTAGTGTCTGTTGACTTTGTACAGCACCATTCACAGATCCATATGTGTGGCATCGAGTCATAGGCTTTCCAGTAATCAATACAGGCAGTGTTCAGATTGATCTGTCTTGAGTGACTACCTATAAACAACTGGAGTTTTGAGCCTCTGATGTTGTTCTCAATGTGTGCGCATGCACACACAATGATCTAATTAATGAATCTTGTTGTAAACTATAATAACTATTTGCCTTTGATCTCTACGAAAGGATCCTTTGCTTCTCCAACTAAGTGTCATTTTCTTTCCAAGAACATGATTGATTATCCCTTGTTTCCAACACATATCAGATTTTGAAGGGAGGAAGTAAATCCAATTACTACATATTAGTCCATAGATATAATAATTTTGGTTAAATTATTTAATTGTTTATACTGTATGTAATTAAAGTATCTGATATAGCTGAAAAGGTACACAATGCAAATTATTTTTAAACGTAACTCTTCCAAAAATCTTAACAAGAACAAAGTTTCAAATGTACTGTACAACAAAATTATCACACACCCATAAATACAAATATAAATATAAAAATAAAACCTGAACAGGTAGTCCTTGAGTAACAGCAGTTCGTTTAGTGACTGTTCAAAGTTACCACAACACTGAAAAAAGTGACTTATGACTGTTTTTCACACTTACAACTGTTGTAGCATCCCCAAGGTCATGTGATCAAAATTCAGATGTTTGCTAAATCGGTTCATATTTATGATGATTGGTTTCCCAGGGTCATGTGATCACCTTTTGCGACCTTTTGACAAGCAAAGTCAATGGAGAAGGCAGAGTCACTTAACAACTATGTTACTAACTTAACAACTGCAATGATTCATTTAACTGTGGCAGAATAGGTCGTAAAATGGGGCAAAACTCACTTAAATGTCTGGCTTAGCAACATAAATTTTGGGCTCAATTATGGTCATAAGTCAAGGACTACCTGTATAACACAATGTTTTGACCAACGTATCACATAGCTAGCAGGCTTTATTTGTACATTCTCTTATCCAATACATCTGCGAGTATAAAATGCAGTAAAGTATCACAAGTTGTTATTCATTGCTAGAGAAGAAAATCTAGCAAGGTACTTAACACTAATGAATAGTATTTCGAAAAAAATATTGCTACAATAGCAAAGCACTGCACCAAACTGAAGAAGGCTCCACTTATGTGACCTAACAAGAGGAAATTGCAAATCACTGATACTCAAATTGTATTATTTCAAGCATTCAATTCAATTCATTTTGCTCAAAAGAATTTTTCCAATCAAGGACACTGTAGTGAAATGTGTACACTAATAACTGAAAGTAAATATTTGCATCTGAAGATGGTCCAAACAATCACAGTTCAGTATCAACCCAGTGGTCAGGAACCCCTAACATAACCATGGATTCTTCAACCCTTATTATAACATTTCCTGTATATAATCATAAACATTTAGCTAATGTCACAGGATGCGTGTGATAGGAAGGTAATACAAATACATTCCATTTTGCGACATTCTACTATAGACAAAAGATTCAACTTAGAACTAATCATACAAATGAAAGCAACACTGGGTTTCAATACTTCTCACTGAAGACCAAAGTACTGTATATTGAATACCGAAGAAAGTGACCTGCATTCCCTATGACTTTTTTTTCTTTTTTAACTTAGGGTAAATCAGACTATCAGTAAGGGAATAAACACCTAATGGATAGTCATTAGAAGGCAGAAGTGGAAAATAAGACAGACCTAAATGAGTTGACTGTCCAGTCAAAGAGTTTAGCAGCAAGTGTCACTACAATGCCCTACAGTACTTCAAATCTCTGTAAATCTACTTATTCAAAATCTGCACTTTCCCTCCAGGGAATGGTTGGGTGGTAATAAGTTGACAAAAAAAACAACAACAGAAAGACAGAAAAGCCAATGGAAAAAGGTTGTAGGATAAATGGAAAGAGTTTGCGATAAATTTGACCCACAAGATATTTATCATCATTTCCTTCTATGCTATTTTCTCAATTCCCCAATTGCATTTTCACACAAAGCTATTGATTCTATGAAAAAGATAGTGTAAATGGTACAAATTTGTTTCTTTTTCTCTATAAAGAACTGGCTTTAGAGGACAAATTTAATTGGGGCAAGAAAGGGAAGAGAGGTGGAAAGAGAGGAAGATAAAAGCTCATTTCCATACACTACTATTATAGATGTATGACTGAAGGTGCCATTTAGTCAACCAGGGAAAACAAAATTTAAAAACTCTTAACACCATTTGACACAGCTACCACTGATAAACTAGGTGTAAGGGCGTTATAAATTTTTTTTTTAAAATGCATCTCTCTCAAACATTAAGTACTTAATATTACCAAGTTGATAGGGATTGTTGCAACTGTTTTCAATAGTTCTCCATGAACTACAAGGATGAAGAAAAAGGAGGGCAATCCCAGATACAGAACCACCAGCATCAGCAGCAGTGTAAAGCTGTCATTTAGACAAAAATTCTGGCCAAAACCAGCATAATTTTCTTCTGGATAACAGAATTACTCTTATTCATTTCTACAGAACAGGAAGGCAAATAAACCTATGAATACAGAATCGGAAGAAGCTAAATCAATCAATTGAGTAGTTTAACCTCCAGCAAAAGAGGTGCTAAGGGCTGCAATGCATTCCAGGACCTCAGCAATCTTGGCAGTAGTTTATTTGATTTTTTCCCCACCTTTATCATTGTTATAAATAACTCAAGGCAGTGAACATACCTAAATACTCCTTCCTCCTCCTATCTTCCCCTCAACAACAATCCTGTGAGGTAGGCTGGGCTGAGAGAGAGTGACTGATCCAAAGTCACCAGCTGGCTTTCATGCCTAAAGTGGAACTAGAACTCAGAATTCCCTGGTTTCTAGGCCAACAGTTTAATCCTTACTTCTCCATACCCACTAATTTGGTCCATGATATTGAAAGCATACAAGAAATAAACCATTCTGTTTCTAGGAAGAGCCTATTATCACAGACTAGGGCCATGATGATGAACCTATAGCACAAGTGTGCCATCTCTCTGGGCACACGATCCGGGTTCCAGCGGACTGGTCAGCTGGTCTTCACACACACGGGAGCACCAGAAAAGCAGCCGCCCGGTGCCCATGCATGCGCCGGGAAGATGATCTTCTTGTTTCTAGCATGCGCATGTATACAGGTCAGGTGGTCTTCGCATGTCCATATGTGCCAGAAAATGGAAGACCAGGTGGCCGGTGCACATGCACACGGCGGAAACCGGAAGATCATCTTCTTGGTGCGCACATGTGTCCCAGGCAGCTGCTCTTGTTTTCCGGCATGCACACATGCACACGCTCCCATTTCGGCACTCGGTGCCAAAAAGGTTCCCCAACACTGGACTAGGGCATGGGGCCATCCCAGTGTCAATTCGTACCATCTAGTAGGGCTGCTTTGAATTCCCCTCCTCATGTACATGTAATATACAGGAGGTGAGGGTTGCAGGTGGCTATTCTTCAGAAAGAAAAATGGATTTTGCATATATGGGGGGGGGGGGTTGGTCTATTGTTTTCTTTCAGGATTCAATTTCGATATCAAAAAATTCCTGAAGCTATAGCCTAAGTCAAAATAAGTTCAAGCCAGGGTGGATTTGATTTAAATCGAGTTCATTTAAATCACAATTTAAATCATGATTTAAATCACTAGTAAAAAGGCTTGATTTAAATCAATTCGATTTAAATCATAATTTTTAAAGAGCAACTGTCACCTCTGCTACTCCTTTAACCCACTGTAGACTCACCGATAGTCCCAGTGTTGCAGAATATACAGCCTCATGCTACATAACTAAGCTCCATTTCATGCTGAATAAACTAAATTATTTATGTATCTTAAATAGAAAACTATCTTACGATAGATTTTTACCCCAAAAGTTTTTTATTAAAATAAATTCGATAAAAATCAAAAAAATCTGATTTAAATAAAAAAAATCCGATTTAAATCAAAAAAATCTGATTTTTTTTTAATTTTTTAAAAAAAATCATTGATTTTTATCCACCCTGGTTCAAGCCCAGAAAAAAAAAACAGTGAAGAAAAAAAAACAACCACCAATCCTCTGTCAGCCAAAATCTTTCTAGAGATTTTACAGGAAAGCCACCAAGCAGCACCCTGCTCTCCTAGTCCTCAGGGGCTGACAGCTAAGGGGACCAAAGAAAAAGAAAACGAGAAGGTATAAAATACAAAGACAACAACTAAACTGGGTTCCAAAGAGGGAAATAAGCCAGCCCAGCAAGAGAAGGGGGGAAAAAAACAACAACCCTACAGCAGAACCAGCTTTTCAAAGTCTGGTAGCCTTTCCCTTAAGCCTTTCCTCCATTGTAGGGAGGATGATTATCGGGGGGGGGGGCGGGAGGGGGGGGAGGTAATCCAAGGTTTCAATGCTTCGGTTTCAACAGAACTATCCTCATTCGGAAACGAAACTCCCTGGTGGGTCAATGGGGCTTCTTCACACGATAAGCACCCATAGTCCCTGCCGTGCATTTCTTCTCCCGCCTCTGCAAAGGGGCACAGAAACTCCTTCTCTTTCTAAACCGATCAGAAGTATAGCAAAAGCAGGAGGAGGAGGAGGAGGAGGAGGAAGCGGGCTAACCACCCGCCTTTTCCCACCCTAATTCAACGCAGCGGAGACGGGCCGGGTCAGCCGCTTCCTCTCCTTCGCCAGCCCGCCTTCCCTCCCCCGTCCCCGTCCCGCGACTGCTGAGGGGCCACCTGGAAACACATGGAAGCGCCGCTCGGCTTTCAGAACAGCCTCGGAGAAGCCCGGCGGGGTCCGCAAAGCGATCCCGGCCTGCCCCTGTCACCGTCCCCGTTTTGCCGGCCTGCTTCTCCCTTCCGCGAGCTCCTACCTACCTGCCCCTTCGCTGAAGTCGCCGCCGCCGCCGCCGCCGCCGCTACCCCCTCGGCCTCCTCCCGGCCCCACGCACCGCGGCCCGGCGCCTGCTAGCACTATGGCGGGCACACACTTTGCTCGTCACCGCGGCAGAGCCTCGTCGCGCTCCCTCCCCCCCCACACCCTCCCAGCCCCACGCGCTCTTCGACCCAGCGCCGGAGACACATTAAGGCGGCGCGCGCACAGGCCCCAGGGAAATGTAGTCCGAGGAGTGCGCCTGCGCGCAACTGGTCGCAATTCATGTTCTTCCCCCCCTTTCCTTCTCCGCAAAGGGCTTTGGGAATCGTAGTCTCTGCTTTCTGAAAAGCGTTTCTTGTTTTCCTCCGCGGGAGGAGGCGCTGGCTTCCTCTAACGCCGCGGGAAAAGCGCGAAATGGCTGTTTTTAGTCAGCCTGCGATCCCCGCGGCTTCGTAGTCGTACGGGAAAGCCTGTTGTTAAAAGTTTTTTCGATGGCATGAGAAATATTTTTTTAAACTACAAGTATAATAGGCTGAAAAGTGTTTACATTCAATAAATCTAAGTTGGATGAGAGCCTCTAGCTGCCTAAAATGAAGCGCAACTTCTCAGTTAGCATGCCGACGATGCATATGGCACGAATTTGCTGCAGACATTGAACTACTTCGACTATATTTGCAATCCTTAATACGCAGAAGCAAAGGTCTTTGATCTCGATTGGACTGACTTCTTGGTAAATAATATGCAGACTTCTATCTTACATCAAAAAAGTAAATTCAGCTCTCCAAAGGCTGCTTATTGAATTTAATTTGGCATTGTGGCAGAAGAACAAAGTAGAGATAGTTCTCGATTTATACTACCACAGCTGAGAGCAGAATTTCTGTTGCTAAGGAAAGTAGCTGTTAATTGAGTCACCCCAATTTTACAACCTTTTTGCCATATCTGAATCACTGCAGTTGTTAAGTGAATCGTGGTTGTTAAGCGAATCTTCCCCCCCCCCCATTGATTTTGCTTGTTGGAAACCAATTGGGAAGGTCGCAGATTTGTGATCATGTGACTCTGGGATACTGCAACTGTAAATTGCATAAATCGCAATTCCAAAGTGATTGCAGGGGATGCTGCAACAGCTGTAAGTGCCAGTAACTTTTTTTCAGGGCCATTGTGACTTTGAATAGTCATTAAGCAAACAGTCCTAAGTGAAGGACCACTAGATAAACTCTTGTCTATGCTGCAACATTGTGTTGCAGTTCAATATTACTTCAGGTTCATAACTATTGCAAATAGTTATAGCAGTAACATTGTACTATTATATCTGAAAGTCCTCACACTTCAAAAGAAAGAGGATTCAAAAGGTCTTGCATTCCTCTTATAAAAAGTTACAGTATCGAGTTGTCCAGCATCAATCATTCTCCTAGTCATAGTGGATGTTTTAGCATTACATCACACAATAGGTAGTTTGTTGCTTCCTTTCACATTGTTGCTATACAGTCTAATAATCCCTATCACTTTTTGGCTGGAAAAAAATCCCTTAGTGTTTAGTGATGATTAAGTAGAATTTCTACTCTATGTAGTATTGAGCTGTAATAAAATCTTCCAAGCAGCTATAGCATTGTAAGAAACAAAGACAACATCTTTTAAAACTGAAGTAATATATGAAATTGCTACTGCATCTTCAGATCAAAGATTATATCACTCATGACCCTGGATAAGCCATCATAGCTTCAGGTAATCCTTTCTATCTCTCAGTTTCAGAACCCACTCCCTTCCTTTATCATTACAATCCTGGATTGCTTTAAACATTACATAGCATATTATGTGAAACAAGAATCAAGAAATTACTTATTTGTTTATATATCATAGTATCAAGACATCACTAATTTGTGTCACCACCACCCACCACCCATTTAAGACTGTAACTTCTGTTACCTACAATACCACTATTAACCAGCCTAATGATATGACTACTTTGGGAATAAAAGAATATATTGTTTATTTGTTTGTTTTACAACATTTATATACCACCCCAGTAAATATAGACTTTGATCTATATCATTCACAGAATTAAAACCATAAATTCCTATTACTCATAAAATGTTAATGAGTAACAATAATAATATTAATTACTGCAAAAAAAAAACAACCATTGGTCACTTGGTCATTATCCCATATATATCACATTGCAATAGTCCAGAAGAAGTTATCAAGGCAGGAATTACTGTCATCAGGGTTTCCTGGTCCAAGTAGGATGATAATTGTGATATCAACTGAAAATGGGCAAAGCCCCCCCCCCAGTTTTTACCTACTGCTTGAACAAGGGGGCACTCAAGTCATAGATCACCTCCTTCATGGCCAATATTAGATAGAAAAATATTTTTATGGAGGAGCTGCTGCTCCATCTGGCCAGAGTTAGTCTAAATCTCTATCTCTCTATCCAGTCTCTGATAGTATGCAAGGCACCAATTCAAGACTTCCACAACATTTCCAGCCTAGCCTGAAGTGGCAATGTACCATCAATATACTTTATCCCAAGCTAATGATTGATCACCTATTTCATATAGATGCTAAGGTACATTAGAAAAGGATCAAATCCTGTGATTGAAGCAACCAAGAATCATTCTCTCTGCATACCTACCAACTGGAATTTTCTATCCAGTGCCCTTAATTCCCAACACTTGCAGGGAGCCCAGAAGGAGACAAGATGGGCATGAATTTAACAGGTGGCAGACCTCATACTACAAAGACTTTACTCCTGTAAGTACCACAAGATGCACAATTTAAGGTGGAATAAATACCCTCTCTCACCTCACTTAATTCTGCCCAATTTGTATCCAAACCAGAGCAAATACAAATGACTTATTTACAAATAAACATGCAAAATTATGTGGAAAGCCTTCAGGCATCTCTTACAATCCTGAATAGAGCCATTAGGCAAGAATCTGTAGATGCAGTAAACATGAGGAACTGATTCTTCACCCTTTGTCCTTTGAGATGCACCAGATCAGAAAACAGAAACTGCTAGGATTACCAGGGTACTACCCGTGTTTCCCTGAAAATAAGACTGGGTCTTATATTAATTTTTGCTCCAAAAGATACATTAGGACTTGTTTTCCAGTTAATTCTTATTTTCAGGGAAATACAGTACTAAATGCGTCCATTGGCTGCCAATCTTATTTATGGGGCTTATTTATTGGGTAGGGCTTATATTACAAGCATCCTGAAAAATCATGCTAGGACTTATTTTCCAGCTGGGTCTTATTTTCAGGGAAATACGCTGTAAAGTATAACAGAATATTAAAAGCCTGCCCTATGACCCCTCTTATACCAAGCAGAATCAAGGCAGGTGTCAATCCTTCAAGGTATATTAGTTCAGGAAACAGACTCCATAATGATGATTAGAATTGTACTTTATTGTTGGAAGATATAGTAACCTAATTTTGAAAACTTCTGCTCATACTAACTCAAATCAAGACCATGTTATCTTATGTTTCCTTCTGATCCCTCTTACCTCTGTGGGTTAAGTTCATATTTACTTAATAGTTCTTGCATTCCTTCTTCAAGGTGAGTTTTGTACTCTTGTACATTGGAGTAATTTGAGTTTCTTTCTCACACTTTCCCTTTTACCAAGACTAATTTTTCCACCCTTAATTATTCCTGCATTCTTTTGTCTAGGTTTTGTCCACATAACATTATATTCTCCAAGCAGTTCTAGAAGCATCTTCTCAGTTGGTGCTAAATGTTTATCAGAATCACTTCCAATAGCAAGATGCAACAAATCTCAGTATCTCCATCCCCCCTATATCTCAGACATTTCAAATCAGTAAGAATAAAAAGGAGCAACGGAAATATATCTTTTGATCAAAATGGCAGTTATCCCCACTGCAAGACAAAATAATAGAAGGGGATAATTTTTGAGAGGAAGAATCAAAGGATGCACAGAAAAAAATGGAGCAATCAGTTTTCCATGAATAAAAAGGGGAACACCTTCATTTTTATGTATTTATACATGTACTAATGTTAATCCATAAATCAGTTTCCTAAAAATCCTAGATAAAAATTACATATACAAACACACACAAAACCTCTGCAAGATATTATTTGTGATGAGATAGCTTCCAATACTTGCAAACATTTCTGTTTCCATTGGCTTTTCAGTTGTATGCAAAATTATTTTCAAATCAAACCACATTAATCCTCTATATGGCAGTAAGAAAACAGAGTAGATGTTCTCCCTGTCCCCATTTTTCATTCTATCAGGTGTGAATAACAGTTAACTGTTCCGTCAGTCCATTAAATAACATTTCATAGGTTGCATTCTGATTTTAAAACTTGCTGGCTGCCTTGAGCGAGCAGGAAGACATGGTATAAATGTAATTAATACCTGTAAATGTATAGGAAGATGGGTGAACCTTTTTTTTTTACTTTAGAATTGAAGACTTCATGCAAACTTGAAGGAAAAAAGTACAGTTTACTACAGCAATATTCTAGAGTTTCAAAAAGTCTTAGAACTTCAAATATGATTTCATCTTACTTTGCTCTAATATTTGTGTACAGTTTTTTTACTCACTTTAAAGTAGGTAAATAAACTTCTTAACTTATCTTCAGTACTCTGGATCTACACAGTTCATTTGGAATTATGCTCTCATACCCAAAGTTCAAGTCCACTGAAAAATTATCACCATGTATCACTAAGGACCTTAGTATCTGTTAAATGAACATGATTCCAAATTCCATCCCAATTTCTGCAGAAAAAATGTCAACAGATGCATGATAAAACAGAAAGTCTGATTAAAGATTTGAAGAATATGTGCTTTAAAGAGATCTCATTATTCTTCTAAGATTTCCTAGTATTACCTAAGGAGACTTTTCTTGGGAAATTTAGTTAGTCACCTTATACAAGTAAACTGATCACTTCCATTACAGAAATCTGAGATTTATCTTATGCAACAAAAGTGGATTCTGAAAAATCAAGGAGTACCTGCTACTAATGTGTTTTATTAATAAGACAAAAACACAGAAAATTATACAATCGTATATGACTACTTGTAATTACTTATTCACTTCACATTTCTGTAATCTTAGAAAGCAAAATTCATTTTTGTTATTAGAACAG